GGACCACTTTGGGCTGAAAGACGTGGCAATTGCGTCGTCCGATGAAAACTCAAACACGCAGACACTCTCCACGCTCACTGCCATGTCCACGGATGCCGATGTGATGGCTACCATTAAGAAGATTAATACGCACGGTTACGGTAACCGCGCGTCGGATCGAGCGCCGTTGAAAGCGCTTGTCAAGAAGGTCAAGAAGAAATTCTGGGACTCTGAGTATGGTGAAAAGGACGCGACTGGACTCAGTCTGGCTCAGGCTGTTGCCAATAACATCAATGAGATGGGCGTGTCTGCGTTCGTGTATTGGCAACCGTTTGACGGCGGTGGCTGGGGCCTCATCAACTCGGCTCCGGGCAACATGACCATTGACACGGCCAACCCGAAGTACTACGCTTTGGCACAGTACTCACGCCACATTCGACCCGGTATGACCATCTTGTCAACGGATGATCTAAATACCGTCATGGCTTATGACACAAAGTCCAAACTGCTCGTGCTCACTACGGTGAATGCGGGTGATGCAGTTTCGAAGGTCACATACGATTTGGCGAGCTTCAAGGCCGTTGCTGGACCTGCTTCGGCTTGGACGACGGAGACGAGCGGCAAGGGAGCGCTGTATAAGTCGTCAACAGTGAAGCTGTCTAGTTCGACGTTCAGCGCATCGATTCCAGCTGCGTCGGTGATGACATTCGAGATTGAAGGGGTTGCTATGTAAGAAGCTTTAGTACATTGTACGGATTGCGAGTTGCTTGCCAGGTGCGCTAGCTAAAGCTGGGTTCCAAGTTCACCTTGGTAATCGCTTGTTTCAATTGCTTATTGTTCTGTTCAACGATTTCCCAACTTGTTTTGGCGTAACCACGGTCACACACAATGCGACACTATCATGGTTCCATCCTCCAAGTTGTCCTTGTCACGTTCGTCCCCACTGGGGATGAAGGTGATATCGACGTCGCGTTGAGCGGTATGACGGACCATTGCGCACTGTTTCACACCAGCGACCCAGTTCCAGCTCGTACTCGTCGGATCCTTGCTTGTTCATCCAGTCCAACCACAACGACTCCATGATTTAAAATGCCGGTATTTTATCTTGCCCCCTCGGCATCAATGGCCACGTTTGATCTGTCGAGTTTGGTCGGTACTTCGAAGGTCAGTTTATCAGGAACACTTATTAGCGCGTTGATCCCAACGCATCGGTAATGACCTTTGAAGTGCAGGAAGCTGCTCCTTTCGTCCTTGGCAGCCACACAGCAAATGTGACGCATAACAAAGTAACGAAGCATCCATAATTCCGAACACGCATATCCTTGTACGCGGTGAAAATTCGCTACCTTGAGGCTCACCAACACCACGAATAAGAGCTGTGTACGGGTACATTTCACGCAGGTATAGTATGTCCGAAGTTCATGCATCTTACGTGCACTTCGTCCTCGTCCTCGGACATGCTGCTGGGCCAGCAGCGCTGGCGTAAAGAAGCCTTTGACAAGAAGAATAAGATCGGCCAATCAAATCGCTCCTCCAGGCTGACGCTGTCACTCCGAGAAACACCACTTCGAGCACAGTAAGACGATGGTAATCACCTCGGAGGTTCCAGCGCGGCCTGGCCAGCTCACGACGGGGTTTCTGCAGCAGATACTGCAGGTTTCGTATCCATCATATCGCGTGGTCGAATTCCAGTGGGAGCCCATGAACCTCGGGGTCATCGCTGAGGTGGTGATCATCACAGTGGAGTTCGAGTGTAATGCCGACAGCGGAGAGGCCAAGAGGGCGGAGAAGCGTTTTGTGGGGAAGTTCCTGCGACCGGAATTCCCGTTCGAGTCCATGTTCTCGGTGGAATCGAAGTTCTATAACAAGTTCACGACCAAGAAAGGTGACGCAGTCATGAAAAACACGGTGAACATGGTGGGGTTCCCGTTTGCTATCCCGACTGCAATATTCACGTCCAATGTACTCATTGTGTTAGAATGCGTTGAGTCGGTGAAGACCTTCACATGTGTGGATGGCAGCCCGCCGCACCACATCCCGATCTTAGTGACAAAGCTCGCGCAGATGCACGCTCGCTTCTGGAACCACGACTGCAACGGACTCGCAATCCCTGCAGGGATTGGCAGCCAACTTACAGGTGAAGAGAAAAGATTGCAGTTTCCAGACTGCTGGATGGACTTCTTGAATGATGTGCCGTTGGAAAGCAGCGAGAAAACGAAGTTGACAGTGCTCTGCCAACGTCTAAGCCAAAAGCCAGACCAGCTCAAAGTAGTGCACGACATGGTGGACAACGGCCCGTCTTGTTTAATTCATGGTGATTTCCACATTGCAAATATGCTCCTACCGACGGATGGCACGGAGAACGAGGTTACGTGGCTTCTGGATTGGGCGACGTGCGGAAAGGGTAACCCGCTGCGAGATCTCGCCTTCTTCTTTATCGTCAGCGTCCAAGCAAGTCATCGCCAAGCAGAGGAAGCACAGTGTCTGGAAATTTATCACAAGGCGTTAACAGCAGAGACGGGAGCTGTGCGCTTGTCACTGGAAGAGCTGCACCGACAGTATAAGGTGTGCGTGCTCAACCAATTCTTGATTTTGGTAGTCTTCGACAGCCTCAGCAAGAGCCTGGCGGCAAATGCAAAGACGGAAAGGCTCCGGGTGGAGCTGGACGAACATTTCCGAGAGGTGAACCGTCGTTCATGCTTGAGCGTGTTGGATAACCTCAGTGAGAAGGACTTCCAACTTCTGGAAGCCCGATGCCCGTGACAACCTTTTGACTGCGTAGCACCTGTAACTTCAAAATGAAGCCATGTCTGTCCTTACTTCATTTTGCACGTTAACTAACTTTATCTACATCTATGCCAGCCTTCTTCATACATTCACCACAACAGGATGACGCCCTCGCTGCATGAGCGTATAGCAGATTACGATACGCGTACGTTGTGATGCGCAGTAGGTCGGCAGGCATTGGACAAGGGCTGTGTAACTATTATATAGAGCGAGACCAGCACCTTGCTGGTGGAAATATAAGGGATGGTGTTCGAGTTGCTGGAGGTTAAATTTCCGGTAGCTCTGCAATATCTTCCAGCAGTGTTGCCATAATGGCAATGCCATTGACAAAGCCACCAATGGTCCATTGTTGGTTTCGAAGTGTGGCAGCAAATTCAACGGGATCAGTACAGTTGGTGCTATGACTTTTCTATGCGTTGCCTGTGAGAGCTAGTGTACCCGATTTTTAATGAAACTTCGCCGTATTTTTCATGTGCCACACAATTCGGTCACATTAGTATTGCTAATACAACAGTCCAGTCTGTATCTACAGCTCTATACCGCTGACACGTCTTCGTGTGGCACAAAAGAAGAACCAGGCAGGAGCACACCTCGACCCCGCAGCGCCGATCGAACATGGCGCGCTCGATTCCGAAACCCAATCCGATCCTGGACACCCTGCTGGTGAGCCTGCTCGTGTGCGAGCTTGGGGTCATCACACACACGCTGTGGGATGACAAGCAGATGCTTTACATCCTCATCGCCATGTTCTTCGTGGTGGCGCTTGCTGTCAAGCTGACCAAGGCCTCGTTTGCTATCGGAGGCGGTTGGTTCTCGCGTACCTTCTTGCAGCATCTAGGAGACCCGCTCAAGAAGGCGGTAACCATGAAGAAGTGGTGCGATCAGTCATGGCAGCTCGTTATTCACGTGTCAATGACTATCTTCGAGCTGTACGTGCTCCGCGATGAGACGTGGTGGCAGGACACGACGACACGTAAGGACCATATTATTCTTACGACACTAAGGCGTCGGCCTGACTGATTTTTATGCAGTGTGGAATCAGGGAACGGATACGGGCGTGTTCCCGACGCAGAAGTTCAGCACCAAGCTACTTTACATCACCCAACTGGTGAGACTCATGCGAATGACAAGTTGCTACGAGTGGTCTAACGTTATACTTATGTTATCCACCATAGGCCATTTGGATTTACACTGCGTTCTCGTGCAAGTTCTTGGAGGAGATCCGTAAGGACTATTTGGTCATGATGACCCACCACGTCGTCACGATCGCGCTTGTTACGTGGTCGTACGCGGTTGGCTTTTTACCGGTTGGTGTGGTCGTGCTACTGCTCCACGACATGACTGACATCCCGCTCGACATGCTGAAGATGGCCAACTACCTCAAGATGGAAGGCGTCCCGGGACTGTTCACGAGCGAGATCCTGTTCGTTATCACGATCGTGCTGTGGTTCTACTACCGCATCTACCAGTACCCGACCAAGCTACTTTACACCACCATGGTGGAGAACCGCGAGGCTAGCATGGCTATGGTGGACGCTCACGACTTCACACAACTGTTCCCACACCCAGGCCCTCCGTCGTGGCTGCTCTTCAACGTGCTGCTCACGACGCTGTACTGTCTGCACATTTGGTGGGGACTCCTGTTGGTGCGGGTACTCATTGGCGTGGTAACCAAGGGTGCCCACGATACCGCAAAGGAAGAGTACGAAGGCACGTCCGATTCGGATAACGAGAGCAAAGAAGACTAGAAGGTAAACACGCTGATGCATGGCAAGACTAGAGTGAGGAGGAAAAGTCATTTTGATCGAGAGAAAAAAAAAATTGTGCAGGTTGCTACATGTACGGCGAAATAGTTGCAAGCTTCGACTAACCTCCCAGATTGTATATCAATTTAAAAGGTTTTTTTTGCCGCGTGCAAATTTTTTTTTGACAACCAGTGCGTGGCGCGTGGGATAAAAGGCAGGCACCATGATGGAAGCGTTGGGTGAGGCACCACCCGTGTCCATGGAGTCGCTGGTGACGGAGGACTCTATTGTGACCGCGCTGCGAGAGATTCTCCCGCAGATGAACGCAGATACGGCGACGCTGAAGGTGATAATGCAGAAGCTGGCGATTCGCTTCGGCATGGAGTTCGCCGATATCAAAGCGCAGTGGAGGCCTCGAATCAAGGAGCTCCTGCCGGATATGCTCGAGCTGTGCCCAGGTGGGGGTGCTTCCGAAAGTGAAAACGAAAACGCTGAAGCTGATGGCCAAGAAGGACACGACGACGATGAAGAGGAGGAGGTTGATCTACGACCCAGCAGGAAACGCACTGCTAGCAAACGTAACGCAGTGGTGGATGCGAGCGATGACGAAGGAGACGCGGATGAGGTCAATGACAGCGATGCAAGTGAAGCTAGACTAGAAGAGGATGAAGAAGCTGAGAGCGGGGATGAAGACGATGTTGCCCCAGTGAAAAAGAAGCGGGCAACGGTAAGAACTTCGCTTTGGTCATCATTCGAATTGTGTGCTGATGTATTTGTTTTATATGTGATACAGACTGAAACCAAGAAGCGGAAGAGCAAGGAATCTGCGCCACCAGCGAAAAAGGCGAAAACAGTCAAGCAGGTAGACCCACCAGGACTTGCCTCGTTGAAGGAACTGGGCCGCGCGGCTGGTGTTCTCAAGTGCGTATAGTGTAGTGGTTTGAGATCGACATGCGCGATATATGAGACTGATCATGTTTGATGTTGTATCATTCAGCCCTCGAGTGTACAAACTCCTGAAGGCAGCGGAAACAACAGACGAAGCTGAGGAAATTTTGCGTGAACGATTGCAGGATGCTGGAATATCTTTTAACGGGTCGTATCCAACGAGCCGCGACATTAGCGCCGCTAAGAGAAAACACGCGAAGGAGAAGGAGCTGGAGGGCATCGACACTAGCTTGATCATCACAGGCGGTCGATCGCGTCGTGGATCTGGGCAGCGCATCTCATACAAGGAAGAACCTATCAGCGGCGAAGATGATAACACCGAAGAGGATGACGAGGATAAGGAAGACGCTGATGAAGAAGGAGATAGCGATGAATCAGTGGCCAGCGATTCAGACGCGTCGGAAGCAGCGTTTTAAACTGAAATTGTGGTGACGGGACAATTGCATGTGAAGTATCGGTGACTCGGACGCGTCGAAGCGTTGTTTTAAGCTGAAATTGTGTCCCAGCGTAATGACGGCGCAAATGCATGTGAAGTACAGTAAGGTTAGTTTGCTACAGCTAATAGAGAGAGTTGCCTTTGCTGGGTCAACTAGTTGCCGGGCGTTAAATTTGTCCCGCACGGTAGTCCATCTGTCCGCTATTTTACTTGGAATTTGTAAGCCATTTTTGAGGTTGTTCAGGTGTATACATTTCGATACATTTCTTTTTGAAGCTGGATAAAATATGTATACAAAGTAATTACGCTGATTGGCTAAAATATGTCGAAATTTAGTAGGCCGGGTGATTGGTGGTGGGAGCGCGTGGACTGTTTGGTGTTGGGGGAGACAGCATTTGCCGCTCACCAGTTTCCAGAACCCGAACGTGAAGCAAGAATCATGCCGTCCTACAGCCAGGAACCTGAAGATGCTCAGCGTGCCGCTAAGGCCCGTGGCTCGCACCTTCGCGTGCACTTTAAGCACTGCCGTGAGGTCAGCCACGCCATCAAGGGCATGCCCCTGAACAAGGCTAAGAGCTTCTTGCAGGCCGTGCTCGAGTACAAGCAGGCTGTGCCCTTCACGAAGTTCACGGGCGGCTGCGGCCGTCACGCTCAGGGCAAGCTCCGCGGTGCCGCTGGTGACAAGTGCAAGTGGCCCCAGAAGGCCACCAAGATCATTCTGGACCTTGTGAAGAACGCTGAGGCCAACGCCGAGGTTAAGGGCCTGGACACGGACCTGCTGTACATCTCGCACGCTCAGGCCAACGCCGCCATTAAGCAGCGCCGTCGCACTTACCGTGCTCACGGCCGCATTGGCCCCTACATGTCCAACCCGGCCCACATTGAGCTGATCCTGACGGAGAAGCGCGCTAACGTTGCCAAGGCCGTGGAGGAGGCCAAGCCCGTCAAGGTTTCCCGCAAGCGTCAGGCCCAGCTGCGCCTCAAGTCGGGTGGCGGTGTCCCGGCCAACTAAGTTGCTTTTTGACGCATGGGATATCTCTTGGCTGGAAACACGAACGGTCAGTCGGGAACGAGCGACTGTAGACGCGAGGGGGTGGCAAAAAGTTTGCTAAAACTTTTTAATACAGCCTTGCCGAGAAATGGGTTCTACTGATGCAGTGTATGTTGCCAAGAGAGCAAGAGGGTTTTCCAGTTCGTCTTCAATGGTGTGTCCACGCGTGGGTCGTTGTGGTTGGTTTGCTTGGTGCGTGCAGGTGCAGGTACAGGTTCGGCAGCGTCAGGACAGACGACAATTTTAGGTTCGCCGGATACGAGGCGCGTAGGATGACAGCGGTGAGCTGTGGTTTGCTAGAGGGATGATTATTGCCAGAACCAGCTAGGTAATCTGATCTGTTTGCTGTGCTCCGACGATGACCAAGTCACTGACAATAGCTCGGCTGTTTGTAGTTCTGAAAACCGAAGATAGCAAGTGGATCCAAGCTTGCAATCGATGTCGTGCTGGGAAATGGACTACCCAAACTTGCAGCGTACTCGGGTCTTGGATGGTCATCCACCACTTGGACGCACCACACGGATCGATCTCCTCTACGGACGTGACGAGACTGATGTTGTGAAGATGCATTACGTGCTTGAAGTTTCCATAGTGCAGGAGGTGCTGAGCTTGGTCGAGATGCAAGTGTTGCTTCCTCTTCTGCATTTTCGGCATGAAGAACCCCACAGGCTCTTCGATGTAAAGCCACTCGCTCCCTGTAGCCACGCTGTCAGCGTCACTTATTGTACTGTCCTCATCGCATGTGTCAGTGTCGCTATGTGCCGTCTTCTGTCTTGATGGACACTGGGACGGAAAGCGCCGCCAAATTGCTCCGGCACCGAGCATCAGTATAGCTGCTTCCTGAAGACTTGTTTGTACTGAAATGCATCTTGCCAAATACATCTCGCAACGTCACTTTGGTGCCGCTACTCAAAAAGCTCGAACACATGGTGCTTATCACTCAGAAATAGACTTGGCAATTCATTGACCATTGGTGCTGTTAACCAATCTTAGCAACCCGATGAGCATCTTAAGCTACTCCGTCCACGAGCATGGTTAAATATATACATGTAGTAAAGCGCATGACTTCATCAAAAGCTTGCTGCAAGTGACCGGTCAAAACTTTTTGAGTCAAAAGTTTCTTGAGACAGTACCCAAATTTCATTCGGTAATACCCATAATAATACCCATTTTTGTATTGAGTTCTTCAATTCGAGGACCTAATTTTGGCGGGTGTGGACCGCGCACACTTGCAAACCGCGCGCAACGTCAAGATGAAGCCGAAGACACAGAGTTCTCTGCTAAGTTTCTTCAGCCCTCCGTCGTCGGAGGGCGGGTCGTCCAAGAAGAAGAACGCAGCCACTGCCTCGGCCAGCAGCAACGGCAGCTCCAAGAAGAAAGCGGCCGCCAAATCGGCGACAAAACGCGAGTCGCTGGGCACCATCCGCAAAAAGATCGAGTTCTCACCCAAACTTAAGCAAAAAATTACGGCGAAGAAGAAAAAGACCGAAGATGTGGAGATGGAGGGTGCGGAGAAGGTGTCGGGCGTAGGCTCTAAGCGCAAAGCGTACGAGGATTTCCTGGGCACGAGCTCTGAGGAAGATGAGCCTGTGAAGTCGAGCAAGACCAATAAAGAGGAACCGCCAAAGAAACGAACCGGGAAAATTGTCATTAAAGACGATGATGACTCGGAGGAGGAGCCTGTGGCCCCGGCTTCTCGTCGTAAGGGCAAGACAGCCACTCGCAACGTTGTAAGCAGCGAGGAAGAATGGGAGCAGGATAGTCCCGACGAAGGAGGTGATGGTGAAGAGTCGGAGTTCAGTGGCGCCGAGGAAGAACCTTCAGATGATGATATCGATGATCTGGTGGATGAAGAGTCTGAGGAAGAGTCCAAGCCGCCCAAGAAGCGGCGAAAGAGCGCTCCGGCAGTGACCAAGACGAAGAAAGTGCCAGCAAAGTCCTTTTTGTCTCCTCCACCTACAAAGAAGAAGTGGGGGAACGGCACGCCAACGTCAACCAACAAGAAGTCGGCACAGCTGGCCGATGGCCCGGACTTGCTCAGCTCTGTGGCTGGTGCTGGCAACCACATTCACGATGCCTTGCCTTGGCTGCACGAGAAACGGCGTGATATTAACGGTAACACATCAGACTCTCCAGATTACGACCCACGCACATTGAAAGTCCCTCCTGAGTTCCTGAAGAAGGAAACTCCAGCAATGGTGCAGTGGTGGGAAGTCAAGTCGCAGAACATGGACACTGTTCTGTTTTTCAAGGTTGGCAAGTTCTACGAGTTGTTCCATATGGATGCCGACGTTGGCTTCAAGGAGCTGAACCTGATCTACATGAAGGGAGATAAGGCGCACTCAGGCTTCCCTGAGATCGCGTACTCCAAAATGTCGGCTCAACTGGTTGCCAAGGGCTATCGTGTCGCTCGAGTGGAACAAACAGAAACCCCCGACATGCTAAAGGTTCGCAACAGCACGTTAGCAAAGAAGGCCAAGGTTGTTCGGCGTGAGGTATGCTCTTTACTGTCTATCGGCACGAATACTGTGAGCTTTTTGGATGCTCCTATTTCGTCTCAAGACCAAGTGTCCAAGCACCTGCTCGCACTTAAAGAAGCTTTCGACGCTACGCAGAAATCTGTACGCTTTGGTGTATGCATGGTGGATTGCTCTACTGGCGCCTTCCAGCTGTCTGAGTTTGACGATACTGAGCAGCGAGACCGTCTGAAGACACTGTTCGCTCAATTTTACATTGTGGAGATTGTGACGGAGCGATTTAACGTCTCCGACGACACGAAAATGGTGCTAAAGCATGCTGCACCAGCTGCAATTCGCTCATCACTGCGAGTGGGGAAAGAGTTTTGGGATGCCTCGAAAACAATCGATGAAATCGAACGCGCGGGGTATTTCAAGGAGCATGGATGGCCAGAAGCTGTACTACATTTCCTAGAAATGGATAAAGTCGTCAAGCCCGAGGGACAACTCGCAATCAGCGCTCTGGGCGGTTGCATTTGGCACCTGCGACGTAGTATTATCGACCAAGAGTTGCTGTCACTGTGTAACTTTAAGAGGTACAAACCTTCGGACGAGGAAGCACGAGAAGCACGAGTAAATAGGTCTGCTGCAAAGGCTGAGTTGAAACAGCAGTATGTCGTGCTGGACTCGCAGACTATCCAGAACCTGGAAGTGCTTTGCAACAGCTTTAATGGCTCGCGCTCGGGATCACTCATCGATATCATGGACAAGACAGTGACAAGCTTTGGTCGCCGTATGTTCCAGGAATGGGTACTCAAGCCTTTGTGCAAGATCGGCGATATTCAAGAGCGCCTGGATGCCGTTGAAGAGCTTGGTAACAGTGGTGATTTGATGATGGAGATCCGCGAGTTCCTTCGTAAACTACCGGACTTGGAGCGTTTGCTGTCTCGAATTCATGCGCTTGGATCTGCGTATCGCTCGAAGGAACACCCAGACAGCCGTGCAATTATGTACGAGTCACAGATATACAACGTCCGCAAGATCAAGGATTTCCTTGCAGTGCTCAATGGATTCGACGATGCTATGAACCTCACCCTTGAACTGGGTCCTCGCCTATCGCAGTCTAAGTCGCCAATTCTCCAGTCGCTATTGAAGAGGTACACTATCGAGGACGGAGTACAGCCGGACGTTAAGCATGGACACTTTCCTGATCTTACAGAGAAGTTGGAGTTCTTCAAGCGCTGCTTTGACCAAGCGTCGGCCAAAAAGAGCGGTGTGATCATACCTCAAGCTGGTGTAGACCCCGAGTTCGATGCAGCTTGTGAGGAGATCTCTCAGGTTGAAGCCGAGCTAGCGGAATATTTGAGCGAACAGCGTACTGCACTGCGCTGTCGACAGATTTCCTACTGGGGCAAGAAAAAAGAGGATCGTTACCAATTGGAAGTCCCTGAAAGCGCTTTGTCGAAGCAACCGAAAGAGTACGAGCTTAAATCTCGTAAGAAAGGGTACAAGCGCTTCCACACCCCAACAATCCGTGCATTACTGAAGCGGTTGGCTACTGCGGAGGAGCAGAAGGAGGAGGCGCTCAAGGATCAGACACGACGCATTTTCCACAAATTTGACGAAGACTACAAGTACTGGATGAAGGCAGTGCAATGTCTGGCTGTGCTGGACTGCTTAGTCAGTCTCGGGTTACTCAGCAGCCAGAGCGAAGGATACACAAAGCCCGAGGTGGTGACAGCAAGCACTGCGAATGATGGGAAACCTTTCATCAACATTAAAGAGGGCGTGCATCCGTGCGTTGCTGCAACCTACGGCAGTGGCGATTTCATCCCGAATGACGCGCGACTCGGTATCGAAGGAAAGGGTCAAATGGTTCTCCTCAGTGGACCAAATATGGGCGGAAAGTCGACGTTGCTGCGCCAAACGTGCGTGTTGACGCTCATGGCTCAGATTGGCAGCTTCGTTCCTGCTGCCAAGTGCCGTCTTAGTCCCGTCGATCGTATTTTCACTCGCATTGGGGCGTCCGACCGCATTCTTGCTGGCCAGAGTACTCTTTTCGTGGAGCTGGCCGAGACTGCGACGATCCTGAACCACGCGACCAGCCACTCGCTTGTCATTCTGGACGAATTGGGCCGAGGAACGTCGACGTTCGACGGTACGGCCATCGCGTACTCGGTTGTCGAGCATTTGTTGAGCGATATCCAGTGCCGAACTATGTTCGCAACACACTATCACTCACTGGTTGAAGAGTACGTGGGAGACGACAGAGTATCGCTGGGTCACATGGGATGCATCGTCGACCCTGAGAACGACCGCAAGGTGACATTCCTGTACAAGTTGGAGGACGGCATGTGCCCCAAGAGCTACGGTATCAACGTGGCGATGTTGGCCAAGCTACCGGACGAAGTGATCGAATGCGCTGCGAAAAAGTCGGAGCAGTTTGAGCGCTCCTTGCAAGCCAATTCACACGCAGAGCTCGAGAGCATGCGACTCGCTCAAAAGGTGCGAGAAGTGCTAGCTGAGGGTGAACCAGGGGTAAACAAACTCAAACAATTATGGGAGCAAGCACGTAGCATTCGCACTTGAAATGTAGCCATCTGACGTCAGTAATACTGAAATAAGCAAATCCATAATTCATAGCTCAAAATGCGTCAAGGGGTTCAGTCGCTGGTGGAGTTGACTGTGGTGGCTGTGGCGCTCTACACGCCAGTGCAGGAGCTGCTAGAATATGTGGAGTTCCTACCCAGCCGTATCCGCGACCAGTTGTTCCGTGAGTTGTCCAATTTCCGGCTGCGTGAGATGGAGATGGCGTGGGAGGCGGCTGCACAACAGGAGCCACCGGAACCTCGTGATGGATACGAACCCCAGGCCGGTGACAAGTTCTTGTTCGACCGAGAAACACAGCGTGTATGGGAGCAGCGTATGAACACAGCGAGATTGGGCTACGGGCCGATCTCCATTGAGAACACGGCAGCTGCACACGGACGCAGACGCAACACGCGACACGTGTTCTGGGAGCACCAATTTCGTTCTTTGCTCAAACTGCGTACGCCGCTGAAGCTTGCTGGACCAGTAGATGTTCTAGCGAAGTGCCAGAAGCTTTTTGTAAACGTCGTGGAGGTGCTAAAGGTGCACGGCCGCGAAGTCTGCGAAGATAATGTGAAGCTGATCCTTGCTCTTCGAAAGCTGCGAAGACTTGAAGTGCACCATCCAGAGCAGCAAAATACGTGCTGGAAGACTATGGGAAAATTGATTCAGGAGCATTCGCACCTAACGGAATTGGGCTTCTTTCATGGCAAGTTGAGTGATAACCAAATTGCTCAGATCCGGAATACACTGGTTGTAGTGAAGGCAACGCCGACATTAGACACAAAGTTGGATGTCAGTAGAATCACGACGTTGGAGCTGGTCTCGGTGAAGATTCGTTCAGAAGGATTTCGTCAATTGGTGGGTCTCGTGATGGCCATACCGCAGCTAACCCAGTTGAGGCTGAGCAATACTATCACGGATTTTGACACGAAGCTGCTCATCGACGCAGCATTTCGTGCTCCAAAGCTACAGCGTCTCTTCTTGGAACATAACGAGTTAGAAGATGACGCATTCATTGGTCTCACCAAAGTGCGAAAGCCACTGGCATTACGACACCTCCGTCTTAGCGACAATGACGTGTCGTCTACAACCGTGAGGGCGATCTGCGGCGCTACTATGGATGGTGTACTGAATCTACAGCGACTTGAATTGGCCAACAACGTACAGATCGGCGACCCGGGCATCCACGCATTGACACCAATGCTGGCTTCTCCAGATACTGAACAGGCCGCTGCGTTGACGCATCTAGACGTTCGTGGGTGCAATTTTGGACTCGAAGGTGCCACCAATCTGCTGTTGGCGTTGGGTCAGAACAAGACGGTCAAGCATTTGAATGTCGCTCAAAATTTCTTCGATGTTGGCTTTGGCGATGTGCTTGCAGACTTCTTGCTTACCAACGAATCAGTCACACATCTACAAGCGAATGGAGTTGGACTGGGACTAGCTGGTGTGTCTGCTCGATTGTTGACTGCGTTAGAGAGCAACACCACTCTTACGTCTATCTCGATGGGAGCCAATCGGTTACGAAATGATGGTGCCGCCGCAATAGTTCGATCACTGGTAAAGCGAGCTCAGGTGAAGCCATTCACATTGGTCGATTTAAGCGGAAATCTACTCACATTGAATGGATTGGCGACGATAGCTGACATCCTGGAAAATCTCACTAGCACCAATGCCAGATACACTGGTAGCTCTACATGTAGAAGGGATAGCATCGATGGAGAAGATCAGATTGATCGAAAGCGCCAGCGTACCTATAGCGTGGACAATCATAAAGACTCGCTGAGTCCACGAATCACCTGCAGCAAACCCATCGAAGAGCTTTGTCTGCTGAATAATGACTTTATCAGGAACGACGAATATGTGGGTGACAGTTCAATGCTAGTCGAATCCATTCGACGCTGCGTGGGCCATTTCAAGAGCAATGAATGGGCAACACAGCACCAAGTCTACGACGATGAAGTGTAGATCAATAGAAATGCATGTACTGACACTCAATATGTACCATTGCAGCTTGAGGAATTCGTTCAGATTACTACAATGCTCCCACACGGCTTCAAAAAGTTGGTTGACTACAATATAATTCTCTCGTAGACAACTTGGACGTCCAACAAACAGCAACAAGTCTTACACCATGACAATCCATGTCATTTCCATTTACCACTGTGACGAAAACGATTGTACATTCGTTTGACCGTATTGACGGTCAGCATACTGGTGTTGGCGCCACTGACGATCCTCCTTTTGCTCGATGAGAACACGCTGTTTCTCTTGTAGCTCAACCATGTGCGAATTTAAAGAGTCCAGAATGCTCTGTAGCGCGTGAGGAGTTTCCTCAAGTTCTCCATCCGAGCTAAGGCTGTCTACATCAGCCGATGGTTCATCGCCAGCATCCTCACTCTCATCTTCATCGTCGCCTTCGTCGTAACCTTCGTCTTCATCATCATCGTCATCTTTAGTTGTTGTCGATGGTTTCTCATCCAGACGGCGCTTCTTGGCCAAGTTAAAATTCTTTCCGTATTGCTCATCTTTGCCACGTTTGAATGGTTTCTTCGAAGCATGTTGCCCAGGAAGCAGGTTGTTCAAAGGACAATTGTCCTTTGAATGATGGTGGGTATCCTTCGTATCTGAAAAATTGCTCGAGCCGGACCCTGCATACGACAAACAAACACGAATGATCTTCTACACTTGAGTACTTGCATGGCCACAAAAAAACACTACGCACACGCGTTATCCGACGAGCCGACTGACTGGTTGTCATCGTCATCTAAGTCAGCATCACCGTCAGCTCCATCGTCCCATGTATCTGCTGGTCCCATCAATGTAACATAAGTTGATGGTAGGATATAATCGCAACTACGAGTCAACAAACCTGGACTGGATTGCTTTTCAGTAGTGCTCGAACTGTGTTCGTCCGCGCCATCTTCGTTGCCTGTCTGGGGTGTCTGGAGTGGCGAATCGGGAAGAGGAGATTGCTCATGTTCATGCTCGTCATCAAGTGCAGCATCCTCATTGCCTGTTTGAGGGGTCTGAGCTGGTGACTCGGGAAATGGAGATTGCTCGCCGTCGGGTTTGGCTTCAGCATCTCCATCGTGATTGTCTTCACCAACATCAGCATTACCACTATTTGATTGGGAAGTCTGCTGGACTGGAGGTTCGACTACCGGAGATTGATCCTGCCCACAATTCCCTCCATCCGCAATGCGTTCTTCAGAGCTGCGTGCCACAGTTGCATTCTCTTCAGCCGCTTTGCCTTGGGTATCAGCAGCGACCGAGGCATCCTTCACTTCATTGTCTGGTATATGGTCTTGCTCTTTTGTTTCGTGGTCGGAGGTTGCTATCGGCGAATTCGTGCCTGAAGCCGTCAAATCGAGATCTTCAAAGTCTTCTAAAGTGCCAAATCCTACAAACACATTGATACCCAATACACAAGGAAACGTAAAAAAAAACAGCTCGTACCGCAAGTAGTCTATCATCTGAACGACGTACGTTGCTTATACTGGATTAGAATGTGCTGTGCATTTGCGAAAAGATCATGGAACGTGACGTCTAGAATGAAAAACATCATGATTAGCATACTATGAAAAGTTCCGATGATCATCGCATTCTTTGTACCTGGTGTCAAACTTGCGATCTTGGAAAAGAAATCAACCAATTTGTTCGATCGGTACAAACCAATCGAGTGCTGCATGCACCGAAGGACATGATGCACCACTTTCTCCGTCCATTGGTACCGTTCTGCAATATCCCTAACAAACGACGCATAGTCGTTTGCCGGTAATGCACTCGCTGATCTTCCAGAACGATGTGACTGCTGCGCTGCACTCGTCTTATTGTTGCGAGACTGCCTTCCAACTGGCTTCGTTGTTGACAAAACTGCAGCACTTGATACTGACGGGTGGTCTGCGCTTGTGTCCCCGCTTGGTGTACCACGAGCTGCCATTGTTGACGACCGCAGCTTAGGTCGCGGTGACCAGATACTTTTGGCTCGTCGCTTCTTATGGCGCTCGGAATTCAGTCGGAGGCCTGTTAAACATACTTTGTCAGTGCAACTGTCCTTATAGCCGCATTACGCATTACGTACTCCGTGATTTAAGCGCTAGATATCCAAGCGCGTACGGGTCGTTGCGATCATTCCAATCTAACGCCGCAGCACATGAATTGTGAAATTAAACATGAACTAGCAGTCGAGCTTCAAGAAACTTACCTGCACTAAAAATCTTGTGCGCTTCTGAGCTTGGATCATAAATCGTGTCTGGCAAGTCTACGAACACCAGCAAATCCATGTCAAATTTTATCAAAAAACCATCGCAGTTCATCTGACACTTACTGGCTGCGCGAATCATTGTCGCCTTTTTCAAGAACTTCTCTCTCATGTCAGCGAGTTTATTCACGCATGACCCGTCCGTTCGGCCTATACAACAGATATTGTCAGCAACATGTATCGTGTCTAACTTGCGTTGATGATTCACTTACGCAACGCAATAGCCACACCATCCACGAGGTCTGAACTACCCGTCTTTTGAATCTGAGTAGTGATTCGAACAACAAAATCAACGAGGGCCTCCATCTCTTGTGACGACCACAGCTTAGGCGCTTTACTGGGCAGCACGGGTACTGTGTCTGCTCGACTGGAGGGTGGTACATCGGTGAAAATATCTTTCAAGAGCTCGAGGCGCTTTACTCCTATTCCTTTCCGCTCTGTTGATACGGCAACAAGTTCAGTTTTGCAATTCTGCACACCAAGCCAAACCTAGTGATGCACTTACGACGCATGCGGTGTTTCTCCCTCATAAATAATTCTCGTAGCGCGTAAAACTTGCTTTTCGTTTCGGCAATCGATTTGCCTGTGCGTGACCACAGTGAGTATCCTCGTGTAAAAGCTCCCTCCACACTGCATATAGAGCAGATAGACTTACCCCACACCTGCACTCGTTTAAAATATTTCTCTTGGTTGTCACTAAACCGATCGCGATACTGCTTGGCCTTTTGAAGGAAGCGACTGAGCTCGTCCGGCAACCACACTCCTCCAGCCCGGTTTTCCGGCAATTGTCGGATCGATTCGTAGATATGCTCGTAGACAAACATCTTGTGCCCGTTCATCACAATTACTGTCATCAATAAGTCATGCACAACACCCCATTAGGTTTGAAGGTTTCTGGTATAGCTGGATAGCCATTTCAAGTCTCCAATTATTGTCATTGCAGTGGCTGAAGTCGTCCACCCTACCGTCCGTCCGGAAATTCTTGGTACTGAGTGTGAGCCCGAACTGATCCATCAACGCCCGTACCATCTCCAGGATCTCCGACGCCGCCTTATCTATCCGTAGCCAAGTGGTAGCAAAGCAGACTCAGCTCCAGCTCACTATGGTATCCAATATCTGCATTAAAAAAGTATACTACCTGGCAGCTCTGCCCGCATAACCTCAGCAAACTGACTATCAGACGCGTAGACGTAGTACAGCAGATGCTTCCGGAAGAGCGTCAGCAGCGCCAGGACGTCTTCATCGTTCCAGCCTCTGAGCCTCACGAGCATCTTGTCCCCGTTGCCAAGGCAGTCAAGTTTGACCACCACAGTTGTTTCCCAAAGCTGAAGTAACGTTAGCTGAGGTTAGGTATGTATTTCTAATTTTATAACTTTCTATTTTTAAATTTAATATTAACCTAAAAATTATCCGTCCGATATCCGATCGGACGGCTAAATTTACCGGCCGGAAGGGGGGACTCTTTGAATTGGTCGAGAGCCACCATGTCGGACGCCGAGGAAGAGCCGAGTAACCAGCGCGCGCTGTTAATCCCCGTTAAGAACTCGGAGCAGGCCGTTGAGGTGTTTGTAGATGAACTACCGGAAGATGTGAATGACATCATCGACATCTTGCGCGCCGAGGTGGCGCCGCTCGACGTGTGGCTCCAGTTCGCCGTAGAGTACTATAACCAGGGCCATGTAGCTCAGTTCCAGGAGATCCTGGCTGTAGCGTCGGAACCAGGTATTGAGGAGATCTACAAGGACAATGCGTCGCGCATGTGCCGCATAAAATTCTTCATCGCGCTGGCCAGCCACGCCGTAAACGCCATGTGGAACGAGGAAGACGAGAAGAAACGTGAAGCCATTTCTCAACGTGCCGTGGGTTTCTTCCAGCGTGCTGATCGTCTAGATCACCAGCATCCAATGACGCTTGTTGGTAAAGCGCTTATGTTTATGGCCAAGAATGAGGACGACCGCGCTGATCGCTTTATCAAAAGTGTGCTTATCTCCAACAAGACCAACCTTCCCGCCATCCTGGGTAAGGCGCTGCTGCTGTACCGCAAGAAACAATACAAGGACGCTAAGAAGCTGTATTTGGAGGCTATTAAACTGCACCCGCGCAGTCCACAAGCTGCCAACATGCGCATGTGCTTCGCCTATTGTTGCTACCACTTGGGAGCCGTGGAAAAAGCCCGTGCTGTCATGAAATACACCGCGTCTTTGGACGAGACCAATGTGGACGCAGTGATTGCGAGTGCTCTATGGCAACTTGCAAGCCAGAGTCGAGAGGAGCGCGCTGTCAGCATCCGCGACGAAAGTTCGCGCTTTATGATAATGATCCACCACGCCCACGCTATCGACAAGACGAACCCAACGGTGCTGAATCATCTGGCCAATCACTATTTCTCTCAATGGATCCCTCTGCCTTGCACAGTGAGTGTGGTGCGTGGATCTGCTGTTGTGGCCACATCTAAGGACATCTCCAGTGAGGTGTCACCCGGTCAGATTATCTGCATTGGAGACAAGTACGTTGCATACATTAGTCGTGACGAAGATGCCGTCTCGTCGGCTGGAATCAAGCTGGATGGCCCGTATCGTGATGAGTCTGCCACAGCCACGAACATTGCGCGTAAGGACTACGATAAGATGTTTACACTCGCAGGCAATGCGTTCCACAGTACGAAGATCCCTGAAATCCGCTCGGAAAGTTGTTATCTCATGGGTCGTGGTTGCCACGCGCAGGGCAAGTACAAGGACGCTTACAGCTACTACTTCAATGCTGGACGTCTTTGGCCGAAGTTTGTGCTTCCGTGGTTTGGACTAGCTCAGATGTATTACGAGCGCAAGGAGTTCACAAAGGCTGCTTCGTACTTAGAGAAGGCGAACAAGGCGTACCCGGAGAACGTGGAGATCCTGTCGCTTCTCGGTGATGTGTACGGCAAGCTTGGCAAGAAAGATGAGGCTGTCGTCTTGCTTCGACGTGTCGTGGAGTTGGAACCTGGCAACGTGGAGGCACTGATCGGCACGGCTGAGTTGCTGCACGGATCTCCAGAGCGGAAAGACCAGATTATTGCCATCTCTTCGTACATTGCGGCGGAAAAGGTCATGAACAATGCTTCGGAGCGCGTGCCTATGGAAGTTTACGTCAACTTAGGTGTGCTCCAGCAACGTGTCGGCAAGACTGCTGATGCTATCACATGCTTTAAGAAGGCACTCAAACGGTTGGGCGATGATAGCAGCCTCGATGAAGAAAGCAAGTCGGAAGAGGCTGATGCTCTGGCTGAGGAGGCCTCAACCCCCAAGCCGACGGAGGTAAATGTCACGATTCTGTACAATATGGGTCGCGTATACGAGGAAATGGGTAACCGTGATCGTGCCAAGAAGCTTTACGATGCGATTTTAGAAGTTTTCCCGAGATACACCGACTGTTTACTGCGTTTGGGCTGCATGCTGCGCGATCGTGGTCAAGAGACTGAGGCTATCAAGACGTTCGATAAGGTACTGGAGGTAGACCCGGCGTGTGCTGAGGCCTGCTTGCTCCAGGGCAATATCCATTTGAAGAAGCGTGAGTGGGTGTTTGCTCAGAAGAAATACGAAAAGGTGATGGGAATGCCCGGGCTCAAGAACGACCCGTACGCATTCTTATCCATGGGCAACATCTTTATGAGCAACCTAGGCGAGAAGAATCGCTACACCAAGAATATGTCGCTGAGCGAAGTGTACTACAAGAAGACGCTGGCGTCTCACCCACACAACATCTACGCTGCCAACGGATTGGGTATTATGATCGCTGAGAAGGGCAATTTTGAGCTTGCCAAGCAGATTTTCTCGCAAGTGCGTGAAGCCAGCCCGGACATGCCTGATGCGTGGATCAATCTTGCTCACATTTTCGTCGCTGAGGAACGTTACCAAGAGGCGATCCAGCTTTACACTGTGTGTCTGACCAAGTGCTATCAGGGACAAGACCTCGAAGTGTTGCTGTATCTGGCAAAGGCTTACTACGAGTCGAAGGATTTCCCGAGCTGCATCGCCACGCTGTCTCGTGGCTTGCACATGTACCCGAACGACCTGCGGCTGTGGTACAACACAGGTCTTGCCCAGGAAGACTATGCAGTAACAACGCTAGGCCAAGAGACTACCGTCGCACGGTCAGGCAGTGGCAGTGCAGTACCTCAACTTCGTACCATGGCAGATGTGCAGCGCGCTATTCTGGATCTGAAGCGAGCGCAGCGCATTTTCCGCTTCCTGCTCCAGCAAGCCGAGGCCAGTAGCACTTCTAGCTCTAGCGAGAAGAAGAAGCATCACAACAGCCTGCCGTTCGACAAGGAGAAGGTGTCCGATCACGAGAAGTTCTGTGGCGACACATTGACGAAGGCTAGCTATCACTTGGAGTTCGAGCGACAGAAGGAGGAGAAGCGTCGGTTGGAGATCGAAGCCCAGCGTAAGCTGCTGCGTGAGTACGAAGAACGTGTGGCTCGTGAACAGGAGGAGGCGCGTGTGAAGGAAGAAGACATGCGCAGACGTCATGAAGACATTCGACTCAAGCAGGACGAGCGATTGAAGAAGCTGCACGAAGGCTGGAGTGTGCGTGAGCGTGAGGAGGAGGAGAAGAAGGTCGTCAAGAAGAAAGGAGGCAAGAAGCGCAAGAAAGCGGAAGACGAGGACGGCGGCTTCATTGATGACGGTGAGGACGAGGTGGATGAAGACGGTGACAATAGCATGTCGATTGAGGACATGAAGAACCGCAATTCGACCATGAAGAAGCTGGTGGAGAAGCGCAGCAAGCGCGCGCGAGTGGATTCTGGCTCGGAGAACGAGAAGGACGACCCGACTGGTCTCTTTGGCTCCGACTCCAGCGACGACGAGCAGGAGGAATCCAAGCCAAGTGAAACAGACAGAGACGCAGACAAGCCTGCTAAGGATGATGTAGCAGCGGAAAGCCGCGAAGCAGAGAAGAACGAGCTCTTTGGATCTTCTTCCGAGGACGAGGATTAGGCCAATGGTAGTATCTACGTGTATTGAAGGGTTTATGCTACCACATTCTCTTCATAAAGCTTTTCCGATTGAACCACATGTCGCGGGATAATTCTTGGGTGGTACATGTATATTTCAGGGTGTAGCCATTGCTTGCGAGAGATTTGGTGGGCATTTGAAACCCAAAATTCACACCAAGTGAGAAGCAATTTCAAAAAGGCAACAATGACTTTCATGATTCAGTTGGCGCCAAAAAACGCCCGTCGAATCTGATCATTCTGCTTCGCTTTTATTGGCTGTTAACTTTGATCAGCGATTTGATTGGCCAAAAGCAGACGCGGGGACGATGCTCCGAAACCCTGCTGGCAATCGGCTGGCCGACGAGGGTAGTGAGGCAAAAAAGCGCGGGAGTCTTTATCAAGACGTCTCTGCTTGGCGCGCTCTACCCGCCAAAAGCCCGAGAGCACTTGAGCTTATCATTTCGGAATTGGCGCTCGACCCAATAAGCGACTCCTCCAGCTCCTCACCCACTACCAATCCAGTTACAATGGTCGCAGCCTCGTCAGAACACAACAAGGCCTCGGAGCAGCCGGAGCAGGAACTGAACCCCGAGTTCGTGGAGGGATTCGCTAAGGGAGTCAACGTCAAGGACGACAAGGAGGAGCAGCCGGAGTTGGAGATGTCGGAGTTCAAGCGCAAGGAATTGAACGGCGAGATCCCGGTCGAGCCGTTCCTCGTTGAGAACCCCAACCGTTTCGTGCTGTTCCCCATTCAGGAACACGAAGTGTGGCAGATGTACAAGAAAGCCGAGGCCTCCTTCTGGACGGCTGAGGAGCTCGACCTTGTGCACGACCTCAAGGACTGGAGCAAGCTCACGGACAACGAGCGACACTTCATCAAGCACGTGCTCGCCTTCTTCGCAGCCAGTGACGGTATCGTGAACGAGAACTTGGCCATGAACTTCAGCAACGAAGTGCAGGTGCCCGAGGCTCGTTGCTTCTATGGCTTCCAGATCGCCATTGAGAACATTCACTCGGAGGTCTACTCACTGCTCATTGACACGTACATCAAGGACGCGATCGAGAAGGACCATCTCCTGCGTGCCATTGAGACCATCCCTTGTGTCACGAAGAAGGCTCACTGGGCACTCAAGTGGTGCGACCCGCGTGTATCCTCCTACCCGGAGCGCCTGCTGGCTTTCGCTGCTGTGGAAGGCATCTTCTTCTCGGGCTCTTTCTGCTCCATCTTTTGGCTAAAGAAGCGCGGCCTCATGCCCGGTCTGAGCTTCTCGAACGAGCTCATCAGTCGTGACGAGGGCATGCACACGGACTTCGCCTGCCTTTTGTACTCCAAGCTGGTCACCAAGCTGCCGGAGAGCCGTGTACACGAGATCATTCGTGACGCTGTGGTGATTGAGCACGAGTTTGTGCGTGACTCGCTCCCTGTGGAGCTGATTGGTATGAACTCTGCCCTCATGTGCCAGTACATTGAGTTCGTGGCTGACCGTCTGCTCTACTCGCTTGGTGTGTCCAAGATCTACCACGCTAAGAACCCTTTTGACTGGATGGACATGATCTCTCTCCAAGGCAAGACCAACTTTTTCGAGAAGCGTGTGGGCGAGTACTCCAAGGCCGGCGTTGGTGTCGCCGCTGAGGAGCAGGTTTTCACTCTGGATGCGGACTTTTAAGTTCGTGTCTGGGATGAAAGAGTGGGTAGTCGTCTTTCGCCGCCCGCAGCGCGCCATGCAACTCATCACGTAGCGTGGTTAAGGTCTTAAGGTCGCAGCGGCAGTGTATATAGCCAGCTTCGTTGCATATTTAAAAAAATATCTGAGATTCATTCGTCAGTCATGTGCTTGTCTTTCAATTGTTTTGATTTTAGTGCTCCTCGTTTTGCTAGGGTAAATAAATTCAAAGGAGATTAAAATTGTTTCAAAGATAATGATCATAAAGAATGCAGAGCAGGGGCCTCGTTCAACGAGCTAATGGATAGCCTTAACTACTCCGATCGCCCTGTCGAACTCTGAGATCGAAACTTCAACAATTGCTACCACTTCAACACGAAGGACCCAACTTGGATGTGCATCTTTAAGAGATTGCTGTACGTTGGAGTTTTTTTGCTTATCTACATGCATTTCCGTTTATGGCGCGGAGAAGTTGGAACAGAGTGTTTTAGCGTGCAATTTATCTATTATACGTGCTTGTACAATCTCAAGGAGCAAGGGTGGTCTGTACGCTGCTCCTGTGCTATACAACGACCTCGCAAATTATGCTCGACTTTTTCTTATGTCGTTTTCACTTATTTGGTGGCAGTAGGTGCCATAGATACCGAGTTCATAAAATCCATGTTCAGTCCCTCGTCCTCGTCATCGTCGTCGTCGATATTGATCATGCTGCTCTCACGAGGCTGAACAGATGAACGTTCGCTGTAGCTTCCAATGGAGCTGCGAGTGAACTTGAAATGCTTCTTCTCCGCCGTCTCTGTGCGACTGGCAGGCGAGTCGTCACTAGCTGGAGGCTCGCGCGCAGGTTGATCTTTCAGGCCCTCCGATTTATAGGAAGACGCAGTAGAAGAACCCACGAAAGAGTTAAACTCTTCATCGTCGTCTCCTTCGATGTCGTTCTCAAAGTCATCCTTCACGACAGGCGCCGGTGTGGGCATGACAAACTCGTCGACCGAAGGCGGTGACGGTGGGTCGCTGAAGGAACCAATCGATGAATCGTCATCACTGTATTGCAGCTGAGACTTCGCGTTTTCCGCAGGCGAGAGCTGCTGTGGCTGTGGACGCGTTGGGCTGCGACGTCTGTTATCAGTTTGCTTCGTCGGACTGGTAACCGGAGGTGTATACTTTGGAACGGTGCTGCCGACGAAGCGGCCTTCTTGATCGACGGGCATCGCATTCGACACCGGGTGGTAACTGGTGAATTCCTTGACGTCCAATGTATCGCGAATCGCCTCGTTCGTGGGTGATCCGGTAGCAACATCGTTGGCAACACTAGCGCCCGCTCCCACACCTGTCGTGAGCCAGTCGCGAACGCTCGTGAAGGGAAAGCCACTGCACGTGGGGCACTTGGGAGTAGTGGTGAAGGTGTGCGAGGCGAGCAGAGCGACAAAGTTGCGTAGTGCCTTCTTACGGTAGTTAATAACGACGGGCGTGACGCTCGTGAAGACGTGCTTGCGCGGGAACTCGAAGAGCTTGAGCACCTTCTCGTAGTTGCGGCATCCTGGACACTTCTTGTCGGTCTTGGCAAAGAAGTCGATCAGGTCGTTGCGCAGCTGCAGGAACTCAGAGAAGCGGCGCGGGGCCTCCCACACCTGACCGGAGCGGATGTTCGTGACACGCACGTGGTAGCGCACCTTGCCGTCTCCAGTCGAGTCAACAGTGGGGATCTGAACGCGTACGAGACACTTTTCGTCCACACGGCCTTGCTCGCCGTTGCGCGAGTAGGCGTAGCGCGACGTGGGGTTCATCGTGATCTGTATTGACGTAGTGTGGCGTGGATAGTGCTTGGGAGCAAGTTGGATGATGAATGGCACATGATTCATGCTGCTCCATTTCGACGATCGGACGGCTAAGAGCTATGGAGCTCTTCGAGTAAGACGCGAGGGGCTTCGAGATTTTTAGCCAATCATCTGGGACCATCAATGGCATCTTGGTCCCACCGTTTGATGTTTCTTCAGAGAGTCAGAATTTACTTGACTTTTGTATGTCAACGGTCAGTGGAAGCCGGTTCATGTTACCGATTTTGTGGCTCGTAGGAAGCACCAGTGACGTCAGCGTTTCATTTTTTACCAGAACACGAAGACGTTACGGCTGCCGCGCAATGCTCGAGGCATTTGGCGTAATGATGCGATGGAAAGTCCATAGCCAACGACAACCGCTAGGGGTATTTAGTTGACGAGCCACTTGGTCATACTCTCGGAGATTTCTCGACCGAGTGTTAGCAAGCGCAGTGGTTTCAGCCAGCGCTAGCGTCGCCTTGTACTGACACAGGCTCGTTAAAGGAGCGCAACTGACGCAGTGATTTCTTGCTTCGTTGTCGCGCGTACGCTGTGCTGTGTCTGCAGCTGGGACTGAAGCAGCTTACTAGCTCGTCGATCGCATTCGTTAAGCAGCACAGACGACATGCTATTTAATAGATGTAACTGGAAACTCTCGTTTCTTCAAGCCTAAGCTACAGGTGTACACAAGTAATTGAAGCGCGGAGTGCTGTGATCTGCGCCTAATTGGCCCTTCAACGTAAGCTGAGCAGTATTCAGCTCAATCAGAGAAGTTCATACTTGTATCAGATGTGATGGCAACCAAGGTAGTACCAGTACGTACAGACACGCTGTGGATAATAGTCACGGTGAAAATCGTGGTGAGATCGCTGTGTAGTCTCAGAATAGGATCCATGAAGATCCCCGATCGGATAAGAAGATCTAAGATTTTACTGTGGTTACCACCACAGTATGGTATTAATAGCGTGTGGATGCACATTGCATCTCACCTATGTGTTCATTTTACCTTTCCACACAAAAATTTGGAGTGCTCTCTGGCCAAAACTGCTTGCATGGACATCTTAAGCAAGCGTACAATGTCACATGCCAATCACTAAAATCGTTTTCTGCCGTATTATGGTTATAAGCTCCTCCACTTACTTTAGCAGGTGAGTGCATTTGCCTCGGTGTTAAACAGAGATCGCAGTAGTAACGAGAGTATATAACTTATCGGCAGCGAATGCTGTTGTAATGGATGGTTTCGAGAATGATATGGGCCTGTTTCGTCTGGAAGATGGTCTCATGCTTGTTATCGTCCCGAACTGCAGTGACAATCAGCACGACACCCTCCATCACTTCTCACAGTTACATTCCGCTGTAAAATTTGCTAAAATCCACTTTGATGCCTCCATAATGCGGACGACGACAGCAACAACGCGGAAGACATCATTGAATTCAACACGATTGATTCAGTGTACCGTTATACCTGTGTTTTACCGCTATCCCCGCCCTCGACGGGATCTTCGGCATCCATAGATTCGTCCGCTTCCGCCCACACTACAAAGCACCCACACAAACATAGGCAACCCTCATCAGATCATCGTTTATCGTTGCGTTGCAACCCATTCACACAATAAATCTCCGGCACGAACCTGGTTTGTCGGATCCAAGTTTCGGTCGGTCTGGCTTAGCTATAGTGACTCGCAGAGTCCTTCCAAAAAGCTCCGACTCTACATTGAGCACAAAGGCAAACATTCCCAGTTTTAGCCACAACAGCAGACACCAGTTCCAAGCAGCAATAACACGTACCGTCCATATTGTCAATAGCTGCTCTAGCATCCGCCTCGTCCTCAAACTCCACAAACCCAAAGCCTTTTCCTCTTTCTACAATATCACCCGAAGTCCACCAAAGTCAGACTCAAATTCCTCATTGATCGAAACCCGCAGACGTACGCGTGTGGTAGTCTAAGGGGATCTGCACACTCTTGATAGGTCCGAATGGCACGAAAGCCGTGTACAACCCCTGCTCCGTCACCTGGTTGTCCAGACCGCCAACATACAGAGCGCGCTTGTCTGTCTTGTTCATCATCGAAGGCAAATGCCGTGGTGCAAATTTAAGGTCTTCATTTAAGTGCGATCTGATCTTTTCACAACCGAAACGCCTCCCAGAATTTAGAAGTCAAGGAGGAGACGTAGCATCAGGGGCCTCGTTCCAAGTAGGATATCGCAATGAGCACAGCTACGGACGAGCTCTTCAACCAAGGTGCGTAAGAGAAAAACGAAAGGAGGCCATTTGCGTCCAATTACGGTCTCTAGATACGCTCCCGTTGCGAAGAAATTGCAGGTTACAGAAAGCCTTTTATAACTATTTAATTGGATGGAATATTTGGCAACTAGGCTGGGGCGACGTGCTGAGCAACATCTCGCCGTACGCGTGGGGAAGCATGGGTGTAGCTCTTGGTCTCACTCTCTCCATTGTCGGCGCGGCCTGGTATGTTCCGGTTGCTCTACGCTTCGTAGAACTTCGACTGACTTTTTGGTATTAATTCCTTGTGTCGACAGGGGCATTTTCATCACGGGTTCGAGTCTGCTGGGTGCGGCCGTGAAGGCCCCACGCGTCCGCTCCAAGAACCTCGTGAGCATCATTTTCTGTGAAGCCACTGCAATCTATGGCGTCATTATTGCGATCATTCTGCAGAGCAAGGTATGGCAATTGCCCTTGGGTCACGACAAGTGAATAATGCTTACACTGTGAGCTTTTGATATCTGAGCAGATGAACCAGCCTGGACTGCGTAACGAGGGAGACGAACCGATCAACGAGCAGGCACTGTACTTTGCTGGGTATGCAGTGTTCGGCTCAGGTATCGCTGTGGGCTTAACGAACCTTGCCAGCGGGTACGAGCAGTTGCTAACATACATGGAACGAGTAGAGGAGAGGAAGGGTTAATTTTTACTAACTTGTCATGTTTTTCTTGTTTGTTCTCGTGATTCAGAGTATCTGTTGGCATTGCTGGCAGTAGCTGTGTGCTAGCCGATGCTCAGAATGCGGCACTTTACGTGACGATCTTGATTGTGGAGATTTTCGCCAGTGCGCTGGGCATCTTCGGAGTCATCGTTGGTATTATTCTGTCCAACAATGCGGAGTTTCCTAAGTAAGCACAGGCGGTGAAGCCGAGGCAATCTCAAGATTAACGCATAAGGTCGCAAGTACAAAACTACCGTAGGCAAGGCCAGTGGAGATACGTTCTGTGGCTGCATCCAGCTCAAATTCACCATTTAAGCATGTCAACGCATTACTTTCTTCTTATCGGATTCAGGTGTTGGCAAAATCCCAGCGATTGTTTAGTTATTTCCACATCGCGCGATCACTATCGACGTCTACAGGCGCGTACCACTCGGGCATTGGGCGGTCTGGGTTGTATCTGGCAAAAAAATCAAAATTATAAAGTGAGCACTCACTCTAAAGTCATCCTTGATTTCAAAAGAAACACGTACCGGTAGTTGAGGAACAACTCCTCTTCATCGGCAATGTCCGCCGTGGCAATGAATGCGAGGCCCTGTTTCGATATAGTATAAATGAAGTTGTCAGTATGATCAGCATCGTTGAGTAGAAGCAAGATATTCGCTGACCAATTACATACATGCACAATAGCGCGTTTGCCAAACATGGAGAGACGAGAGGGCTCTTGCACAAAGTTATTCGGAATGAGCTCATCGTATTCCTTCGTCGTAAATGGCTCTAGACAGAACAGAAGCAACAACAATACGGTAAGCATGAATTGCGTCTGTAACAACTATGAGAAAATATGCCAGAACCTTCGGGAGGGAACTCAAAGGCGAAGCCAAGCACGTTCGGAGATGTTCCGCTGGGAGGATGGTTGATTTTGTGCGCAACAGCAAGCGGGTTTCTTGGGTTCGATGCTGGCTCAGTGAAGAACTATCGTTAGCGATGGAGTACGAAGAGGTTAGTGTCAGTAAAGATATCTTACACTCTTTTTTGGCGTCAATGATAACACTATCAAAGCGAGCACGGGCATAGGGGTTGTTTGTTAACTCGCTCAGGTGGTGTTTCTGATGGTACCAAAAGACAAGAAGTTAACAACGAAGTGTCCCAACATAAAGCACATTTAATACCTTTTTGTAGTGCTCTGGTAAGTAGACGATGCCAGGATACAGGGCCTGTATGGGAAATGCGAAACAAACAGTGCTTAGCAAGTAAAGCAACGGAGTAGAACATCCGCAATTCAGCCGGATATGTACCACTAATGACCCAATAGGAGCAGAACCACGAAGCTTCACGCCTTCGCCAGCACCAGGAACGCTGGACTCTTCCACATTTAAGGTAAATCCGAAGAGTTTTTGGAAGTTGTCCGTGATTCCAAGCTGAAAGGCACCAATGCATTCATCAGAACAGTAAACAACAATCGTGCAATGCTATAAACCATCACATCACCTTTTCCTCTACTTCATTATTTCGCTCGAACCCGGACAGTGACATTTTGGGAGCGCTCTTCTCCGAGTCCTTGGGCATTTTCAACACCGCCTCGAAGCAACTCTGGACCTGCACATAGTGAGCCAAATACAAACTCAGCATGGACTGTATCATCCCCACCAACCGCTATTTTCTTGGCACACCTGTTTGGTAACCTCGTCTTGCACATACTGCTTCTGCTGCTCGAACTTCTTTGAGCCGACAATTTCCACGGCCTGGTCGAACAGCTCCTCGTGCTCTCTACAGCGTCAATCAACGTAACATCACCGTCAATACTTCCACAACAACCTCCAACAGTAACATCTACTGCCAAGATAATCCTCACTTGTTGTCGTTCTGTGGGTCAAGCTTCAAGCTTCGGAAACAGCTCAGCACGGCAGCGACGCCCACATCGGCCTCCTCCTACACAGCGTTCACAGCACAGTCAGCGTAATTTCCTATTCCATCTAGATGTACGCGCTGCGCGTTACAACAGTAGCAATGTTCAACGCACCTGAAAGCGCCGTGCGGGTGTGGTGCCAGCGATTCGGAGCTGCAGTCGACGCCACACGCTCGTCATGGTTCAACCAAAAATCAAAAGCCTAGCAGTTCAGTGACATGTCACTGTTTGCCTGACTCTAGATTTGCGGCTCCAAACACTGCATCTGTCCAGCTTGAGTGACTGTGATGGCGAGCAACAGCAGCGAGATGCCCGAGCCTGCGGCCGAGCCACCGCACCCATGGGGCCCACACATGCACATCGGCAAGGTCTTCCTCAAGGGCAACGAGCGCACCAAGTGCGTCCCATTCTAATCATCCCAATATCAAGCAACTGATTGTCGGTCATCTGACTCTAAACTTGTGATACAGACCCGAAGTGTTTGAGAACGAGCTACAGGTGGGATTTGGATTCTGAGCGTTACCTTGTTAGTTGCGTATCTGAACTATTGGTGACGTATTGGATCTGTAGGAGGTGTACAGCGCTGAGCGTATTGGCCATTTGGTGCGCAAACTTGAGGAGGCCACGGAGGAACTAAAGGCTCTCGACATCTTCGAGTCGATCAACATTGAGCTGGACGAAGGTGCGGGATTGGTGAAGGAGGTAGTTCAGGAGAGATAAGTGAGATACTGACAAGTTGATGGTTTTATTCGGATCCAGCGAGCTCTGGCGAAAGGGATGAGACGGACATCACTATCACAGTGAAGGAGAAGGGCTGGCGGTCTCTACACGTTGGCGCGACCACCGACGGCAGCGACGAAGCAGGAGTACGATGCTGGGGCTGAAGAAAAATAGAAAGAAATACTAACGGTTCTCACTGCATTGATATGACGGTGTAGGAATCCACGCTTACGTTGTCGAATGCGCTCGGAGAAGCCGAGAAGATTACGCTGAGTGCTACCTATGCGCGCTCGGGTAGTAACACGCAGCGAGCGACTTTCAAAAAGCCCCGCTTTTTGGGTCTGCCGCTGTACTTGAGTGCCATCGGCACCAATGAGTTACACGTACGTTGCTGTGGAAGTGTTTAACCACGATTTATACCCTCGAGTAACTGATTCTATTACTTTTTTGCACTTCACAGAACCAAGAGTGGTTGAGCTCGTACAGCGAAAAGATTCGTGCCGGTAGCATTTCCATCAGCGACTATGAAGGCGTGCACGATCTGTCATTGAACGTTGGTTGGCGTGACCTGCTTCCCCGTCGTGACTCAAAGATTCCCACCGCATACCGTGCATCGCCCAGTATTCTGGCCGAGGCGATGCCGTCCACCAAAACCAGTGTGAAATACGTTTTCACGGACGACAACCGGAACAACGTGGTGTATCCAACTGCTGGAGGGCTCTTCAAGTACACGTAAGTATTTCTTGCATTGTGGACATTTGAAAATTTGTGTTGATCTCACAGATTATGTGATTAGGACGGAGATTGCCGGTCTTGTGGGCGACGTGAAGTTCGTCAAGGCGGAGGTGGAAGGCCAAAAGCACGTCGCAGTTGGGCCCGCTGTCTTTGGCTTCCCGATCCTAAACTTCAGTCTCTCGTGCCACTTGGGAACGGTAAAGTCGTACGGCAGCGAGCAGCACCGGCCAGCGCGCATCAGTGACCGCTTTTTCCTGGGTGGCCCTATGAACGTGCGTGGCTTCAACCACAAGGGCATCGGTCCTCGAGCCTCCCCTCTTGATGGTGGAGTTGCACAGGGCGATGCGCTCGGTGGTGATGTGAGCTACAACGGAACAGCAAGCGTAGGCTTCCCTGTTCCACTGCCACTTTTTGCGGTAAGTTTGGATGTTGTTGTGATCATGTCGAAGGCGTTGTATCTGAGTTGTGTGGATTGATTTTACCTTTTTTTTATGCAGGCGTTGGGTCTCCGTGGGCAGCTCTTTGCCAACGCTGGCAATCTGACTACGTGGGATCGCCTATTGGACGAGAAGAAGTGGATGAAGAATCTCGCTGATGATACGCGCGTGTCCGTCGGCGTGGGTCTTGTGTGGGGTACTCGCATCGGACGCCTCGAGGCCAACTACTCGTGGATTCTCAAGGCGCATGATCATGTAAGAGAAATCAAAGTTCATGAATGTTTTTGGACTCTAACTGACGTATTGATGCGCTACAGGATAATATCAAGCGTGCTCAACTTGGCCTCGGCATGACCTTTTGCTAGATGCAGGCTCATAGAGAGTAACAAGACAGTCCCCGGGAAGGAACCTTAAAGTTGATCAAATCCGCGCCGTCACACGTCACATATTTCTTTTCACAGCATCCCCTTGCATTTTCGTTACAACAACGAATTAGGTGGTGTAACGAAAATACAAGGGGATGTTGTTAACAATGGAATGTATCCATCGGAAACATCCTGAAAATTTTCGAATCGTTGTTTATTTCAGCTCATTTTATGCCTTTAAAAAATTACAGACGATCCCCTCGGTAGTAATCCCTAGACTTGAAATACTCCCTCAACAGCAATAAATTAGATGTTCCCATTGTCCAGCTGCTTACAAACCCAAGACATTATTCCCTCTCACCCCTCAGTTGTAAAATGGAAAACGTTTGAAGTCAAATATTCCTAATCTGTGGTGATTAATTAAAGGAACAGTCATAACTGCACAAGAGCATTGCTCGGATGTTGAACCGATGAAGCCTATCCTTTTGACCAGTTTGGACGTGACTCAAGCTTAGGATCACGGAGAAACGTTCTGCCTTCAGTCTAATTGCCTCATGCGTGACAGTGACACCCCTCTCTTTACACCACCCACCTGGCAAGGAACTTATCGAGTTTAGGATGGCGCGCCACATGCCGCAATTTTGTGGCCAACTGCGAGGCCGGAGGTGACTCCAGCGCTTTTCTGTGCATTACTAGGAATAGCTGCCATATCATTGCTTGTGGTGGAACCAGAAGAAGATCGTAGATTCAGTGGGTTTATGAATCTCGCTCTTTTTGCGGCAAATTAGGGATGTGAGCATGGTACTAGCATATTTGTACTGCAGTCGTTGAGTGTGAGGCGGACTGGGCTTGAGAGGTGGGTGTCTTGGTGTGGCGAGGCAAAGCTGGTACTAAGGGAGCAAAACAGGGTGAAACGCCAGTAATGAGCTACATTTATCGTCTCCGTTAATAAATTCAGTGCTCTGTTCCAAGCCAAAGGTACTCGAATCCATTTTTGTGTGTGTAGATAGGAATACCCGTAGACAGGAATAAATTGCGCGATGACTGCCGAGGGGATCGTGTGAACTACATTTTGCACATCTTTAAGCGGATCAGAACCCAAAGCCACTCACAAAGATTTGCGGCAAAATAGGACTTCAGTTCTCCCTCGAGCCTTTAATACTTCTGGCAGGTGATTCACCTGAGGAGAAGGAGCTCTTCAGTCTCCCCCGAGCTTCTAAGCAGCAGAAGCAAGACCAACCCAACTGCGTGCTACCACAGGTGAATAGGCGGCGGCTCCTCCTCTTCTTCTGCAGATGTCTTCTCTGCATGGACCAGCTACAGATCTCTGAACAGTGAAATCACTTCTTTTCAGGTGCAATGTATTCCGGCAACGCGGCGCGTATTTACAATCCCCAGCCGGACCCGCTGGAGCGCGGACCACCAAAGCGCGTGCTGCGTGAAGAGCAGCACATTGGTGAGATGGTGGCAGCCTCCAAGAAGCGCGTAACGTGGCGCTTTACGCTGGGCGAGTCGGACCGCACACACGAGGTTGTGCTGATCCACTCAATTATGAGCTACAAGAAGGTGCGGCAGCAGTTAGGAGGCTTCACTGCAGCCTACAGAGGATCCAGTATTTCTTTGTTTCAAGTGGAAAACTGATAAGCGCATTTTTCTGGTTGAATGTTTTGCCTGTGCAGGTGGTTCAGTACGACGGCCGCCAAATGCATTTCTCGTCAACGGTAAGGAGAGCTTTCAAGTTGAAGTGAGTTGGATGTGATCTAACGGACTTGTTGCGGTGTTGTGGGGGCGTTTGCAGGCAACGTTGGGAGACTGGAACTTTTCCATGATCCTGGACGGACTTAACATGGTCATGGAAGTCCGCATCAACGACATGGAATCGGCCGAAGTGCCGAAATATGGTGTGGTTGCGCTTGAACGCCTCGAAGCGAGGGGGAGAAGGAATGTGTGTGACTAATGAGGATTTTTGTTGAATTTGTTTTGGTTTGTCAGACTTTGTCATTGACCGGATTCCGTTCCGTCGCTGGGATGTCTACCGTCGCAAGAAACACGCGATCACTACGGCCACTTATGCGCAACCGAGTGCTCCTTCTGGAAGTAGGTGCTTTTCTTGCAATTGAATTGTGTCCTGGTAACTAATAGGATATTCTTTGTTGGTGGGATTCAGATGCGTATGGAACGCACCGCTGGGGACCGAATGGAGCTACGCCACCGTCCCAGAATGAACCTCAGCCGTCTGGTGGGTTGTTCTCGGGTAGCAATCCAGGATCTTTCACGGGGAATAATCCAGCATCGGACCGCACGCAGAGCTTTGGTCATCAGGGTGCTCGATCGCGCTCGTCGTCAGGACATAGTACCGGTAGTAATGGACGCACCCGCAGCTTTTCAGGACAACAGAATGGGCAGCAAAGCTTTAGTGGGCAGCAGAGTGGACAGCGCTCGTCTTTGCAAGAGCAGAGAGCTCCTAACACGACAGCATCGAACTCTAATCGACAACCACCTCCGGCTCCAGCAGCGCAGAAGCCCAAGAAGCAGTCTGAAATCAATCTCATTGACGACTTTGGTCCAAGTGTGAGTGTTTCTGCGCAGTCGTTAATCTTCGATCCTCTGGCCAGTGTGAGTGCGGTGTGTCACGTGAAGAACAAGTATCACTTGTGATGATATATCTCATGTTTTGATTGTTGTATATCTTAGGCTAAGATATCATCTACTGGAGATTCAATAGCCTCAAACTCGTCGCAGCAACAAGTACCACAACACCAGCAGCAACTAGCGCCACCAGCTGCCGCGATTCCCCAGCCAGCGGCTTATGTCGATCCGTTTGCTTCCGTTGCAGCACCAGTTATGACAAAGCCTGCCAGTAGCATCAATTTGGACCCATTCGCAGCTCAAAACGCAAGTAGCTACCAGCAGCCTCCGCAGCAACAACAGCAACAACCGATTCGTCAAATGACAATGGGGTGTCAGCAGCAGCAAACGGGTATGCCGATGGGAACTCCTCTGGGAGGAATGGCGATGCAGCAACAGGGAATGCGAGGTTGTATTACGGGGCAACAACAGCCTGTTGCTTCCGGAGGTATGGGCAACGTGAATTACAGCATTTCTCAGCTCATGAACCCGGCAAACCTCCAAACCAGCCAGCAGAACCAGCAGAGCAAGTCCATTAACATTGATCCGTTTGCTAGCCTAAGCCGTTAGCATCACGAGGCAAGCGAGCGATGAGAATTCGCTAGGACATGTTGATGTCAGATCAATGTCGAAATGAAACCAGTATTCGAATGATAGACACGTTCTCGAAGTACTTAGTAGTCCTTCTGCGGTGCTGACGTGTACCACGGCCGAGCACGTCTGCAAAGCTGCTTCATGGCTTTCGTTCGCTGTGCGTTCTCCACCCTGAGCAATTCTAGTGCTCTTGCGTACTTGGACGACAACGATTACCTGCACGTGGTCCTGCAATCGTTTGTCTGCTTGCACGGTCCATTTTTCTCCCGCAGCTTGGCATCTGCAGTGTGAGCTCGTTTGTACACTTGTCAACGGATGCACGGGCACTCCTTGCCACTTTCCGAGCAGCCACGATCACCTGGTTGAACATTGCATGTTGTCGATCCAGCATACACGCGTCCAATTTGACTTGTAATTTTTTTGAAGCAGCATCGTGGGCGCAATATGCTGCGTAGCTCGATCTTAACTGTGTCTAATAACCGCTCCAAATTCCGCAAAGCGCCCGGCCACTCGAAGGCTTCGAGTCGAAGCTATGAAAAAAAATCGACGATCTTACACTTGCAGGAAGAGTTGCTCCTCTACCGTAGTGACACCCGTATTATAGTCTCTACGGACCGTAGTGTCAATCGTACCCTCTGTCGAACAACGGGCACTTGCATGCAGACGTGGGACTTATCACTGAATCAACAATGAGCATACCTGTGTCATTCATCATCACCTTGAACTGAGATGAACAAGACCATTTGTTGATGACAGAAATTCGCCTCTATTGTAATAATTTACAGGGGCAGTTCATGCTGCGCCTTTGACGGTCGGTGTGCATTGTCGCCGAGCGCCTTCTAGTAGTTTACTGTATACCACATCCAGTGTCATTGGTGCTCCAGCTCATGGCTGATGTGTATTTGCGCGTGGCCTTCTCCAGCGCGATGAGGTGCGGGTCGCGGACCTGTAGTGCGCGCATGCAGTCGCAGAGCTTGAAGAGGTACTCGAAGTTGGGGCCGCTGAAGCCACTGCGGGTGGCGATCTCTTTGGCCATTTCATCGACGGGGGACGGGCCGAGGAAGTCCGAGTTGGACGGCGTGGCAATGTAGACCAGCGCCTTACGCACCACACCGTCGACGCAATGCACATCCACCATTTGGCGGTCGTAGCCGGCCTGCTCGCGGTTGTCGAGCTTCGTGAGCGTGTCCTGAACCTCCTCGTCAGGCACCTTGTACAGGCGGCCCCACGTGATGTGGTCGCCCGCCAGATGCGCGTGTTCGTCGTCGAACTTCTTCATCTCCTCACGGCTGATGAGCGTGACGACTCGGCCCTTGGCTTCGGGTGAGCCGCGGTGGTCCGGGCTGCCCTGCCAGAAGCGGCGATGCCAGCCTTCGACGTAGCCGAACACCGTGTCCTCAGCGGGGAACTCGGTCTTCCAGACAATCGAGCCGTAGCCAAATACCCACATGATTTGAAGTTAGATGGAGCGGTGGGGAGGAAGCAGAGTTGCTGCGAGGCTTGATGTGCCACTGATGAGGCGAATTCCAGAATGAACTGGAGTGGCCAGGTCGGCAAAGCCCAGCAGTTGCATCCAAGGTTATTCCCCTAACCCACACGCACAATTGTGTTTGAGCAAAAGCCCACCCCAAGAAAATTCCCTCGCGAAATGCGACCCGGTAAATCCCGGCATGCAGTGAACGCACTGGCGGGCACCCAGACACGCTGCATGCAGCGGACCTCGATAGCCCGCGGGCGGAACGATTACCTGAGGTGTCGTCGTCGCGATATCGCTGCACCAATTTGCACTTCCCCCGTAGCCACCTCCGTAGCCGTGGTCGTTTCGGTCTGGCTATTGTATCCAAAGATACCTGCATATTAATATCAGGAGCATAATTTTCAGCGGCCAAAAGAACAAGACAAGCCAGGTCTGAACTTGAATCCAGCTGCAGCGCCATTTGCGCTGGAATCAGCGCTCACCGAGCACCTAGGCCACTCATACCCTGCGCAGCACGCGACGGGAACAGCCTTCCGTATCGATCGCGCTTCGAGCCAGCCGCGCAGATCTGCTTGCTACAAAAGCAATGGAGCTGTGGTGTCGCCTCGAGCTGATTGGGCGAAGACTGCCACGTACACCTAAAGGCGACTTGACAGCGCACGAAGCGACTTGCTGGCCCGTTTTTTTTTGTTTTCCGCGAGTGACGTGCATGAAGCGACGCTACGTTGGCCCGGTTTTGCTTGCTGTAGGCAATACGACCAATGAGAGCAGAGTATCCTTATGACTAGGTGCGACTGTAGTCACCGTGGTAATAATCTTAGTCGCGATTGGTTGACGAGCATCCTCTTCATCCGTGATCCGATTGGCTGAAACCTCCTTTTCCGCCCCCCATCCCCCCTCCACCACCAGAACTGCACTTGTCGCCTCAACTCGCCCAACGGAGCCCCAGAGCAGGCGGTGATAGGCCCGTCGACGCTGCAGAAGACTCATTCCACCGCTCCATTGGCGGCTCCGTGCCGCTGTCACACCACCGCGATGGTGGGACCTCAAGTGAGCGCATCCTGGAGGGCGCGTCGTTGCCTGGACGTCGAGATAGGTCACCGCGAGTAAAGTGCTTGACGCTCAAGTCGGAGAAGAAGCCGGGCGAGCGCTCCTGCAGCACCAGGCGCGAGGCGATTGTTGACGGAATCGAACACGCTGAATGTCGTTGGTGGTGCCACTGCTGCTGGCTGATTGGCTAGACTCCGTTGGAACACGCGAAGTCGGGTTGCTACCTACGCAGGGACGACATGGACGAAGTGATTGAAAGCGAGCAAATCAGGTAGTGGTGGTCTCGAGGCTGTAGATTAAACACTGACCGCCCTCCAGCCTTCGTCAACGTCTCGATGCTTTTGTGATCCTCGCTGTACGTGTGAAATTGACAGACTCGACTGTCTTGGCATCTAAGCAATCACGCTAGGCAAGGCATGCTCATTTACCTGCCGATCTTACCACGCCTGATCCATTGTCTTTATCGCACTTAGCTTACGTCTACGGTGTAGAAGTTACAATGACTATAGGAATGTTGTGGCTAGTAAACAATGTATCTTGGGGGGAACAGCTGATAACATTTGCTCCCACATTATAACCTGCCGACAATTTCCGATTTTTCAACTGATGAACGGAGCACAAGGGGGAAACATGTAGCGTCAAAATACTGTTGAGTCTTGATGTTCATCGGCAGACGGGAAACATATTCGTTTCATGCAACGTTTGAAAAAGAATAGTCCCTTAACTTCTTCTACTGTACTGAAGTAAGTTACAGTATGTAATAGCTTCCTGATAAAGACTGGGAGCCACGACCTGACACAACTCGATTGGCGTAAGTTTGCGTTGTTAATATCCACCATTTGCCTTCGTGCACTGCTTAACTTCTAATTTTCTATTAGGTCCATGCTTCAGAGCGCCCATCAAAGCGTTCTGGAGTCAGAATTAAAATTTCCATGTGCGTTGCCGTAGTCTATCGCCTACCGCTGGTTTCGTGCTCCGATCTCCAGCATCCCTTCCGCGGTCCGCATCACACCCATTGCTTTACAGATCAATGAAATGGTTTCCACGAGACAAAGTGCAGCGGTCTCTGCTCGTACTCCGAAGTACGTATAACAGACAGGTTTACAAGATTGGTTTTTATTTCCGAAGGCAATCATCTTCCATGCTCTCTGAAATTCTTCGTCCTTGCTTCTTTCAGACCGATCTGTGCAGGCCTAGATAGTTATCCTAGCTGATGACGATTAAACAGTGTCTGCGATCTGGTCACCCTCGCTTGACAAGAAACCTAGCTCGTCTTCTTCACGGATAGAAGGGCAATCGCGAAGGATAGCGTGCGAAATAGCAAGAGCGCCGCTGCAAAGATATCAAAACACAAGATTCACAATAGTCAGACCATAGATCCCGTAGACGAGTATTAGAAAGAAAAAAAAAGCTAAACTCTTACCTAGCCGAGCAGATCGTAAAAAGAATCGATCCTCCGAAGACGACGATAACAGCAGCGCTCACTAAAACAAGGCAAAGCATTCCCGTGAGTCCAAATTCCAACTCCAGCATTCTGTGGATCTGTAACGTACCACCGAGCATGCCGAGCTTCCTCTGGTCGGGAGTCACCGTGCGTCCCATAATTTTCGTCGGGTTCTCGGGCGACTCGTTCGCCGTCGCGCTCGACATGTAAAGCCAGAAGCCGCCCAGACAGATCAGCACGAACAGGAAGAACGGGTTCAGCAGACTGTATCAACAACATCAGCATGGTCGCAACGGTAAGCACACCGTCTATCTACTCTACCAAAGTGAAAGTCAATACGCCCACATACATGGTGACCACGCCAACAAGCGCAGCAGATATGGCGTAGTTGGCGCTGAAGAACAGCGCATTCTTACGGCACCGCGAAGCCAGCACGTCGCGCCCAGGCACATTGAATGGCTTCTCCTCGCCTAACAATATCCCATACAAGAAATAGCAGCGATAAGAAGACTGAAAAATGGATAATTGAAGCCGGGCTGGAGACGCACCGAGGCCGAAGAATTGGGAGATACCGCGCACGTTCCGGATGTCCACGGCCTTGAGGAGCTGATTGCGGAACTTTTGCAGCGCGTGCTGCGGAACCTCCATGGTAATAGTGCCCTGGGGCTCTTCGGAGGCGACCTTCACAGCGCTCATGACGTTGCGGAAGCTGGTTCTTGTCGATCGTGAGGGAAGAGAAGTGCCAGAAAAACTGTTGGCAGGCTGCGGTTCGCCCAAAATAGCGCCAACTAGCGAATCATGAATTGTCGCTGTTCTTTAATTGACCAATCATCGATCACCTAAGATCTTTGCAGCAGAGTGAATGACACTTCAACCTCAGCAACTCCACGCGCGCCCTACAAATGCAGACACGCCGGCAGGGAGCGAAGGCCAAGGCTCCGATGAAGAAGACCTGTGAGCTGGACGACACGCCAGATGAAGACGGTGAGTGGATTACCTGCTTGTTCGTCTTCGGTTCTCTTCTGACTTGAAGCCGGACAACAAACATAGTTTTTGTTGCCGTTATGACGCCTTGCTAACCTCAGCGAGTTTACACTTTGCAGCTCGCTCTTATGACGGAGATAAGGTCGACTACCCGTATGCATGAGATGTGCTAATGGACTAACGAACCGATGTGTCATTTTAATACCAGGAGAATGAGGTGAATGCGGTCAAGCCAGGACGCAAGAGTAAGCGGGAGGATGGCACTAGAGCAGGGAATGGCAAGAAGAGGCTGTCCAAGAGACAGAAGGTTGACAAGTCAGCTGGGAATGCGGTCAGCCAGGAATCGCCGCCGATCTTCATCTTCAACACGTCGAAAACTTCGTTCCGCAAGAGGAGGCAGCTCAAACTTGAGAGACAACATGATGATGATGAAAAGAATAAGAAGCGCATCGAGGATCTGGTTACCTACTTCAAGAACTTGGACAAGCAGAAGCTCGAGACGGTTTGAAGCACTGTGAGGTAACTTTTGTGCTTCCTTGTTTTGACAAAACAGTCTCCTGGTGGGGCTAACCTAGCTTATTCCGGCTACGCAGTTGCCAGCGCCAGAAGCTGGTCGCAGTAGCGAGGGCTTTGGTGACGTGTCCGGTTTTCTTCTGCCTTTTTAGCCAGCCGAGGGGCATCAATCACTATGGTTTCCTTGAGAACCTTGAAGACAGCCTCCTGCATCGGATCCACAGCCAATTAATTATGAGTTACAATATTCCTCTCAGTAGTAAAAAAAAAATCCTGTGCACGTTCTCTTACCTGGATGTCGGGTTCCGAATCGTCTAGGTGGACGAAAAGGCAGTCCATCGTGTAGTCAATAATCGTTCCTCTAAAGTGCTCCTTCGGCGCAGCTTTTAGGAAGGTGGTAAACGTCTGGCAGGCAGCTTTGCGCACAGTGTCGTTGCTGTCGTCCAAGCGCTTCAGAATCTCCGCATATAGTTGATGTACGGGCTCCTCTGTTCAAATCAGAAACAAAAGTGACCAGCCAGTAAAGTGGCACGTGAGTGTACTGCATGCCGTACCTCCCAAGCATCCAGGCAATGCCACGAACAGATACTGTAGTGCCAAACAGACCAGTTGGCGAGTCTTGGCATCGCTGTCGTCCATGGAAGACTTGAGGACGGGCAGCATCTGCGATCAAAGCATGATCACATTTATTAGCACAAACAATAACGCAGACGAAAGATCTCGAGACATTGAACCTGTGGCGCAGTCTCAAACAAACACTGTTGACCGGCGATACCCTGACGAAGAAGTGTGTACGCGCATGCTACAGCAACTTTTCTGATAAAAAACGCGCCACGTCAGAAAATGCAGTAAGCACAAAAACTGCAAGTCGACCAACCTAATGGTTGCAGCGACGCGTCCTCCACGCCACACGATGTTTGGAATAATAGCTTTCTGGAGTAGTGCCACGCTAAATGGCTTGAAGGCCTGATAGCCAAGAGGAGCCGACCTATGCGTTCAGATCGGTATGCAACATCCACAAGATATCAAAGCGTACCTGGCTGATGGCATCTGTCCCTAGCATCGTCTCCAATAACGCAAGGGACGCGAGTCGAACGTCTGCATCCTGATCTGGTTCTAAGTGGATCAAAATAATGGGTACAATTTTCCCCAAGTTTTCTCCACATGCCTAACACGAAATAACACAGGGGGATACGTCAGCGGGAATAAATAAGTTATAAGTGATACAATAAAGGACTTCGCACCGCTCCTCCACGCCGGCAAATAGAGTCAAATAGTACACGGCTCGGGTCACACTTTTGCCATCTTCCACTCACATCAGTAGGAAGCGTCATCGTGTCAAGCAGCTTACCCATGTAGCGCGCGTATAATACCTGCAAACAAGACCAAGAAAAACAAAACGAGAAGTGCATTGTCAAACCAACCTTAGTGCCAGGACAGTAACATACCTCAGCAGGCAGCTCCATTTCCGCAGCTAGCTCCTCCATCGATTCGGTTGCCTGAGGATAGCACGTCAGTCATCTGGAAAGCAACAGCGCATTTAAGCCTTGTCAGCTTTTGTGAAAACAGCGTACCATTTCAAAAGCAACTGATGATTCCGAGGAAGAGGCCAGGAGATGGTTCAAAACCCAGAAAAGTCGGAAGCCGATCTCATCCTTTTGCGCGAGTAGTGGCCCAGCAGTCTTGACAATACTTGAAACGACACCGGCCAATTGATCTTGCAGATCTGACACTTCAGATTCACGTAGACCAGCATCGCACAGCGCCTCGGTGATAAGCTACATGAATTCACAAGAACAGTGGAGTGAATTTCCATTACAGTGAGCGTATTTATCATAACAATTCTTACCTCCAAGTGAGCTCCGATCGTTTTTGTTGTCATGCCCTCAATGCTCATACCCAACAGAATCAATCCATTTGTGCGATGTTGAGCAGTGTCCTGTCCTGCCAACCTTCCTGCCACCATCGGCAACAAGGAGGCCAAAATCATTTGGGAGTCTGCGTAAAAGCCGACAACGCCCAAGCATGCTTTCACGCTGTTGTAGACAACTACTTCGTCGTCGCGGCAGATATTGCCCAGTGCTGCAAAAACCTTGTCCAAGAATGGGTTCATGTTCTGCTCCAGCAGAATCAGGTACGCACTGAGAACTTGAGTGTAGCGCTCGCGCACTTGCACCGTCCAGTCTCCAGTTTTCTCAAGAAGCTGTGGCAACACCTGCGCTTGAAGGCTAGCCGCAAGCTTACGGGCGCCAAGAGGCGGTCGAGTCTCGAAGAAAAGAGGCGGCGCGCTTTTTACATCATCCGCATCCACCTCCATGAGCTCCACATCGCCTGATTTAACGCCTCCGTCGTCATCCCGAGCCTCCCAGTTGGCTGAAAGTTCATTTAGCTTGGCGAGTGAAAGCGCTCGCACTTCGGGAGATTCATCCACGATACCAGCCAGAAAAATCGGGAAGATCGATGCCTCGAACTGCTGAACCTGCTCAATCTGACCCAGCCACGCTGCTAGCATGCAAACCAGTTGCTTTCTCACTGACGGTGCATGGTCGAAAACGACCTTACTCACAGCTGGTAGCAACACTTCCTTCATGAGCTCCGGTAGAGCCTCTGAACCACAAGGCACTGCAGCATCCAGTGCCTGCAACGCACAGACACGTACACGGCTGTGCTGGTGGCTCAGATTAACTACCATTGGGCGCACAATTGTGCCAATCTGCATCCCCATGTCGTTCTTCCAGTACTTGGAAATGAGGATGACACACTCCGCCGACATCTTCTTGGCGTCCGGGAACGGATCCACTGCCGTCTTGCCCAAAGCGTTGGCCAGCTCCGTGATGACGTCGCGCAATAAAGTCGGCATGTCTTTAACTGCAGCAAATTGCTTCAGAAACGCGTGCAAAAGTTGCAGAATTAACAAGCGGATCTCCTCCGTCGGTTCCGGGTACGGCATTTTGCCCAATCGAGAGTCTGCCAGAGCCACCAGCTCCTTCAGCGTCGCGTCCGACGGCTCCATCGCCTTGTTCTCGCACAGCAACAGTAGTGATGTGAGTGCACGCTCGCGGCACTTTTCGACGACGTCAGTCTCGGCGCATTGCAGAAGCGGGCACTGTAGGTTGGAGACGCACAGAGTGCGCAGCACCGCCGGCGACACGCGCGACGCCTCGTTCTGTAGCGTGCGGTTGAGTTTGTCGGCAGCGCGGCGGCGTACACTGCGGTCCGGGTCAGCCAGACAATTGATGTCGCGCTGCATCTTCATGGCCAGCATGTTGTACGCGCTCTCGTCCTCCGGAGTCAGCGCCATGGCTGGTATCCGATCACACTGACCCGCCACTCAACTCGACAATATAAAAAGCAAGTGATGGAAGATTGTGCAACATAATCGGCGATTACGACAACGTATGAGTAATGTTGCGAATGACAATGTTGCGCTTATATGACTTAAGAACTTCAACTTGGAGAGCTTGAATAGCTAAACGAAAGAAAGAGATACGTCCTCATTGCAAGCATCTACACTAGTTGCTCTATGTCTTCTACTGTTGCCTCTATATGAATACGAATTGCTCAGATTTTCAGCGGAGCCCGCCACGGACGCTGTCGGAAAAGACCGTCAAGCTCTGCTGCTGACCCGGCTTACTTCTTCTTGCCCTGCATTCGCTTGCGGCCGTTGGCAGTCAACTCACGCTTTCGCATGCGGATTTTGCTAGGAGACACGTCGATCATCTCGTCCTCACCGATGTAGGTGACTACGTCTTCTAGTGACATCTGGCGGATGGGGGACAGCTTGATGTTCTCGTCCGTACCGGCCGCACGCATGTTCGTGAGCTTCTTTTCCTTGGTGGGGTTGATCTCAATGTCCGTGGGGCGGCTGTGCTCACCCACGATCATTCCCTCGTACACTTCATCGCCAGGCTTGACGAACATCTCTCCGCGGTCTTCCAGCGAGTTAAGAGCGTAGGCCTGCGTTCAACAAATACGATTGTCAGAAAAAGTCAAAACTGGCAATAAATCATCTGTAAGTTGGCGTGTTCTAACCGTGCACACGCCTCCAGATGAGGAGATAAGCTTGCCCTTGGACGGAGGGGTTGCCGAGCCTTGGAATGGGGAGTAGCCGTGGAAGATCGAGTTCAGAATACCACTTCCGCGCGTGTCGGTCTTGATCTGCAAGCCCACAAATGAGTATCTGCACTAAAGAAACAAATACAAAGCAATGCATACCTCACTGCGGTAGCCCATGAGGCAACGACTGGGGATCTTGAACTGAAGTCGCACTTTGTCGTGCATCTCCTTGAACTCGATGATTTCACCGCCACGAGTAGACAGCTTGTCGATAACGGTGCCGGAGAAGTCGGAGTCAACATCGATCGTCACTTCTTCAATAGGTTCCAGCTTCTGCTTGGTCTCCGGGTCCGTCTGGAAAAGCACTTGAGGAGCGGAGACGGACATCTCGAAGCCCTCGCGGCGCATCTCTTCAATCAGAATAGCGAGCTGAAGTTCACCACGACCGTGAACGTCGAAAGCTTCCGACGATGCGCTGGGAGAAATGGAGATGGCCACGTTGTTCTGGAGATACCAATAACAGTAAGGGTTAACGCTTCTTGCAAATGGAGATAACCATTACTGTAGAATAGAAATGTACCTCGCACTCGCGCTCAAGACGCTGCTTAATGTGAGAAGACGTGAGGAACTTGCCTTCCTTGCCTGCGGTCGGCGCATCGTTCACACCAAACGTCATGGAAATCGTGGGAGGATCCAGCTGCGGCGACGGAATGGGCTCCGTCACAGAGACATCAGCGATTGTGTCGGACACGTAAGCGTTGACACCAGCGATGGTGATGATATCGCCTGAAACAATTAGCCAAAGGCATAAGATATTGAGCTCTTTTCAAGTATTATCATGGCGAATAAAAACGTACCAGCCGTGGCCGACGTGATCTCCGACTTGGCAACACCACGCGTGACAAACATCTTTGTAACTCGGCCGGTCTCGAGCTTCTTGCTCTCGCGGTTCATCACCTGAATCGAGTCGCCAATCTACATGCCAATATGATAAAGCGTACACAAAGCGGAATAGTCAGTCTTACATGGGCAAAGAATATAATAAAAGACAAGAATGCTTACCTTAACAGTTCCGGCGTGGACGCGGCCAGTGGCCAGACGGCCCACGTACGGGTCGTGGCCAATCATAGTAACAGCCATGGCGAATGGCTTGTCAGCATTGGCGTCAGGTGCAGGAACGTAGCGGGTAATCTCATCCAGAAGCGGCAGCATACTGTCACGCGACTCGTCCGAGTTGTCAAGGTCGTGCACAGCCCAGCCCTGCTTGGCAGAGGCGTACAGCACGGGGAACTCTAGCTGGTCATCGTCAGCATCTAGCGCTACAAACATGTCGAAGAGCTCGTTCTCCACCGAACCGTCCAGGCGGCTAGTGTCACGGTCCACCTTGTTGACAACCACGAGCGGCTTGAGTCCACGGTGAAGTGCCTTAGTTAGCACGAACTTGGTCTGCGACATAGGTCCTTCTGTAGCATCCACGACCAACACCACGCCGTCCACCATACTCAAAATACGCTCCACCTCACCGCCAAAGTCAGCGTGACCGGGTGTGTCAACGATGTTGAGCACGTGACCATTGTACTCGACGCGGGTGCACTTGGACATGATAGTGATTCCACGCTCCCGCTCCAAGTCGATGGAGTCCATAACCCTTTCTTCTGCGAGTTGAGTACCGCCATGCTTAAGAAGCTGGTCAACCAACGTTGTTTTGCCGTGATCGACGTGTGCGACAATGGCGACATTGCGGATATTCTTGGCCGTGATAGCCGAATAATCCGTGGAAAAGGCGCGTGCCACAGCGGGCATGTTGCGCTGGAGGAATGAGCGCTGACTCGAGCGCGCGCGCGCCAAGGCAGGTAGGCAAGACCGGCGGAGCCACATGATGTCGTACAGGTATGAAGTGATGCCTGAACTGTGTGGCGGAGCGCAACACCGAACAAATGATGTGGACCACGTTACATAAAAACATCAGATGGTGTACAAAACACCATTTCGGTGGTTCGTCGCTGAAGTCACTCAATACTGGTATATGTGGTCCTTAAGATCATTGCAGTCGGGTAGGCTTGGCGTCACGCCAACCTAGGCGTGGGCCCCTTCTGGCCTGGCATTCGCGATGACTCGGTCTCCACTCGTCTGTCCCAACGTCCAGCTATTACATGTATCGCCTACCGATCTTCGCCGCGTCTTACAATCAAGGCGCTTCGATTTTTTGTGCGCCACACTAAGCTTGTCAAACAGTTGATGCGCAAGCGCAAGCCTGATAATATCAGAGGCATCAGTCGCTTGGTCCGCAGCCTTGACGCAACGTTGCAAGACGAGTGTACAGTACTCGTGCTACGGCGCATTGAGGAGAGTGCAACCAAGGGCGTGACGAATCTTCACGCTGTGTTGGGGCAGGAGTATGACTGGCCGTGTTCCGCTGTGGAGCTTCCGCGTTGCCCAGCGCTGCTTGGAAACATGAGCAAGATGGCTGGCGCAGCGTCTTTGGCGACCAGTGGCTACTTATCTCGTGATTTGGTTCCAACTGCAACATGCAGCCCGATCTTTGCTTGACTACCGAGTCGTGCTGCGCTGCGTTTGGGACCTGCCGGTGGCACGTGTTGGCAACCCGTTTGGCCCATACAACAATATTGTTGAGAACCGCACGCTGTTTCTATCGCTGGGCGACTCGATACTCATGAGTCGAGGGCACCAATCGCGGCTGCAGCAGTAAATCAGGGTTTTTCATTTTCCGATTATCAATAACAAACTTGTTCAAAGTCTCACCACTCCATCTCGGGGTGGAGTCCGTTGGAGCCGCGGAGACGGCAGCCAGCAACGAGTGTGACATTCGCTCTGACGCTGGAGCTGACTCAGTGACTGCCGGCATGAGAATTCAAAAGTGTTTGCACGTGCGCGCGGACTGCGACTCGCGAGGGACAAAAGAAGAGAAAGCGTGGCGGTATCCATCCTCGCAAGGAGGGACCGCAGTTGGTGCTTGGTTCCCGTCCAGCTGGGGCTGCCAGTCCACTTCGACTCAAAAGTTTGGGTGGCGAGTATCACCTTCGAAATTGTCCATCGCGGGCGGGCCGAAAATAACTTGCATTTTGTAGGTGAGCAATTGACCCGGCCCGTTTTGCGCAGCCTCTATGTGAAAACCAGACACGATGCGGAAGATCTGTGTGAGCTTCATTCCGCATTTTGCTGCAGGCCGGCGCTGCCTCTCGTCTCTCTAGAACAAGCTCGCCCACCATGGCGCGCGCTCAGTCGCAACTGACGTGGCTGCTGCTAGCGGCGCTGTTGCTATCGGCGACGTGCAAGGCGCTGATGCCCATCACGAACGCGCTGCATCGCGCCCGCCAGAACCTCACGGACTTCCAGCGGCAATGGATTGATCCGGACACTGATCCCAAATTCTACAACATATCGGTGCCCAAGGGCGCCTTCAACTTCGGCGGTAACTCGAGTTACAACATTGAGTACAAGCTCATCTTCTCGGACGAGTTCAACAGTTCCAAACGCACGTTCGAGGCTGGCTTCGACTCAAAATGGACAGCAGTCAACATCCGCGACACCACCAACATGGGGCAGCACTACTTCCTGCCTCAAGCAGTGCAGATCGACAAGGGCAACCTCATCATCACCACCTCCAAGCCTAAGCAACGCTACCGTGGCACCAAGTATGTCAGCGGTAGCGTGCAGACGTGGAACAAGTTCTGCTACACCGGCGGATTCGTCGAGGTCAGGGCCATCCTACCTGGCAAGTGGGGCATCCCCGGCACGTGGCCTGCAATCTGGATCATGGGTAACATTGGCCGTGCGCCGTTCCTTGGCTCACAAGATGGTACGTGGCCTTGGAGCTTCGATGTCTGCGCCCCTTACGTGGAGAAGGTCGAGAAAGTCAAACAGAAGATCAACGCCTGTGGCAATCTGACCAACAAACACGACAAGGAGTCATATCCGGAGATGTACGGCTTGAATCCCTTCCAGGGCCGTGGTGCCACGGAAATTGATGTGATTGAAGCGCAGATTCGTGCTCGTGATCAGCCGGCGTATATTTCCACGTCATTGCAGATTCGTCCCAGTCTGTACGACGATATGCGTCCGGCTTCAGAGACGCTTCCTGGTCCTGGACAATGGTACCAGGGCCTCAAGTTTGGCGAATTCACGCGTATTAACAGCGACTACTACGGTGAGATGGGTCTCGACTCCATTTCGGCTCTGACGCAGCTTGAATCCAACGCGTTTAAGGCGTACCACTTATATCGCCTGGACTGGTCGCCCGGTCCCGAAGGTTACATTCGTTGGTGGCTGGACAACAACTTTCTGTTCGAAATCCCTGGTTCCTCGCTGAACAAGTGGGTAGGCGATGTCCCTCCTCGTCAGATCCCTGTGGAGCCCAGTTACCTCATTCTGAGTACAGCCGTCTCGGAGAAGTTCTCCCCGCCGTGCGACGGTCAAATTTGCGACTCGTTGTGGCCCTCAAACTTCACGATCGACTACGTGCGTGTCTACCAAGGCAACGCGAACCGGTACACGTCAGTGGGATGCAGTCCGGAAGCGTATCCGACGACTGATTGGATTTATGCCCACCCAGTGGAGTACGGCCTCCCGTGGTACGTTTCGCTACGCGTGGATATTGGTCTCCTGCAAGTTTTTGCAGTGATTAATGCGTTGCTGGGTCTCTTCATGGCGTTCCGGGGAACATCTCATCCAAAGATAATGTCGGCTTACGCAAGCTCGCTGTGGCTGACTGCTTCGTTTTACGGAGCTCTTAGTTCTAGTGCTCCAGAGGACATTGCTTGGATCCAAACCGCGCTTGCATGCCTGTGCGGAGTGGTCCTTGGCGGCCTCTGCTGTTTGGTGTACCCGGTTTCTCTTGGAGCGATGCTTGGACTGTACGGCGGTGTGATGATTAGCCAATTCGTGCCTCTGCTGTCTACGAGAGTGATTACAGCGGTGCTGGTTAGTGTGGGTATCGCTCTGGGATCAGCTCCGCAGATTGACACTAAGCACGTCGTGATTATCTCGACCTCGTGGCTTGGTAGTTTGGCGTTTTTGCTGTCGATCTCGCTGTGGGTGAGTGAAGGTGACATTGCCGAGAATGCGTGGAATCTCGCTGGTTTCATCTTCAATGGTGATAACGACGACCACGTGGGCTTCTGCACGGAACATTGCCTGACGATGTATGTTCTGCTAGTCGTGCTGAGTGCAGTCAGCACTACGTATGGATACCTCCGTATGCGTGGTATGTCGCTGCGCAAGAACACGCGTAAGGCCAAATTCCCAGCAGTATCTGCAAGTTCTGACGCACGGGCTTGGAGACCTGATGATGATGAGGGAATGGAGAAGAGCACAATCAACTTCTTTTCACCGTCGAAGCTGCCGCAGAACATGCAGCAGTTTAGCACCATTTTTCGCATTGCTGTGAACGTACAGCGCTCGTTTGGCTTCCAACTTGACAACTTCCGCAACCAGACGGAGCATATTGTGGTGCTTCTCACCAACAACACGCGTAAGAGTGGCAATCCATACCGCAAGCTGCACGATTTGGTGTTTTCCAACTACAACAACTGGTGCTCGAAGCTTAGGATCCAACCACTAAACTGGAGTGAGGAGCGGGCGCCTCAGGGTGGTCTCACGGGTTTGGACGAGATGTCGGTGGACCTGTGTCTGTTTTTCTTCATCTGGGGTGAGGCCAGCAACCTGCGTCATTCACCTGAATTCCTGTGCTTCCTGTTCCACAAGATGAAAGAGGAATTCCCGTCCGTTCGTCACTCAGAGCGCGAAGCTGGATACTTTTTGGACACGGTGGTAACACCTGTCTACGGGTTGCTGAAGGCTGAAATGACCTCGAAGCACGACCATGAAGATCGCCACAACTACGATGACTTCAACGAGTTCTTTTGGACGAAGTCGTGCTTGAAGTACGACTACAAGCACGAAGAGGTCATTGATATGACGTCTCCCAACCCGGCTATGATCTACAAACAGAAGCAGCAACAACGTCAGGGTCAGGGGCTAGCTGGTCTGGCTGGTCTTGGTGGGCGAGGTGGGCTCAACGGTGGCTCGAATAGCTCGACGTTTTACAACAAGCGTAAAAGTATTGCTGAGGGGTTCACCGAGTCGGCGAAGACTTTCGTAGAGAAGCGGACGTGGCTGCTGCCTCTTCGCGCTTTCAACCGCATCTTCAACTTCCACGTGATCGCGTTCCACTTCCTGGCAGCGCTTGCGTTCGCGAATGAGCAAGAGATGAATTTCCTGGACTCCTGCAAGATTATTTCGAGCACCCTGATCACTCCTTTCTTGCTGGACATTCTCCGCGATGGACTCGATATCTTCGCTGTATACGACGAGCACCAGAAGTTGTTCTCGACGGCGCGTAACATTTTGCGTGTGTTCCTGCACCTGGGGCTTGCGGTGGTGACTTCAATACTGTACTGGTATGCGTGGGCTTACGGTGGTGCGTGGTGGCAGACGTACTACGTGACCGCAGTGCTTTTCCACGTGCCAGGTCTGATTAACTGCGTCATGCAGGTAATGCCTGGTCTTACCAACTGGACCCGACGCACGACGTTTGCTCCTGTCGCATTTATCCGTGACATTATGAGTCCGATGAACCGCCTGTATGTTGGTGACAACGTGCTGGACCCGGAATCGATGAGTGTGGGCTATCAGTGCTTCTGGATGTCGCAGCTGGCTTGGAAGTTATACTTCAGCTACAAGTTTGAAATCTACCCGCTTGTGGTCCCGAGCTTTTTGCTGTATGCTGACCACGTGGAGAACAAGGTGAGCATGATTACGACGGTGTTCCTTATCTTCCTGAACTGGATGCCGTTCTTCTTGGTGTTCTGCGTTGATATTACGATTTGGAATTCGATCTGGATGGCGTTCACGGGTACTTTTGTCGGCTTTTCATCACACATTGGCGAGATTCGCAATTTCACTCGTGTTCGCTCTGCGTTTAGCCGTGCTGTGGATGCTTTTAACGCTAAGGTGATCGCACGAAGCTCCAAGACGGGACTCCAACTTTCGGACAGCAATGGTATGTCGTACGGCTCGACAGCCTTGGGACGTGAAGTGCTCGATCGTGTTGCGGGTGGTGCGGATCCGACGGCCCGAATCCTGTCCCAGCGTCGTACTTCGGCTCATGATGACGAGACTCCGTTGCTGTCTTTCTCACGTCGTAAGCAGACGCCTATGGAGCGCCAAGCTGCACGTCGTCGCAAGTGGTTCTCATTTTCGGTGGCTTGGGACACAATCATCGATAGTATGCGCGCGGACGATTTGATCTCGAACAAAGAGAAATCTCTGCTTCAATTTCACCGGCTGGACGGCTACCAGCGTGAGATTTACCTGCCGCAGTTCCAGCTTGCTGGTTGCTTTGAGAACTTCACGTCGAATATTCTTGACATTTATTCATCTAATGACGGCAATGTCTCAGAGCGTGTTCTGCAAGACAAGCTGCTGGAAATCCTCAGTGATAACCCAATGGTGGAGGAGTCTCTCGAAGAGATCTGGGAGCTTGCGAACTGGGTGCTGGTCAATGTGCTTGGTCCCTGCCACGCGAATGATGTGAAGTACATTACAAGTGTGCTCAACTCCTGGGCGGCACGTGGTGTATTCCGTGCGCTTAACTTGCAAAAGGTGGCTCCGTGTGGCCGCGCTTTGGCGGGATTGATCTCCCTTTTGAAGACCAACGTCCGTGGCTGGAAGAACAACGCCAAGGTTATCCCTGTGCGCAAGGATCCTTCCGATTACGCATCGTATGAATTCCCGCAACAGTCTAGCTCCTACCGACCATCGTCGGGAATGACGAAGTCTGCAAGTACGACGGGATTGTCGTCGCTTGGTCTCGAACCTCCTCGCCGTAGTCGTGGTTCTGGAGTCGCTCGTATTGCACGTATGCAGCAGCAGACGCACAAGCCGGCCACCAACAATGGCAAGGCCACGCACTCCATCTCGAGCTCTCACATCATGCAGATTCGTGAGCGTGTGCGTACGTTCTTGAACCTCGGAAAGGAGATTCTGGCACATGTCCACGAACAAGACCCCGTGTTCGCTGAAAGCAAGGGCATTTCGGACCGGTTGACGTGGATCCTGACACAGGAGCGTGGTTTCATGTGGGACGACAACTACACTGGAGAGCAGATCACGCTTACAGCGTTTGAAAGCCACACCGACGTGGTGCTATCCCACCTACACGGACTTTTGACCTTGCAGAAGATTGATGCGGAGCCACAGTCGTACGATGCACGCCGCCGCTTGCTGTTCTTTGTGAACTCGCTCTTCATGGACATGCCACTGGCGCCGCTGCTTGAGGAAATGAAGTCGTGGAGCGTCATGACTCCGTTCTATGCCGAAGATGTTTTGTACTCCAGAAAAGATCTGGAAAGCAAGCAAGATGGTCTGGACGTGCACACGCTGTTGTTCTTGCAGACGCTGTACAAGCGAGACTGGGAGAATTTCTTGGAGCGAGTGAAGCCAAAGAAGAACATTTGGAAGAACCCGGAGACTGCAATCGAGCTGCGCATGTGGGCGTCTCTGCGTGGCCAAACACTGTCGCGTACGGTGCAAGGAATGATGTACGGTGAAGCTGCGATTCGTCTGCTTGCTGAGATCGAACAAGTTCCGCAGCAGAAGCTTGAGGAGCTGATCAACACCAAGTTCACGTACGTTGTCGCCTGTCAGATTTATGGACGTCAGAAAAAGAACAACGACCCGAAGGCGAGCGATATCGAGTTTTTGCTGCACCGGTTCCCTAACCTTCGCGTAGCTTACATCGACGAGGTCCGTGTGAACTACCAGAAGGAGCAGTCGTACTTCTCGGTGCTGATCAAGGGCGGTGAGGAACTTGGCTCGGTTCATGAGATCTACCGTGTGCGTCTGCCTGGCAATCCCATCTTAGGTGAGGGCAAGCCTGAGAACCAGAACGCAGCTATCGTGTTTACGCGCGGTGAGACCCTTCAGACCATCGATATGAACCAAGACGGATATCTTGAGGAGAATTTGAAAATGCGAAACCTACTGGAAGAGTTTGACAAGGGTACAGCGGACCGGCCGTATACGATTGTGGGTATTCCGGAGCACATTTTCACGGGTAGTGTGAGTTCGCTGGCAAATTATATGGCGTTGCAGGAGACATCGTTTGTGACACTGAGTCAGCGAACGTTGGCGCGTCCACTGCGTAGCCGTCTGCACTACGGTCACCCCGATGTGTTCAACAAGCTCTTCTTCATTACACGTGGTGGTATCAGCAAGGCCAGCAAGGGCATCAATCTCAGTGAAGATATCTTCGCTGGCTACAACAATTGCATGCGGGGCGGATCTGTGACCTTCCCGGAGTACACGAAGTGCGGCAAGGGACGTGATGTTGGTATGCAGCAGATCTACAAGTTTGAGGCTAAGTTGGCGCAGGGTGCTGCGGAGCAGTCACTGTCGCGTGATGTGTATCGCATTAGCCAACGTCTCGACTTCTTCAAGCTGCTATCATTCTACTACAATCACGTGGGCTTCTACCTGTCGATGTCGATCATCATCTGGACAGTGTACATCCTGCTGTATTGCAACCTGCTTCGATCGTTGCTTTCGGTGGAGGGTGTTGGCGGTAGGGAGCCAGTGTTGTTGAGCAAGTTGCAGTTGATGCTCGGATCTGTCGCGTTCTTCACTACTGCGCCGCTGCTGGCGACGATTTCGGTTGAGCGTGGCTTTAAGGCCGCGCTGAACGAGATCATCGTCCTCTTCGTGACCGGTGGTCCGCTGTACTTCCTGTTCCACATTGGCACGAAATGGTTCTACTTTGGACAGACGATTCTTGCTGGTGGTGCCAAGTACCGTGCGACGGGCCGTGGTTTCGTGACGAAGCACTCGTCATTCGACGAGCTCTACCGCTTCTACGCAAGCAGTCACTTATATGCTGCAGTGGAGATCGCGATTGGTCTTACGCTTTACTACAAGTTCACTGTCGGCTATCAGTACTTCTCGATGACATGGTCACTGTGGCTTGTGTTCGTGTCTTGGTATTGGTCGCCGTTCTGGTTCAACCCGCTGGCGTTCGAGTGGTCTGACGTGATGGAGGATTTCCGGTTGTGGTTCAAGTGGATGCGTGGTGATGGTGGTAACCCAGATCAATCGTGGGAGGCTTGGTTCAAGGAGGAGAATGCGTACTTCTCGACTCTTCGCCCGTGGTCTAAGGCATGCATCACGACTAAGGGCGCGTTGTTCGCGTTGATCGCTGTTTCTATCTCTTCAACGAGCGACGAATATCACTCGATCTTGACGGAAACCACATGGCTCCCGCTGGTTATCTGCTTATCTATGGCCGCGGTGTATCTAAGTGCAGAGGCTGTCTTCTTTTCCTCGTCGCGTTCAGGTGAGAGTGGAGTTGTCCGCTTTCTGAAGCTCATTTTGGTGATCGTCCTGGGTGCTGGTCTTATTTTCGCCTTCATCTACGTGGACGGTATGTGGCAGATGCTGCTGAGCATGGGATATCTCGCTGCGGCTGTCGGTTGCTGGGCGCTTGTGCTTCTTGGCAGCAATTCGCGCCTTGTTGGTACCCTTTACTTTGTGCACGATGCCGTACTGGGTCTGGTGTCGCTTAGTCTCATCCTGCTGCTCTCGGCACTTTACGTTCCCGGCAAAATCCAGACGTGGCTTCTGTACAATAATGCTCTAAGTCGTGGTGTGGTGATCGAGGACATTCTACGAGCGAACTCGAGCAATGACGAACGCGACGATGATCTGTCGGTGCAGCAGATGCGCTCGATCATCATCGAGCAGCAGCGGTTTATCAACGCTCTGACTGCTAGCGGCAGCGAGACTGACATTCGCGCTGCTGGAAAGAAGGATGATCTCATGCACGCTATGAGTGATAACACGCTCAACGCAGTACTGAGGAATATGTCAGAATCGGAGCTGAGCGCGCTGCAAGACTCGTCCATTCGCCTTCAGGCCATCATGTCGGAGGAGGAGCGCAAGGTCGCCCAACGCAAACAACAACAGGAAGAGCAGAGACTCGCCGAGGCTGGCATGAACTCGTCCCTATCGCGCACGCGTCGAGCCTTCTCCACGAGCGATTTCTCCGCTATTCCACTGAATGCTAGCCCCTACAATCTCCCCAACCAGGATGGCACAGCTGCACCCAGCACTCGCACCACTAACGGTTCTGCTGCTCACGGACCTCAAGCTGGAGTATAGGAGTAGATACGCAAACTTTGTTAGATGAATACGTTGGTAGAGCGAGGAGCCCATTGCGGCCAATTTGCATTTTGATAATGAACTACCTTCTGTTCAAACGTTTGGCAACACACAATTCAATTCCGGTTGTAGTTAAGCATTTGTATTGATTGTTTGCCACCTTTGGTGATGAATACGCTACACGACACATACATCGTACTTCGCTGAAGTAATACATACAGAATCCTGACGCTGTGAAGAGCTACATATGGTCACAAAGCTCAGTAGCGCCGGCAAAATCGCAATACCGTCACGCTGTCAGCCATGCCTTGATCACTGGTCAGACTGTTTCCTGGATCTGGGCTTCTTGCCAAAGCCGAGAAATTTCATGTTGGCACTCAGCTTCTTCGTCAGTGAGCTCTTCTGGAAGGAGTCAGTGGTGTACAACACAGCCGACTTGAAATTCTCGGCCACCTCAGATGAGCAGTCACATTCCTCCAATTTCTTCCCGATCTCTTCCAAGTTCTTTTCCGAGATAGAGCGAATGGTTTCTAGATCCTCGACCAACTGTGACGAGGACACATTAGAGTAGATCTTGCGGCTGTCCGCAGCGAAGCACTCGTCAATATCTTGGCTTGGTGACATGGCTAGATTAGCAAAAAGCTGCTGAATTGCTGGCGAATTCTTCTCAATGAAAGGATTAAGAACCCTACAAGTATTAATAAACACAGATTAGTAAGTGCAGAAATATCATACCAAACGATCCACTTACTTGAATTGAGGTTCTCGATCTCCAAACTTCACACCAGTTGCAGTCTTGAACAAGAGCTTCGTGACCAATACAAGTACTCGTCGGGTCTCGGGTGGTGGAAGTTGCTTCGTAAGGCCGTACAAATGTGGAGTAGTGATGGCCGGACATACAAAACGAAGGAACAGGAAACCTCCAATAACAGACTATCCACGGAAAAGCAAGCAAAAGTTAAAGCCAACGAACAAAGACATCATCTGGCGATGGCACGTACCCGAGTCAACGTCGATGCGTCCTCTGCCTCAACTCCTTCTTTTGTGCCATCAAAACGGCTGATGACTTTCGAGTTTAAGTGCGAGCAAATGTGGAAATAAGACGATGGTATCTGTATGCATCGATAAATAATCTAAGTTAGCCTCAGCCACCACACCATACTCTGATCGCATGAAGTACTTACACAGTGCGTATTTTTCATGATCGAGTCGATAATGTTTTGACACGTCCGCATCAGGTTAGCAGCGTTGGTGTCTACTTGATTCTCATCCTGCAGTGACTCCTCCTTGTGCGGGTTGAGCTCCATGTCAGCAATCTTCAACTTAAATATCTGACGGATAGGATCCGAGAGAGCCACGCGGATGAATTTTGACCCGATTGCCTTGCTGTATGTGGAAACTAATCGGCTCGCATAATCATCTGAGCGGAAGAGCGTTGCGACGTTAATGACCGAAGCGACTTCAATCTCGATTGCCCAGCGAATAAGGTGACTCAGACGGTTGCGACTCCCAAACACCCGAAGGAAGGGAGCAAGTAGCACCATTTTATCTTCTCGGCCTGCACTTTGTAGGATTGATGCCACAACTGACATCGTATCTTCCACCACCAGTGACGGGAGATCCTTTGGTGCCCGTAGTGTCGGCATCTCAATATCTCCATTAAAAAAGTCGCGTGCTGTTCTAGCGTGGGAGAAGAGACTGCGTATCCTCGGGCTTGTATCGTTGGACGAATCCGCAGCAGGTGAGTCTGTTCGTAAAGCACGCTGCCCATGAGCTTCATCAAGATCATCCACTTCCTTTGATGGTTCAGCGTCAATTCCTTGGCGAATCTCGGCAATAATTTCATCGCTGATAACTAACTGGTCGGGCTGGCGGGATTGATCCGGCTGAGCGGACACAATGAAATCCTTCATGACTTGGTGGATCGAATCCAGGAAGCCACTCGCCTCCAGAAACTGACTGTCCGACTGTAGATACACAAAGATTCTAAGTAAGCACTCAGCTGATGACTGAATCGTTCCGTAAAGTCACGTCACTTACCGCCTCAAACTCGGATAGACGCTCAATTTCTCCTTCCTCATCTTCATCGTAGAAAAGATCATCCTGTGTGATGGAGAAAATACTCTCATTGCTTTCGTTCGAGTTGATCTGATTCAGACCAAAGTCCGTGACGTCTGCATAAGCAACACTCACGTTAGAGCCAAACAACTTCACCCTTTGTAGCTTCTACCTGACCATACCGGAAAAGGAAGACTGCGATTCGAGGAGCGATGACGAACTGGAGGAGGTTTTCAAATGAATCTGGCACCAACTCAGAGCAGTTAGCATCGTCGAATCAGAATGCGGACGAATATCTGTGGTAAGCAGCTTACCTTTGACGTCTTGGGTTCTACTCGGAATGAAGACTGCAGATTGCGAGCAATCTCGGCGAGTTCCATCGCTTGTTGCTGTAAAAAGTCATTTCCAGTGTTCGCACTCGAATCAAAGACGCCAGTACCGCTGTGTGATCCCTTGAAACTGGAGGAAACAGAGCCATCCTCACTGCTTTCACGAGTCGATGCTGAATCGGTGTCATCCTTGTGCAAGTTTCGAGCCATCTCCGCCAATTCTGCTGCTTGCTGTTGAATCGTGTCATTCTCAGCTCCATCACAGCACTTCGTCGATGTTGTGCTTGATGAAGATGAAGGAGACTCCGAACGCACAGAATGCTCGTTAGTATGTTCTGCCACCGGCATATTGTCTCGGTTGGAAGATTTTGACCCTAATGTTGATTCCTTCTTCGGAGAGGTCGACGATGGTTGCTGTTTCGGCCATCCTGCGACAGGCTCTTGCTTCGAAGATGACGGCGCCTTGCAAGGACTAAAGTTCTCCGTCTCAATATCCACGCCCTCTTGAGTATCCAGATCATCCTCGTGATTTGAGATCGTCTCCATCGACTCATCCACTAGGCTCAGACTTTGAATGTTCTCCCTTCGTTCTTCTCGCTTCGTACTTTGTATTGAAGCACTCTCTTTCTCATCGTCGTCGTTGTCATCACACTCCGAGCTTGGCGTGTCCTCATCTTCTGAAAGCACATCAGAAATGGCCGATTCTCGAGAAACCTTACACATCTCGATAGCTGCTCCATTCAGCATCGTATCCAGATCAATCTCTTCATCATCTTCTTCAACCTGCTCATCTTCTCTTCTGTCTTCCTCCTTCCGCTCCCTCTGTTCACTCTCTCCACCTCGCTTCTTTTTATCTGTCACCTCAATCATCTTCAGACGCTCCTGAAGTCCCACGATCTCTTTTCTTTGCTTCTCCACCATACGCAGCGCATCTCGCAGCATCTCCCCCTGTTCTGATTCGTCTTCAGACATGCGTTTCCTCCTCCGATGTCTCGGAGACTGCAGAATCGCCGTAGACGAAGCGGACGTCGATGATGCCGAGCTTGATGACCTCGACAGTCTTCGTGCCAGCGCCAACGCGGCCTTACCGTCCATACTGACTTTCCTGAATGTTCCCGTGGCTTGCCGCAGCTGGTCAATCCATTCCACACGCGCGTCATGCGATGGAGCGCGGAAGAGAAGCACACGACCACTGCTAGACGTGACTTTCCAGCACGGGCCGCAATCATCGCCTTCGCAGGACGCGTCTCCATGACGGAAAATGCGATCCACAGCCTTTACCTCTGCGTCCACCAGCGGTACGACGCCGCGCGGCCAATCGCCGAGATTGGCATAGTAGAAGAGCGTGTGCGCGTAGACACCGACGAAGAAGGGCTCCCAAGGAGACTCGAAGCGTCGGCCCTTCTTGTGCAGGATACGCAGCGTCGTGCGCTTCTCCAGCTCCAGCCCTGTGAGCAGCAGTTCGGGACATTTGACGAGCTCAGGACGCACCTGCGTCTCCGTCTCGGCATCCTCGTTGATTGGGACCTGCACGTTGAGTCGGGAGTCCCCGAGACTCGCAACGCGGCTGCCGCTCGGATCGAACACCGTCGAGCGCAGCGTCATCGGTACCAACAGCGAGGAGCGTCACTAGACTGGAGCCTGCGGATAACAAGCGTGTGATATTGCGCTCTTCTTAGACGCCGCGGAATGGCAGAGTGACTACGAGGCAAAGGGCAACAACAATGTTCGACTGTTAGGGCAACGAACCGGCATGGACACGCTCCGTCTGACCGTACCACCAATAAGGTGTCGCGGTGCTAATTTGTAGGCTTTCACTCCTTATTTTTATCTGAAAGACCTGGCTTTGTGCAAGGGTTGTCGCCTCGTATCAGACTGCAACAGGCCAGCATAGCGAAAGACAGATTGCATTTGCTCGCTTGGAAATCGTCGGCATAGCTGCTGGTGCGTGGGATAGAAATGCTGTGGTCTGTGCGTCTTCGCGTGTTGTTGCACGACGCACCACTTCGGGCTGAGTGCTTGACGGTCATGATCGCTCGTTATTGTTGGTGGCGACGAAATAAATGTGTACATCGTGTAGTCAAGTATAACGCTCGTTTGCTCTCTTTTCTGGCTTGTCCTCGCCGCGATGGGCGTTCCAACGCGGATGGCCACAGAAACCTCGCGTCCTCGACGATACCTTTTACAGCAGCAGCACTGCTAGTGCTTGCCGAGCCTCTGACTCTCCGGCTTTTTTATTTGATAAAGCGTTGCTTGCTTCGCTTCAAAAAGTCGAGCTCGATCTTTTGGCCGTCGTCTCACCCACACACCCCGTCACTGACAGCGTCAACAGAGGCCCAAGCATTTCACGTGGGGCTATCCAACTGCGGGCTTGATTCGCTGTAGTCTCGAAAAAAATGCCCCAGGAAAAGCCAGCGTGGAAGGAGCCTCCCTTGACAGGTTCAGTAAAGGAGAAAGTCTCTTTTCGATATTTGAAGTGATTCTCGGTGGAGTTCCTCAACGATCATCCAGCATGTGATGGCGCCTGCAAATGTTAGAAGCGACGGCGATAACCATGCGCCGGCAAGCAAAAGGCATTAGTGCTGCGATCGCTTACAAGTCGATTTCCGAAAAACTTGCCTCAACAACCGACACCAGAACTTGTCCATTCCTGTAATGGTCACTGGTCATCGGTGACGGCGATAACCAACGCAACCGGCGTTGAGACCCGCAAAGTGCAAGTGCTAGGATCCGTGCAGAATGTGGGACTCTCACTTTGTCGAAGAATATAGTGGTGAGATTCTCAGACCGTCGACGAATAATCACCATTTTAAAGTGACCGACAAATTTGCCGCAATGATCGATTCATACCTGAAATAGCCTATCACCGCTGGCAAGATGTGACAGTGATAACCAACGCAGCCACAGTCAAGTCACACTTGGATTCGTTGGGGCGTGAAGGAAACGAAGAGAAGCACTGCGGACCTTCCTCTCGAACAGTACTTAAGACTAAAGTCTTAAGTAAGTATATTGGAAGTCCGCCCATTGGTCAAAATGATGTGTTGTGCATTACAGTATTTGCAGTGAATTTCCATATTTGTTTCTAAAAAAGCACGGTTCAGCAGTTACATGCGGTTCGGGCTCCGACCATACATCTGCACAGAGCAATCGGGACCGCGGTCCCAAACCGCGGAGTGATCAAGCGAAAATGCTGAGCGAGCTTTTTCTGTGGCTTTCGAGCGCTTGGCTACCGCAGCTTCCATTCGGCCTTTGAGCAGCCCAGATCAGCAGCATCTTACTCCCGTCTCGCCCGGTAGCCATGGTACGTTTCTCGCTGTGCCTCTCGAGATGGATACAGCCGCGAGTGCAACGCACACTCGAAGCTGACACAGGGGGGGGGGACCAGGTGGAGGAGGGCGACGCTGTCCTATCACCAGCTGCGACGTTCAAGTGGAAACCAATGCGATCTTTTTACGCATAAGGACGTTCGCAACGCTAACTGGAATCCCCTCCTTCCCTGTCTCTCAGACAGCTTCAATGTGTCGCGTTCGCGTATCTTTTAGCGTTGCACAGGCAATTAACTGTTGATTGGTGCTGCGTACACAGGCCAGCAAATACCAGAACTTTTTCGCCGCCCTCGACTCGGATGACGAGGACACGCCTCGCGTGAACAAGAAGGCCACGCCGCCCCCGTCGGCCCCCGTGACTCTGAACAAGCCCGCTGCTGGCAACAAGAAGTCCGGCAACAAGAAGGCCCCCGCCGCCGACAAGAAGGAGTCGCGCGGCCCGCGTGAGGGTGGCCGTGCCCCGCGTGAGCGTGGCGAGCGTGGCCGTGGCGCCCGTGGTCCTCGTCGCGAGTACGAGCGCCGCAGCGGCACTGGTCGTGGCAAGGAGGTCAACAAGCAGGGCGGTGGTGCCCGCAACTGGGGCAACAAGGCCGATCCGAACGAGCAGATGGCTGAGGCTGCTGCTCAGGAGGGCGCCAAGCCCGCTTCGGACGAGGAGGCCGCTGAGGAGGCCGCCGCCGAGGAGGAGGAAGAGGAGGAGGTTCAGCTCACCCTCGACGAGTACATGGCCAAGCAGAAGTCGGCTCGCTCGGGTGAGCTCTTCGCTGAGGTCGAGGTACGCCAGGTGACCAACGAGTTTTCCAGCGCCGTTCAGATCACCAAGGAGGGAAAGACCCCCGACTTCATGGACTCGCAGTACGAGAAGGTGTACAGCAAGAAGACCTCTGGCCGCAAGAAACAGGTCATCACCGACGTGGGCTTCCGTACGGAGAAGCCGGAGCGTTTCTCGCGTGACTTCGACTCGTCGCGCGGTGGACGCGGCAACCGCGGTGGCCGTGGTGCTCGTGGCAACGGCCGCACTGGTGGCCGTGGAGGCCGTGCCGCCAACGTCCCGAACGTGACGGACATGAGCGCCTTCCCCAGCCTCGGCTAAGGGATCGCTCTGGGACCAACCGGGATCGCGCGCCCTTGAGCGCCAGCGACATGATGAGTGAGATCTTCCAAAAGAGGGCTTCTTGAGGACTGGTTTGGCTATCTCTTTTTCTCCTTTTCCTCCCACGAAAGATCCACCGGATAGGGCCTCTGCGCGGCTGGTGTCTGCCTGACTGTGTGTATCTCCTGCTGGCAGCCAGTCGTCGTGCGGAAAGTTAGAGAAATTTTTGTTAGCGTGAACTCGGTCTTCTCCTTGGTATGTCTATTATTCAATGCAGCAGGCTGGGCTTTATGCGAACGAAAAGATCGTTGTTGTCACCCAAGTGCGTTGCCTTCATCCGTTGCTGCGTGCTCAACCACGCGTCTACATACCTCTATAATCAAGCTACAGGTACATGTATCTACATCAACAAGCCGTGATACTGATGTAACATCAGTGATGTTGCAGCATCCCGACCTTCAGGTTACGTACTGCGGTCCTGCACGCACTCATAGACTCTACAGTGTAGACGACCACTAGGATGGCGCAGTTAGTCGGCCGATGAAATAGTGCTTACCGCTAGTTGTAAGTTTTCCTCGCTTGAACACTCCAACTTCATACGGAGGCCTCGGTTCAGCGATGAGCTCGTCCCCGTCGCCGTTTTCCTCGTCTTCTTCATCGTGTTCCCGACAGAAAATACCCCGACCGGACGGGAAACCATGAACCCACGTACCGATGTATTTCCTCCCGTCAGGTGAGGACCACGATCCGTAGCCTTGCATCTCGCCCGTATGCCATTCGCCTTCGTATACTTCACCTGACGCGAACGTCAGTGTACCGATACCGTGTCGCTCACCAGCTTTATACTCGCCAGTGTAGACACTCCCACATTGGAAGCGATGCACACCCTGACCGTTCAGCTCACCGCTTGTCCACGTGCCGTGCAGTGAACCTCCCGCCGTCGTAAACACGCCTTTGCCGTGCATCATACCTTGATGCCACGTGCCTTCATGGGAGTCTCCACCCACCCACTGGTACTTGCCAAACCCTTCGCGCTCGCCCTTGACAAAATAGCCCTCGTATTTGTCCCCGGTGGTAAACATCTTGATACCCCATCCGCTAACCTGGTTGTGCCTCCATCCACCGTCAATCATTTCTCCGGTTGAGAAAATCTTCTTGCCTTTGCCATGCATCATCCCTCTTTTCCATTCACCTAGACGAGTAATGGGTTACATTTCAGCTATCCGGCAGGGTGGATGCATGACTCAAAGTCTTCACCTCACCGTCATAGCTGTCACCGTTCTTCCAAAAGAACGTGCCGTTGCCATGCATCTGAAAATCAATGAAATATTCACTGTTAATTAGCATCCACAACGTGACCCACTTCCATTGTGTTCAGTACCTTGCCGACTCGCCAATTGCCAACATATTTGTCACCATTGGCCCACAAGTACGTTCCCGTTCCGTGGCGGTGGTTCTTACGATACATGCCTTCATGGCAATCACCGGTACCGGCAAAGGTCTGCATACCAAATCTGTTCGTAACGAGTGTCCAAGGGCAGTAGTAACATAGTTATGAACTCATTCCCAAGTCAATCTGGTTGCCACGTCCGCACCCTTCGAAGTCCCCGTGCACCCATCCGCCCTCAAATACGTGGCCGGATCGCAGAATGTGGACACCTGTTCCATGGCGCCTCTCCTCTTCATCCACACCTCCTTTGTATCGACTTCCGTCCGCGTATTGGATCACGACGGCTCCTCGCGGCTTCTTCCAGCGGATCGACAGAATCTCTGGCTGGCTGCGACCTTCCGGGCCAGGTGAGTCATCCGATCCCGACTGTGGCGTTGGCTCCTGCTTCTTTGTACACTGGGCGGCCGTTGGATCGCTTCGGTATGCGGCGCGTACACCCCGACGCGGCCCGCGGTTACCCATGCCCAGTTGATGACCGAAGTAGCAGTGGCAATTGAGCTCATTGTGCAAACCAAAAGCAGCTTCTAACTATTGGCCGAAAACATGGACCATCACTCACGGCCTCGAATACTGGTAGCTACCGAAGTTACAACAGCTCCTACCGGTTTGCTTTAGAAGCTGGCTTGGAATCGTTTGTTGCACCTTCTAGAAAAATACGATGCTCGTCGCACTCCGTGCATTCCTGGCGCTGGTATGGTGGCATATTTGCCACTTTCTGGCCTACAATCTGCATGTCCGTGGCCTTAAACCATCCAGCCAGTTCTTCCACAAGGTGGTGATCATTGGAGATGACTTTGCAGCAGGCATCGGAGACTACATCACGATCGGCGGTGCAGGCGGCGGCATCGCACAGTATCTAAAGAAGATTGTTGCGTACGACGACAAGGCAAGTGGAGCGGTAACAGTGACATCGCGTGGCGAGCATCATCACCGCTATTATAGCCTCCGCGCTTTAGGCCTCTAGCGCTCAGACTGAACAAGATACTTTCTGTTTTGCCGCAGGTTCGTCATAACTGGGCCATCATCAATGCGGGAGTGCCTGGATCTACGACAGCCGACTGGCTCATGTCATCACCCAAGAAGGTTCGCTTTGTTGTCCGTGATAGCTGCTGCATTGCTGGCTGAAAGCTCATTCCGCTTACATGTGACCTGGCTTGACAAACCTGTGCTGCATGAATTAGTACTTCAAGAACGTGTTCACCTCGAGCGTCATGAGCGACGCGTCCATCGTGATCATCATTCTCGGATCCACAGAGATCAGGTGGGCACCAGGACGTTTGTTGGAGTGCCCTTGCTTTAAAACCAACTATATGTAACCATTGCCGATAGAAACTCAGGTACTGCTGAACACGAGATTAAGCGAAACCTCATGGAGATTTGTGATACACTGCGGAAGAAGGGCAAGCAAGTGTGTCTGGCCACTGTCGTGAGCCCAGAACCAACTGCGTCCGAGATGGACAGTGCGAGCTCAACACTCAACACAACCCTGGAGCATTTTTGCAAGAGGTATGTGGATTTAATCCACACTTTCGAGCGAGGTGATGAAGGGATGTTCACCTAACACGTTTTGGAATGGGGTGTTCTTTAACAGCACGTCGACGGAAGAGGCACCTGTTATTCTGGGACCCCGCCTCGACACGTACGCGTTCCGTCGCGAGAGCGCACTGTGCTACGACAAGTACCACTTCAACTCTCAGGTACAACCATCGCAACTTACTGTTAGCTGTGCAGTCATTCCGAGCTGTCGCTTGCAGATTTGGCTCACCACGGTGTCATGGATGCCTATCTGCATTTTATAGTCGTACCGACAGCTAGCTCGCAACACGGCGGATTTCTTGATCCCCATGATGACGGCTGTCGAATGGACTACCTGGAAAGAACAGCTCAGCCAGGTCACGTACGATAAGGCCTTGTACGATTAAGCCAAACTGCCAACCTTTGCGTGGACTGCGTTCGAGCCTGCTCCTTCGATGGCTGGCTGGCTGCTTGGTTGCTGTGGTACTTGCGTCCATCCACCATCCAGATAAGATAAACATTAACACCTCAGGAAACACGCGAGCTTTCTTTTTCTTTCGATTTGGGTATTGAGTCGCCACCTTCGCTCTCTCTCTCTCTCGCGAAGTTCATGTGAGCTGCTCATCGCGGCACATGCGGCCTTCACAAAATGTTCACTTGCTCTTCGCTTCCACGTAATTGATCTACATGTCCACGTTCAGTGACTACAACTCGTCACCTACTCAAGACTCCATGGAGGCATCGGGGGCTGGTTCGGCCTCCGTCTTGGGAGCGGCGTTGTCTTGCGTCGGCTTGGCGGCCCAGTACTCCTCCATTTGACGGTCCAGCTGAGCAGCCTTGGGGTCGGGGCCCTTGCCAGCCTCGTGCCAATACTCGTCCATCTCCATGTCGAGATCTTCTCCCGTGGGCGGCTTGGGCTTGGCTTCTCCGCGTCCTCCACGGCCTCCACGACCACCACGGCCGCCCCGGCCACCACGACCTGCGCCCCTGCCTCCGTTTTTAGCATTCTTGTTCTTGTTCTGACTGCCCTTGGCCTTGGCTTCCTGTGAGTCGAGCCCCTTCCTGTGCTTGCTGACGACCTGCTGGCGCTTGTTACGGTTGTTCTGCGCGACTTGCTGCAGCTTTTGCTTCTGCTGTTGTTGCTGGATCTGCTTCTTAGTGGGAGGCGGCGTCTTTCCCTTCTTTTTACCACCAGCCACACGCAGTACGGGCTGGGCCTTGCCCTTCTTCTGCGACACCTTCACAACGGCCACCTTGTGCTGCTTCTGGGCCTGACGAGGCGTCGTCTCCTCCGCCAGGTTCGTGAAGCGGCTGGACAGCGGGACAGACGACACGCCGATCACGGTGCGCGTCGCCTTCTTGCCCTGTGCCTGTGTCTGCTGCTGGTTGATTTTGCGCTGGCCGCGCACGGACGCGCGATGAGCTCCGGATCGCCGATACATTCTGTAGATTGATCTTTGTGGCTTGGCTTTCGTAAATGAGCCCAGCTGGACTTTTGGGAGTTTCATAAAGTTGCGTCAAGTTTAAGTTGCACTAACGATTTACCTTGGAGATTTAAAAACCGACCAGGCATCGCGATGGTCACGGCCATGGAGGCGGCGCTTGTGGGCCAGGTGCAGCGCTATCTGAACCTCTACGTGTACGACAACGCGCGGTTTCTAGCAGAGCGGCTCGTTGCACATGTATGTGTCGCTTGTGGTGCATTTTGGCGCTGTGGAACAACTGTTTAAACGAAAGTATCAATGCCGTTTTGACACCTTTTCGTCGCTTTTGACAGCACCCGAGCGAGGAGAACGCTCTGCTGCTCGCCACGTGCTACTACCGCAAAGGGCAAACGGCTCGAGCAGCAGAAGTACTAAACGGCGCGTTGCGGGCTGAGAATCGCTACCTGTTGGCATGCTGCTGCTTCCAGCAGAACCAGATGGCCGAAGCTGAGAACGCGCTACTAGGAGGCGAAAAGTGCAACATCGACGACCCAGATACAATGGAGAACGTTCCGGCAGGAGCTGCTGGGCTGTATCTATTAGGTCGAGTCTGCAGACGTGGGAACAGGAGGCAACAGGCCGTGACCTTCTTTGTAAAGAGGTGAACTGCTGTGCATGATGTTGCTTTAGATTGCATAAGGTTGAGAGTACTGATAGTGTTGCTTGTGTTGTGGTTGGCGCTGCTAGTTTGGAGATGGATCCGTTCATGTGGTCGGCGTACGAGGAACTGTGTGAGCTCGGAGCTAACCTTGAGGCTTCGAGGTTTTTCGGAGATGCGAATTACTTCGAATCGGTGGGAGCGGACGAGGAGTTTGGATCGAGGCTTGAATTCAGTGATCGGACTGTGAAAAGTGGATCACAGTTTGGTGGTGAGGACGATAACAACGCTGAGGATCGTTCAACTGATGGAACGTTCGCAACACCGGAGCCACCACCGAATCTTGGTCTCGCTACTCCAGAAAGTCCGTTGTCCTCAGGGATCAGCACATCTAGGCCGATAGCGTATAAGACGCCGAATATGAACAACAACAACAACAACAACAACAACAACAACAACAACAACAACAACAACAACAACAACAACAACAACAAGAACAACAACGGGAACGATATCCACACTGCGACTGTGGTGAAGAAGCCACGAGTAGAGGATTTTGGGGCACCCGCACGTCAAAGGAAAGCTCACCGACGACCACTCGCAGACAGTGACGAAAAGTACCGACCGAATGCAAGACTGTCGTTCTCTGCTGTCGGATTCGACGACTCTCCACTGGTAAGGAAGCTGCGTGCTTAAAGCCGTGTACTACAGCTCCTAACTTCTGCTCGTTGTATCTTTGTCAAAGAACCCATCAAAACTATCACTAGGCTCTCCAACATCTCCACTGCCCACTCGACACTTTTCCCAGGACAAGACACCGGCTCCTGGTTTTTCCCATAAAGGATCTTCGCACCAAGTTGATGGTCGACACGAGCTGCTATGTTTGCTTACTTCGTTTGGCTCTATTTATCAGAAAATCAGCGTTTACATGTGTCGAGAAGCTCTAGAGTTGCTGAAGATGCTTCCTGCTTCACAGCGTGCGTCTGGTTGGGCGCAGCAGCAGATTGGACGAGCACATTTCGAAATGGCCGATTATGTACGAGCACAAGAGGTATTCTGTGCCTTACGCAGAGCGGAGCCGCATCGAATGGAAGGTCTCGACTTGTATTCGACAACATTATGGCATCTCAAGAAGGAAGTGGAGCTTTCATATCTCGCTCAACAAGCCACAGATTTCGATAAGCTATCGTGTGAAGCGTGGTGTATTGCTGGTAACTGCTTCAGTCTGCAAAAAGAGCACGACACAGCATTGGCTTTCTTCCAGCGGGTAAGTTAAGACTGATAGCTTGCTGAGAGTGCTTTTTGTATGTGACTGACACGTTATGCTCTGTACTAGGCAATTCAACTCGACCCGTCATTCACATACGCATACACACTTTCAGGTCACGAGTACGTCGCAAATGAGGATTTTGAGAAGGCCGTGAACTGCTATCGACATGCTATTCGTACCGACTCGCGGCACTATAATGCTTGGTATGGTCTGGGCACGATCTATTACCGGCAAGAGAAGTTCGAGTTCGCAGAGTACCATTTCAAGCGCGCATTGGAGATCAATCCGCGGAGTTCGCTGCTACACTGCTTCCTTGGTATGGTTCTCCATGCCACACATCGATACGACGAAGCACTAGCCACACTTGTGGTCGCCGCTGAGCTGCAGCCGCTGAATCCTCAAGCCCGCTTCCAGCGTGCCAATGTGCTGATCACACTGCAGCGATACGAAGAGGCTTTGGAGGAGCTCCATGTTGTCAAGAACTTTGCGCCGCGTGAGTCTTCTGTGCACTTCATGATGGGCAAAGTGGCTAAGAAACTCGGTCGTATCGAGGAGGCCATGAAGTATTTCACCTTGGCGCTGCACTTCCACCCCAAGGACAATAACCAGATCAAGGTAGCCATCGACAAAATCAACGAACCCGATCATGACGACGATGACAGAATGTAGTAGCCCATACCCAAATCAGACGTAGCATCACGTCTGCATATAGATAACCGCAATATCAATGAGCACATTGCAGTGCCGCCACCATGATTCTCATAGCCACATAAACATGGTGAGACCATCCATCACATCGCTAATTGGCCATTTTGTATGGCATTTTTTGAACAATGAAGCCGACCGTGAAGGCGGAAGCGCGACTGCTGCTGCATCAACTCACGCAGTTCGAAGACGCCAGCGAGGCTCTCACGCGTTTATTTGAGGGGTTCTCGAACGAGGATACCAGACGTTGCGCCGTGTTGCTGCAGCTCTTACATTGGCAGAACATACCCGCTTCCCGGAGCCTTTCGGATGTGCTGGAAGACTTGGAATCCAGTGGTGACGACTCTCAAACGTCGGTGCGTGGTGATATGGAGCTGACGGTGCTGGGTAAACCTGCACTACTGTTCGCCACCTCCATCTACGACGAGGAGCTCGCCATGTTGATCTGGTCGGGGTTCATTCAGTTCCACGCGCGATACCTGGAGTTCGATCTCACTCGACAGGTGCTCGATAATTCGGCGGATTCGCTCGGGTACTCAGCTCTACACTACGCAGTAGAAGCTCAAATGGGAGATTTTGTACGTGCTGTGTGTAAGGAACTAGAAAAGGACAAGACGGCTCCAGTGGCTGGCCGAGTAGTGGCGCAGGATGTGACTTTACCCGTGAATACAGCACAGAATATGGGCAAGAACATTGCGAGTGGAGGCTGCTCGCTGCTTCATCTTGCAGCCAAGAATGGTGAACTGGATATGGTCAAGATTTTCATCGGCCCGCCGATGCTTATGGACCCGAAGTTACTACGCGACTGGGATGACAACTCACCAGCTCGAGTGGCAGCTATCCATGGTCATGATGAAGTGGCTACTTTTCTAGAGGTACGAGAGCTTGTTTACTGCCGTTAATGTGTATATTCTAACGATTAAATGCGTGCTGCTAAGGGAATCACCGGTGAAGTGTCCTTAAGTGCTTCAGAAGTTGCTGAAAGGAGATCCAAGCGCGAGACGATGGCTAGAGAGCGCTACCTGGCGCACATGGAGCCTCACGAATCCATGTTGGAGCCGTCAGTGTTTCAAAATATCTGGACCATCGAGGAAAGTTCCCTTGTTTGTAGCGAAGTGAATCAACTGGCTGCTGAGCAAGGCTGGTGCAAGGAACGACATGCGTCTTATCAAACGACGGACATGCCATGCCACCAAGTTGCAGCTTTGAACTCGTGGGTACGCTCGACTTTGGCGGATAGACTGTTTTCTCAAATCGCCAAGCGCTACCGATTACCGAAGACGAAGCGCTTACTTTTCCGCGACCTCTTTTTCGTCAAGTATGAGGCGCGTAAGGGCGAACGCTCTGAGCTTGCACTTCACCGTGATGGATCTGTATTATCCTTCAATATCCTGCTCAACTCGGTCAATGATTTTACTGGAGGTGGCACATATTTCGACGTTACGAAGCGCACGGTGCATATTACTCAAGGTGATGCTGCAGTACACAGTGGAAAAGTTCTCCACGGTGGTGCACCTGTGATGACAGGCATACGCCAAATCCTTGTGGGATTCCTTGACGTCGCTGACTGTGTGTACTGAATGGTCTCCAGTTCCATCATAAGCGATGAAATTGAATGCCTTCGATTGGGGTATCCCCTTCAAGCACGTAGAGCCGTGGACACCAGTGCTTCTCGTCATACAAGTCATCGTCGAGAGACGTTTGGATAGAAAGAGTTGCTTTTGCCTGCACGAATACAGCATCACAGGGGTTAACAAACAATAGAGTATGAACACAACTAAACTGCTATTTCTTGCTACATTGCGTACCCGCTCGAGCTCAAAGAAGAGCAATCGATCTTCCCAGATTTTGTCATAAGTATTCCCCATCATCTGCATATAACCGCCATTAGTTTCGTTTCTCTATCAAGACTTTGGCATACGATACCAGAAACATACGAACATACCGCGACCAGGAGATTAAGCAGCATAATGGTGCCGATAACTACAAATGCAATGAAAAGGAGGATGGCAAGAAAGCCGCCTTCTTGGATGCTATCCCAATCCCACGAGCCTAGACTGATGTTGAAAGTTGTGGTGACAGCTGAAAAATAGCTTTTGCATCCTTCCAACTGTAAGCAGAAATGTGTCAACATTTCAGTAGCTCGGTCAGCAAGGCAGAACAGTTTTCACTGTTGAATGAGCACTCCACCTGTAGTATAAAAAACGCGAAGGCGAATCCGCCCAAGAAAACGCAAAACACCATGATGAAGACAAGAATGTCTGAGAACATCTGCATAATAAAGTGAAATAGGTCAGGATTAGCGCTTGGTGAGCAGTCAACTTAGTTGCCATACCTTTGCAATCATTCGGACGAATGGTCCAAGAGCCCTTGTGCCACGTGCGAATTGAATCCATTTGACAAAGATTTGTGGCCCCACAATGCTCATCAACGTGATGCGGAAGCTGTATCTCCTTCGGATAGTAAAACTGTACAGCGATTCTTGATATACGACGAGATTGAAATCGTCCTGATCAAAGCCTGCCAATCAATAGTGAGGTAAGTTGCAATCTCTGAAAACTAAGGACATTTGCGGCCATGTACCTGGAAATACCAGTTCAATCATTTCTGCGACTAGAAGAAGCCATACACAGGTAATCTGCACCAAGTCGAACCAATTCCATCCGTCCCAAAGGTACACGCGAAGGCTTCCGCATTCTCGGTACGCTTGGTACTGCAAAACAGCAAAATCAGCGAAATCAGCGACACTGCGCAGCTTTAATCAATATGTACCTCTTGGATTGTATAGCTTGCGTTGATGACTGAATAAACGAGTCGAGCCACGTCGCGAATGTATTCCACGTAGCCAACTTCCTCCGTGAAAATGCTATTGCGGTAGCCTCCAATTGGCATCCCAATGTATGTATCACCTACGTGCAAATACCTGGAAACCACGTTCAATTACTGCGTAAGTATCGACAAATTAAAAGGTACCTGATCTACCGGTTCTATACAACGCACGTACGTGGCCACAAATACAGCAACAAAATACACGAAGTACACTTTGAACTGGGATCGAAATGTTTGTCGTGTGAACGAGTCCCATCTTAGGTAAACAGGAGGCAAGAGTTATCAGCCATTTGAAAGCCTACACTTCACAAATACGAATACTTACTTGTGGTCCAATAGTTGTCTAAACCAAGGATGGAAGATCAGCTCCTTACACTCTGTCTGTTAAATCGATCGCGTTAGCTAAATACGCACCCAGGGTGGCTATCTTACATACAAAAAAAAACTGACTTACCTGGACGATTAGCCACAAGGTTGGGCTGTGATGACCTCGGAAATCTGCGTGATCGTATACATATTCATACAAGATCCCTTTGGGCTCGAAAACAATTCCATCCTTGTGTCCAGCTTCATTTTCAGTCACCGTGAACACGTGCTGTACGCTCAATATACTTCTTACACGACGTAAGAATTTCCACACTTTCTTAAAGAGCTTCCTCAGCCGCGCTAGAGTTTTTGCGAGCGACCCTTGTTTTCGCTTTCGCCGAGGCGAACGACCAGCTTTTTTCTGGCCTTTCATCTGTACAATCAGAGCATCTCGCTTCTCCTGTGTCGTCTTTAGCTCATTGCTCACTGTCCACCGCTGGTTGCGCTCACGGACATCTTTTAGCATGCTGCATCGGAATAATGGAATCCGAAAAGAATCCATCGCCAAAACGGCAGCCTCGGGGACATTCTCGATCAAGAGGTGGAATAATTTGCTTCTCTCGTGAACTTCTCGCGCTTTGTTCATTTCAGAAACTGTCACATGCTCTGAGATCACGAGAATCCCCAGCGTTTTCGGCGCTAGAATTGAATACCCTGGCGCTGACCGGAAAAAGACGATATCGCGACGATTTTTGGTGCACAGAAATGGAGAAGTCAGTAAACTATCAACAGTTGAACATGTGCTGTCGTTCACAGCGCCAACAGCATCATGCCGAGCTTTCGCCCTCCCTATCGCGGGTTCAGGGGCTACAGCAGTAGTTCCTCCAGCCAGAGGTTGATATTGTGGTAGGTGAGTCTTGGGCGGGCGCTTGTGCTGCACCATTGCTCCTGTACGGAAGTTTAACGATGGCAACACCTTGGCCGCCGCCTTACCGTTGGGTGATTCCACAAATGTTCCTCGCAAGACTGTACCATCCAGCGTCGTAAGTGTTACATACCGAGAGATTCGTACATCTGCGTGATGCTCCACAAAATGAAGACAAACTCCGTGACGTTGGCTAGCTATGGCGAAATGGAGTCTGTAAACAGAAAAACGAAGTCAGCGATACGAAACGATCAAGAGATAACATACGCACGGTGTTTCGCCAGATTTGTTTTGGGCATTTATATTGGCCCCATTAGCCAGCAGCAGCTTACACAGTGTGAGGTGTCCTCCTTCGGCAGCGTAATGCAATGGGGTATTACCAGCTACATCTTTTGAGAGAACGAGCGGGTGGCCGCAAATTTGCAGGAGATCTTGTAGAGTGATGGCATCGTTGTGTAGCTTGTCGAGGGAGTCCGAGAACCGAGCGAACGATACTCCAACATCAGCAATGAGAGCTCGCATCTCAGGGCCGGACTCACTCACGAGCCTTTTAGCCTTGCGCATTTCTAGAACCAGCTCCAGTAAGTGACTCAGCTGCATGAAGCTGTACTTTTGATACGGTGAGTTCATCGGGTGCTCATTCCAATGCGTGATAAGTTCGTGGACCAGATCCGTGTATCCTCTTTGGGCAGCAGCATGCATAACAGTATATCTGCACTAGACATTCATCAGTATAGCCACTAACGCAGACAACTGAAAGCACGTACTGGGCTAAGCCATGTGGTTGCAGAAGATCGAGCCCGTCGTTGGCTTCATTCCGAAGAATTCGGAGAATTTTAGGGAGATTGGGCTCCGCAAGTCGGAGAACACCACTTTCAGTAGTCATGGGGCCAGGTACGAGTGGTCGGCATTGGCAGCATTCATCATACAGTAGCTTACTTTGCAGAGCAAGGTGGTGTTCATCTCGTCTCTCGAGCAGCAAATGCATTCTGTAATATCTCCGCATCGCACGGTTGATCTTATGAGCCGCCCAACCCTCTGGTCGTTCATCGCGACCGAGTCGAAATTGTCCCGCTAAAAACTTTTTGAAATATTTCCCACCGTGCAGTCTTCGTGTCGGACTTTCCTCTTTCTTCTTTGACTGCTGCGGATGGTGATGAGAACGACCTCGAATAGGCTCTTGTTTCAGATGCAAACGTGGAGGCCGCTTCCGTACGTCCTCCAATATTATTTGCTTATGTTTCCTTTTCTTGTTAGTTCTCGTCTCCTGCTCAACAAGCAACACCAAGGTCAGCCAACAACACTAAGAGTGCACTACAGCACAAGCGTTGCGCGTCTAACCTTGATGTGAGCGCGGTACGCCTCCAGGACCTCCCGACGTGTAGCTGCAGGATCTTGATCCATCACAGGCGTGGCATCGCGCTTGGCATTGTCGGACACCATCCCAATTCCCAAATAGCGTCCATAAGTGATTGAAGTGAGCATGGCTACATCGCACTTAGTCAAATGGGTTGACCCGTTCTATGCGGGCTTCAAGCCCGGTTAAAATGGTTAGAAATGCGTTATGAAGCCATTTCTATAAGGTCATTGAGCAGTACGTTTACTATTAGAATGGCCGAAGACACTGTGGATGGCGGCGCTCCAGTGTCCACGGACGCTATGGGCGGCGAGTTCTTCTCGTTTCCGTATGAGCCTTACTCGATCCAACTAGACTTGATGAGGCAGATATGGACGACGTTAGAGCAAGGTCACTGTGGCATTTTTGAGAGTCCCACAGGCACTGGCAAGTCCATCAGCTTGATCTGTGGAGCGCTAACATGGCTCACCAAGCATACGGACGAGTACGGACTTCAGCAAAGTGTTGCAAAAGCTAAAGTAACTGCTACAGAACGCGATACACGAAAAAAGAGCGCGGAACCAAGTTGGCTGGACGACTTTGAGCAGAAGTCGGCGGATCTGGAGCTCAAGTACCGCCAGCAGATGGCCAAGGAGGCATTGACTGGCATCGAGAAGCTCCGATTGGAGCCTGAAACCACCACAAAGAAGCGCAAAATGAGAATCGCGTATAACCACAATGAACGGAAACGAGTGCATCAAAGCGGAAGCAGTAAAGCTAACAAGCAAGACGGAGACGAAGACGAACACTTGGTGGATCCGTACGACAGCGATCGAGTGGAGCGGCGTAATAGTGGCAGTGGTGATGAGAGTGAACCAGCATCAAGTGGTCGGTTTGGTGAGGGGAAACCGAAATTTGGAGTGGTGAAGATCATCTATTGCAGTCGCACGCACTCGCAGATCTCGCAATTCGTTAGGGAGATACGCAAGACTGCATTTGGCAAGCACATTCGCGTCGTTTCATTGGGTTCTCGCAAAAATCTGTGCACAAATCCGAAGGTTACGAAGCTAAGCTCGGATTTGAGAATGACCGACAAATGTTTAGATATGATGCAAAGCAGCAAGACCAAGGACGGCAAGAAAGTGGCCAAGTGCCCATTCTACGAGAAAGAATTGCTTGGTCACTACAAAAACTACGCACTGGTAAGTGGTTATGTGTTATCTGAAGAGACGGCTATGTCTAATTGTTGCTATGCGTATTTAATGTAGGCACACGTGCAAGACATCGAGGACCTACATACTTTAGGCGAAGAAATGTCCATTTGCTCGTATTACGGCACTCGTGAAAGTATCCCGCTTGCTCAAATCGTCACGGTACCGTATTCAATGTTGCTCAGCAAAGACACTCGTGAAACTTTGGGCATTGCGCTGAAAGATAATATCGTCATTTTCGATGAAGCGCACAATATTATTGATGCAATCAACAACACGTACAAGGTTGAGATTACCAGTAAGCGACTAGTGGTGGCACGAAGAACGCTTTGGTCTTATTTCTCAAAGTATGAGAAACGATTCAAGGGCAAGAACGCCTTCTACATCAAGCAACTCTTATCGATCTTGGAGTCTTTAACGAAGTTTCTCCGCCAGCTGAGCAAGTCTGCTGGGAAAGCGACTTTAACTGGAGAGGACGATGATGGTACTACAGGAGCTCAAATGATGACGATCAACGACTTCTTGTTCAGTGCGCGGATAGATCACTTCAACATGTTTAAGATTTTGGAGTACCTTGGTGAGAGTGGGTTGGCGAAGAAGCTGATGGGTTTTGTCGAGTCTACAAATACTGGCTCTCCTGCTGTAGCTCCTGCAGCTACCGATGATCCAGATGAAGGATTCGAAAGTCATCATATTTCACCACTACGGACAGTTGAAGCTCTGTTGAAAGCCTTAACTAGCGCGGGTGGAGATGGGCGGATACTCGCACAACCACATAATGTACCTCACGGAAAAAAATCCGACTTAAAATTTCTGATTACTAAATGTTTGCTGTCTGGCTAGGCAAGCAAAGGCGTTGAAGGTTTGATCAGATTCATTTTGCTGAATCCTGTGATCCACTTTGAAGAAATCGTGAAGGAGTCACGGAGTGTTATTCTCGCCGGAGGAACGATGCAACCGGTAAGTAAAAGGGGTCTAAAAAAGTACATTGATTGCGGACAACTAGCGCGAAGTTAACTGTTTATCTGTGCCACCAGGTATCACAAGTGATTGATCAACTATTCTCCTCGGTACCCAGAGAAAATGTTGATTTGTTTTCGTGTGGACACGTTATTCCTCCCGAAAATCTGCTCGGCTTCAGCCTTGCGTCGGGTCCTTCCCAGAAGCACCTCGAATTTACGTATTCGCGACGAGATGACATGGAAGCACTGGACGAGCTTGGACGTATCTTGTTAAATCTTTCACGTATCGTACCAGGTGGAATCGTAGTATTTTTTCCTTCATATCGTTTCGAAGAGAATGCAGTCCGTCGATGGCAAGCTACCAATCTGTACGAACAAATCCAAGCCAAGAAAGCAATCTTCAGTGAACCCAAGAAATCCGATGAGCTTGCAGAGGTGTTGATGCAGTACTCAGCAGCATGTTCTCGAGGCAATCGTAGCGGGAACGGGGCTATGCTGCTGAGTGTGGTTGGCGGCAAAATGTCGGAAGGAATCAATTTCAGTGACGAGTTAGCACGATGTGTTGTGATGGTGGGTATGCCGTATCCGAATGCTCGAGATGCAGAGCTTGTCGCGAAAATGGCATTCCTGGACAAGAGAAATCCCGGGTCTGGGAGGCAGTTCTACAAGAGTCTTTGCATGAAGGCCGTCAACCAGTCCATTGGTACGTTAGTTGTTGGTAATTTGGTCTGTAGTAGTGCTGTTGCTAATGTTTTTTTTTTTCGCTTGGTGACCACGCAGGACGGTCTATTCGCCATCAGAAGGATTATTCCACCATTTTGCTGGTTGACCATCGATACTCCAGCCCAGCAGTTCGCAGTCGCCTGCCTGAGTGGATTCAGAAGCGCATCCAACCTCCGACGTCATTTGGACAGGTATACTCCCAGCTCGTTCAGTTCTTTTCGAGCCAAGGAAAGGCAGAGTGCTAGCGGTCAATAGACAGCATTTCAAATAGAAAACGGCTGGAGGTACGTACTTTATTCTCCGAGAAACTACTGCGCTAGCTGCTTCTTGTATTCCGCGTGAACGACTTGTTTCGCAATGCCAAGTACTCGTCCAGCCAGCGCTTCGTCGTCATATGACCATTCCATGTGAACTTCCCACTCAGCAGACACCGACACTCCTACCGTGCGAAGCTTTAGCCAACGATCAATCTTCTCCATGGGAAGATCGAGAATCCACTTCGTAAGACTGCTCTCCAAGGCTTTCAGAAGTTGATCGGCATCCGCTTGAGGCTGCTGTTCACTCTCGTCTTCTTCGTCATCCGACTCAACTGCAGCAGACAAGAGGAAAGACAATGCAGACGCAGGGCGGGAACTTTTCTTCTTCACACGAGGCGAAGGCTCGAACGGCTTCTTCCACGAATATGAAAAGAAGAGCGAGTGTTTCTTCTTCCTCAAACGCCGTGCTCCGTTGCCACTCGACACTAGCATCAGCTTACGTTTAGGCTCGGCAATCAACATCCCCTGTACATCTGATGGGTTATTGAACATTGCCTTGTGGATACGCAGTGGAATATCGCGAGCAGGTTCGATGGGCGTTCGTCCTGCAGGGTTAATTCCCTTTACCACCACGCTGGTATCGACAGCAGGGTCCATCTTGAGGTGGTTCTGGACGTGCGTCTTGACAAACTCCAGGTCGTCTGGGACCGTGTAGTCGAGAATGACCTGACGTGGCGCCACTCGCGATACGAGCTGCACAATGCTCTTGGTGTCCACTTCATCGCCGCAAGGCTGATAGTGCACACCACACTCCACATTCACACCAAGACGCTTACTGACACGCTTTCGTTCAGGGTCTGCGTACAGCAAGTAGTTAACTGTGCCCGGTGTGCAATACTCCGAGAGTACAATGAGGTTCTTCGGGTCGCTTGCGACCGCCTTAATAGCACGCAGCGAATCGCCCTGCGAAATGTTTGCCGGCCCCGTAAACAGCACAAACGGCCCTGGCTGCTGCAGTCGCTTCCAGTCGAACACTTGCAGGTCGGCAGCATTTGGATTCTTCGCACGCAGTAGATTCTGAACAGTAGGCGTGCATGTGCGAAACAACACAGGCAGAAATCTGCTCGGGTACTCCATCGCCGCGTCTGATAGGTAGATCGGACACTTGGCAGCCTTCCCAGAGGCATCTTTTATCTGCTGCCAATGCTCCAGCAAAATTGTGATCAGTTCGTGGAAGTATCCGAGGCGATAAACCGGTATCACCACTTTGCCGTTCGAAGCGATACATTCCAAAATGACCTTTACAAGCTCTCTCTCCATGGCGGTCTGTGTCTCTGACACCGTTACAGCAAATGAACTTCTCGTGATCATAGTAGTAGGTTCCAGTCGAGGGATCTGCGCCGGTAGCAACACTCGTCCGCCCGTGAGATTAAAGTCGTTGGCGAAGAGTACAGTCGTGGCTCCGATCTCCAAGTAGAAGGCACAACCTCCCGCCACGTGACCAGAATGATAAGCTGTGACCTTTAGATGTTCGTTCACAGTCACGCAGGCCTTCAATGCGACCGCTTTCACCTTCCTGAAGGTCGGAGCGATGTCTTGGATGTCATATGGGGATGGGAGGCCGCTGCCACCGTCCTTCACCTTGGTATGGCAACCAGTCCTGCACTCATAACACACAGTAAGACTCCATATATGCGTCTAACATATCTGAGGCCCTCACCAATATTCCGCTAGAAGATGTGGCGCGATGGCTCGAGTTCCATGGGTCATCAGGATGGCTGGGGGGTGTTTCTGACTTGGGTCTTGAGCTGCAGCAGTGGCTGGAGCGACCCACGACACACCACACTTTTCGGTTATGTAGGGAAGCATATAGCAGGCTCCAGGGCGGTAATCCGGCACCAGGATGGCGTCCACTGTGCCCCCATCTCTCCGCAGGAGGTCCTTCAGGTCGCGTCGGTACTGCGTCGTCGCTGCCTCGAAATCCTCAGCGCTAGCGTCGTCTGGGGAGAAGAAAGACACGTCTTTTGCCTCGCCGCACCCTAACAGCACGGTGACACCAGTGAGCTCGTCGCGCAGACAGAAAGCGGCACCGTTGCCGAGCCGCTCGACCGAAAAGCTCATCAATGTAGATTATTCCTACTGGGAGGAAAACTGCGTGTTAAAAATTAGAATCTAGGATCTAGAATCAGATAGTCGAATAAAATCTGAGAATTCGGTTCACGATCCTAAAATTTAGTATCGCGAACATCTTTATCTGGCATCTCCTACCTATCTGGTTAGTTGAGCCCGCAGTTGTCTACAGGTATTGCAGTCTATTTGATAAGCAAATTTCTAGAACTAAAACCTGTCAGCTTCAACGAGCCCAGCAAAGAACGCCGGTAGTTCGTCCGGCGTCAAAAAAGTCTTTTCCATTGTAGCTCTCGCTTGAACCTCGACAAAGCCTTCCTTCGTGAAGCGCTTGCCCACTACGACACGGTATGGGTAGCCAATTAGCTCCGATTCAGCTAGCTTCGATCCCGGGCTTTCTCGCCAGCGATCGTCAAGCAGCACGTCGTCCCTCACTAGGCCAGCGACTGTGCCAGATGCAAGCTTGCCAGCAATATCCCACGCTGCCCGGGATACGGGATCGTCCTCCTTCCTTCCACCAATCGACATAACGAGAACCTTGTACGGCGCAATTTCCGTTGGCCACGCGATACCGTGGTTGTCGTGCGAAGCCTCAACTGCCGCTGCAATCAGTCGACTAACACCAAGACCGTAGCAGCCCATTTCAAGCGGATGTTTGTTGTTCTTGGCAGCCGTGTACGTCGCACCAAACGGCTTCGAGTATTTCTGTCCGAGATAGAAAACGTGACCGACCTCAATGCCGCGCCTATCCTCGAGGACCGCAGCGCCACCGCTGTTGCAGCGTGGGCAACAGTCGCCAGCTTGAGCCAAACGGAAGTGTCCCCAAGCAAGATGTGTGTATTCCTGGTGCTTCGACAGCAGTTCTGCAGCGGCACAAAGAGCCTTCACGGAAGCGTGCTTGCACTGTTTCAGGGAATCATCCAGGAGCAAGTGCAGCTCCGATGCCGGGTCACGCTTTGCTAGCAGCTCTGCGATCTTCGTTTGGTTGTTGATCACTTCACCTTCATCACCGCCGATGAATGGTTTGGCTGACAGTTCGTTAACTTCACGATCGTGTCGAGCAAAGCACAACGCCACGCGAGGCAGTGCGTTGTCCTCGTTGTCCTCGTTGTCCATCTCGGTAGCCTCAAGATCGAAGGCTTGCTCCTGCTCATGAACGAACTTGACCGAAAACCCTTGTGCTCCTGCAACCTTTTGAAGCTCCATCACGGTTTCCCACACATGTACATCACCTGCACGTACCTGTTCCTCGAGTCGTGCAATCACATCGCAAAGTTCCTCTGATATTTCGTCACTAACCTGCTCATTCGAAGCCGGCAAAATTCCCTCCGCCTTCTCCACGTTAGCCGCGTAGTCACACTCCGATGACGAGCACGATAGAATTGCGTCTTCACCGACATCCGCCAACACGTGAAACTCGTGCGACAGATTGCCGCCAATATTTCCAGAGTCAGCCTCCACACGCTTAACCGGTAGCTTGAGTCTCGAGATCAAAATCTCGTTGTACGCACCAGTGACATCGTGGTACGTCTGCAGGGCAGCGTCATACGATGTATCGAATGAGTACATGTCCTTCATCACGAACTCTCTCGCTCGCAACAGTCCGAATCTCGGACGGATTTCGTCACGGAACTTGCGGCCAATCTGGTACAGTCTCAAGGACGAGTCTGCAGCCCCCGCAGTATTGTAATGGGCTGCCACGAGGCTCGTGATGCTCTCCTCGTGTGTGGGGCCCAGTATCAAAAGATCTTCGCGACGATCTGTGAGAGTCATGAGCTCCGGACCGCGACTCTGCCACCGGCCCGACTGCTTCCACAGATCATTGGGCGTCAACACCGTGAGGTCCACGCGGTTGCCGCCAATCTTGTGCATTTCGTCGTCGATTATTGCCTCCAGTTTGGCCACCACGCGGCGGCCAAGCGGTAGCAGCGCAAAGAGTCCATGACCACCTTTGCGCACAAAACCAGCGCGTACCAGTAGCTGGTGGCTGGGCACCGCAGCGTCTGACGGCGCCTGTTTCTCTGTGGGAGCCCACAATACGGACCGCAAGGCGCAGGGAGCAGCGCGGACCAACTGCGACGTCGACTGCGGCCGCCCCGCCGATACCAAGGAGCTGCGACGAGCGCGAACCGCCCACATTTTGACCAGCAATGTGCGTTGCAAGAAAGGCAAGTATCTATTAGTTATGTGACGCACACCATTATAGTTTTTTCACTCAAGAAAAAAAGTTTGCAACGTGAACATCAGTGATGTGCATGATGCACTGTCCGCGAGAATTGCATACCATTGGTATTATTGTAATACCCTACAACTTGATTGAGAATGCTTCTCAACTCATTTTTACTTTGTAGAGAAGGCAAGTCGCGGCCAAGTCATGATTTGCTCCTTGTGCTTCATTTGATTATCAAGCAGCAAGTTGAAGGGATAATTTGTATCACGAAGTGGCAAGGAACCTAAAACCTCTTCGCAGGATCAGCAACAACAGATAGGGTTCCTCTTCAACGAGCAAAATTTGGCCGAGTTCAACGTGGGGAGCTCAAGGCAGAGTCTAAAACGTTGCTGGCAGAGGCAACTCGTTTAAACAGAATTGCAAACAAGAAATCACTGCTCGGTGCATGAAAAGTTGCAGAAGTTTTAGAGCAAAGTGAAATGCAAATAACCGAATCTACCAAAAGGAAATCGAGATTGCATCACACCTTACTTGCCAAGTGCCCTTCGAAGCTGGCAAAGTTTCCAGTTTTACGAAGTCGACGCACGGCTGACTCATCGGTACCGTGCTGGCCCCAACACCAGCTGGGGTGGGTCAATAGCTGCACAGAATGTTGAGCATTGCAGGCTTCCTCTACGCCGCCGTTTTGCGAGCCTTTGTGTGAGGTGTCACCCTCTTGTTGTTCTGGTCCGCATCGTAGCGACGCTTCTTAGCAACGAGCGTACGGTCGAGCCCCTCGTCAAGCACGGCATCGACACGACCGTGGTTTTGAAACGTTTTGGACAACTCCTTCACTGCACCAGGAATGATTCATCAGTTGCCGCAAAGCTACATGTTATCCGTGATTCCAAAAAACAATACTCGCACGTATGCATGCTGGAAGCACATCGAATGCAGCCAAAGTCCTAGGCACGGAAAAGTGTAGGTGGCTGGATTTTCGACAAATGATCCGTAATACACAGTGCATTTTCCATAGAAACCCGACTTTTTCAGTTTTTCCGTCTCACAAAAACGTATGCATCGTTCGTAACATCAAACAGCTGCTTTTCCGCTACTAAAAAAATAGGGAACCACAGTGACGAGTCGCATTCCGCAGTCAGCCGAGTTACCCACGAGATGGCTTCCGGCTGGCGCCACAAAAGCTCCAAGCCCTCCTTGGACCCGTGGGGACCTCCATCACCTCCTCCACTACTAGACGAGACCGCTCCGAAGGTCACCAAGCGCTCACACTTCTCACGCCGCAGCACTCGGGCCAAGAGCCAAGCGCAACAGCAAGCGCAGAACATCGAGCTCGAAGTCGAAGAATTGGCCGAGCAGTACGAACACGAAAAGCGTCGCAGCCTCTTGGCCTCCATGTTTGGAACACGCACACTATCACGCTCGTTGCGCTCGATATCAGACGCCACGGAGGCGCCGCAGACGCTCGTACAGCGAGAAAAAGGTTTCCGACTGGTGCGTCATGGCTCCGATCCGCTCCTAAATGACTCATTTTACGCCACTCAAGTGCAAGTTGGCAACTTCGTCAAGATGGGCTGGCTCACCAAGCAGGGTCACATGTGGAAGAGCTGGAAGACGCGCTTCTTCGTGCTTTTCTCCGATGGAACCTTCGCGTATTACAAGAACAAGGGCAGGAAGAAGATTAAAGGTTGCATGCAACTCAACGATGGAGTGGTGTCCGTGCAGCACGTGGACATTCGGGTGGCTGGTAAAGCGTATGTGTTCCAGATCCAGAAAGGTTTCTACAAATTATTGTGCTATTGCTGCAGTCAGTTTGAAGCCGAGTTGTGGGTCGCTGCGTTGCGGTCAGTGAGGAGAGTGGCTCCACCCTGTTATGAGATGGATCTGACCGCGACCGAAGAGAAGGCGGGGTCTAATGCAGTTACCAGACACTTGAACAAAATTTTTATCACAGACAAAGCGGTGGCAAAGAGTTTGGTCCAGTTTAAGGAAAATGAGCACGATCACTCGTACGCGGCGATCCACAATTTTATTGTGGAATTAGACGACTCCATCATTGATCGCCACCATTTGGAGTTCTATCAGGATCCGGAGATTGAATTATTGCCGGGTAATGAGCTCGTACGGCTGATTCGTCGACATGTCGAAGACCGCGTGTTTATTCCGTTGTACGCGGAAGCATACGCGAGCTTAGAGACTGACAAGATGAAGTCAAGACGCAGTAACTTGGAGCAGAACGTCAAGGTGTTGAAGCAGAAACCGCAGGCGGATTTTGGTATCTCGAAGGACCTGTCGGTGTGTAACTGGAAGCAAGCGATCAGTGTGATCAATATGCTCGATTGTGTGTCACTCCCGACGCACAAGTTTGAGGTCATTTTATCAGCTGGAAAGGCCATTACAGAGGAGATTGCGCAGTATAACGGCGAGCTCTTCGAGGTCACAGACGAAGCGTTGACGGCGGTTTTCCGGTATGTGGTTACGATGTCGTCGCTAAACGATTTACCAATTCTTCGCGCGCTGCTAAAGTATGGATATCAGCACCACCCAGCATGTCAAAACAAGGCGACCGTCGTGACTGCTTTTCTCGATGCGATTAAATGGGTCGAGTGCTTTGAGACAGGAGACGAAAGCTACCAGTTTGATTCGATGGCACTCGCAGGATCTCGAGTTTCTGTATCCATCTCGACAAACGATGTTGGGATTCAATTCACGACGGACGGAAACGGCCGAGGGGCCATTGTGTATAGCGTTCGGAAGTTATCTCAAGCAGCTCTGAGTGCTGCCATCGTGCCTGGACTGTCGCTGATTGCGATTAACCACGAACCAGTGATTGGAATGCCCTTCGACAAAATCATCCAACGCGTTCGAACTGCAGCATTGCCGAAACAACTCACCTTCATGACGGAGTTTTACTACTATCAGCTGCTGTCACTGGACATGGAGATGTTCCGCTATTTGATGTGCATTGCAGCTCGTCGAGGAGACTTGGATTCGGCTGGATGGCTGCGATCATCGACCGTGGAACTGAACACACTTTGCTCGTGGGAAAAATCTCGAGGCAAGCAGATTTTCGGATTCATTCCTGTATCCGGCAAAGGATCACCGCTTCATGCTGCTGTACACAACGGACAACTGGGAATGGTCAACTATCTTCTCTCGAAAGGGGCAGATGCCAATCTCTGCAATTATAAAGGAAGACGACCACTACACGTCGTGAAGCAGTCGATGGACATGGCGCAAATTATTCAAAGTCTGATTGATGCTGGAGCTGATATCGATGCAGCGGAGCAGCATGGACTTACTCCATTGATGTTCATGTGTTCCAGAGCGTCTCTCGAGGGCTCAGCAACGTTGTTGGCCCTTGGAGCAGATGTCCACCGCGTGGCTTGGTCGAATGGCTTTTCAGCTTTGGAGTTTGCAGTGAAGAGTGGGCGTACAGAACTTGTGGAGCTCTGCCTTTCGAAGGGGGCTAATCCGAACTCACCGACGTTGGACGGGAACACCAGTCTGCATTTGGCTGCTGCTCTAGCTCACACCGATATCATTCTCCGCTTGTTGCAGGGTGGTGCAAACCCCAACTTTCAGAACAGATATGGACAGACTCCAGCGACAGTCCTGCTTGCGTCCGCTCCTACTGGAAATGGCGGTGCCCGGATCTTGTGTCTGGAGATTTTGACGTGCGCTGGCTGTCGCCTTGATCAACGAGATCTATTTGGCCGTCAGGCTTCTCACCTGGTAAACATGTCGCGAGATGCTCGTGTGGTTGGGTTACTGCAAAAGTTGGGCTCGCTTAATCGGGGAGGCAATGGCGTTGATGTTGACATCTTCGGCTGCACTTCTGCTGATTATACTGATCGGATCGAGGTAAACAAAACTGCGGGATATCTGTCCTCGCTAATGCCTAACGACTCGTGGAAGATTGGGGACAAGGATGACCACGCTTCAAGATCTGTACGCTCGAGTTCTATCGACGATTTGATTCACGAGCTGGTTACTGGAGTGGAAGTAGATTTGGTCGACGTGGTGGCCTTTGTGCTGTTCCTGGACACTTTTTCAAGCCTGAACGAAGTGGTGGATCGCCTGAGCGAACGTGCCTGGAATGGTATTAAGAGTAAGTACGCGCCAATGATTAACTTGTGGAGATGGTACTGATTATATCGTCTTTGTGTTCACCTAGGTCACGGACTCATCCGTTTCTTCATTATGATATTGCTGTTTAGGCAGTCAGAAACGAAGGAGACAGACGACCTGCGCGATCGTTTCTACAGTTTCATCAGTCACAATATCGACATTTCGAAAGAGAAACTGGTGCCTTTGATTGAAGAATGCACCACACTTTACAGGGAATACTTTTCTCTGCGTGGGGCAGGAAAGTACGCACTGAGCTACGAAATGATCCCTGGAATGATGACTACGATCTACGGGTTCGACTCTGGCATCGAGCATGCATCCAGCGAGCCGTTCCCGAAGCATTTGCACCGGTAAGTCGAAAGATTTGAGATCTCTTATAGCTGTATTCTTACTGATTGAATTTTGCGATTGTTTGTGCTTTTAGGTATATAGATGCAGAGCAGTGGGCACATCAATGCACACTTTTGACGCATGCGGTTTTTTGCAAGATTCCAGGTGAGATGCATTTATTCAGGCACTGCCAACATTACGATGGAGCTGATTTTTGTTGTGCATGTTTGGCTCTGTTGTAGTCCAAGATTTTATTTCGCCAGGATCGAAGCGGCAGCATTCCGTTGAGTTCACCAGCATTAAACGATGGTTCCAACACGTGCGTGGCGCTAGAAGCCCATGCAAAATGATGATTGTTTCTAAACGGCTTCAATCTATCGTGATTTTTGTATAGATCTCTGCGTACGTCATCAACGCTGTTCTGGTTCAGGATACCCCCGAAGAACGTGCGGAAGTGATTTCGTTTTACCTTAAGGTAAAATGGGTTTGAAACCACTGTAGTCTGATATTACATGTGCTAATCTGTACTTACATTATATTAGGCTGCGGAGTTTTGTATGTCATTACACAACCACGACACGCTGGCTTCGATTTTGTACGCACTGCAATCTACTGCGGTTCAGCGTCTTCGAAAGACGATCGACTGTGTACGTCCGCTGAGATCGTGTTTGTATGATATTGTACTTGTGTCCAAACCACGGGTTTCGTGTTTTGTATTGTAGCTAAGTGTGACTGCGAAGAAAAAGATGAATGAGATGCAACTACTCTCGGACAAAGGATGCCGAGAGATGAACCGACTTATGCGCAAGACTGCGAACCCAAGTATGCCTTACATCGGACTGTATCTTCAGGTGACCTTTATTATTTTCTTCATTACACATTGATCAACAATATCTAACTTTGTCATTATCTGTTAGGGCTTCGTCGGATTGAACGAGTTGCCTGCGTTTGACAAGAACGGTCTGATAAATGCGAGTCGGCTTCGACGAATGGGCGAGTTGTCAATGGAGATCTTGCATCGGCAGTCTGTTGCTTACACTCTCCAGAACGACGAGGATGTCGACGTAAGTTTCTGTGCAACCTCCTGCTCTAGTGTACAATCTGACTGATGTTGCCTTTCGCTGCTATTGTAGAAACTGCTCCACGTTTCACTGCCGTATTCCTCCGAAGAGAGTCGGTATACTCGTTCACTGGAGCTGGAACCTCGCGAAGCAGATGCGATGCCATTGAGCGATCGTGGTTCGTGTGTTGTGGTTGATGATGATCTCGATCTGGAAAGTGAAGTGCGTGAATCAATTGGCGGCGACGGCACGTTCGGATTCCGTCAGTGGATTCGGAAGCAACAGGTGGTGCACCGGCACCGCTCACGGTCATCGTTGATTGCTTTGTACGAGTGGGTATAGTTGTAGTGTTACGTGAGCTCCGTCGTTTTCTTTTTATCTATTGGTCGCGGATTCTCGCCCAACATTAATATATTAGCGTATTTAGTTCTCAGCGATGTACTTCTCGAAATCCCCCATCGATACCATGGCATCTAAGTCAAGCGGTGATTCATTTGTCTGATCATCGCCGAAATGGTTTTGCTGCAAGTGAGATTTTGGATTCTGAACTGGCGATGGCGGGTCGTCTGTGGTAAGCGCCTCCATCTTCTGCATGATTTGATCCCCTTTTTCTCCAAGCATGTAATCATCTCTACATGTACAGGTTAAGATTGAGTCAACTTCGTATGCTGTAGATCAGCTATACAACAACGTACAGGAGGCGGTTTAGCTGGATATCGTTGCTTGCTAACGCAATGGCATTAGAAGACTCTGGCTGGGCGTTCGGCGCCAATGGTTAGTCCTTGCATTGACTAAAGTTCCACTGAAAATTTGATTCCTGCGTACCTCTTTCTTGACAACCTCGATGAAAAGATCTTGACGCTTTTGCGGAGCTTTCGTCTTGCTCTTGTTGGGATGGGTTTGTTTCCAATGGTGAATCTTTGTCACGATGTCTCTACTCACAGGTCCATTGTCACGGAAATTAATAATTGTGTTGGCGAGATAGATGAATAGCGGCTTACTCGTCTTCCTCTGCATCAGAGAAGAATCGTTTTCCTTGTTGATGGGGACTAAATTCGCTGTCAATGCGCTTAAACTCCTTGTTAGGCGAGGCGACGTAGCCGTCTGTGTGCGCTGCATCAAAAAATGAAAACGCTGAGGCATTATACGTTAGTCGAAACATCCTGCTCACTACAGCGTACGGAGACCGTCTTACTAAAGTGCGTCTTGGTCTCCTCCGCCATGTTGCCTATTTCGACAAGCAAAAGCATCGAAGATCCAATTAAAAAGTGGTACATAGTACCAATGTTGAAGTCGTCGAAATGAACCATGCGCTCGTTTGCTATTCCACCGCATTTCAGCATTCTAATGCACCTACAAAGCGAGTGATCCGATAGCAACGTACATGTACGAAGTAATGACAATCTCTGAAACGTGCGTGTCGAAAATCAGCGAGGGATGTTGGTATTGAGGCTTTATCAAAACTGTCGACTGGGCGACTTCGTGTACAATATATTACAGACCCCGCACATCCAGCACGCCACCCTTAAACCGTCCCTTGGTGGCCTGCACACCGTAGTCAACCTTCTTGCGCTTATGTTGGTCTCTCGACTTGCTGCTCGATTTCCGCTTGCCCGTCACTACATCCGATTCCTTCAGCTATATTGTACAGTAAACGATGCGTCACAAGCGTTAGAAGACTACACCAACGCGACTTCCACTGATATAAGCAAGAAAATTACCAGTTCCTCGCGACGCTGCTTCCTGGCCGCACCCTTGGTCTTCAGCCCAATCAAAATCTTGTACGGCACACTGCGGTTCTTGGCAGCCTTGCCACCAAGTGCCTCAATCTTCTTGGCCTCGTGTATCTTCTTCTCTTTGCCCTTCAAATTCGACGTAGCTGTCGTCAACAACAACAACAACAACAACAACAAGTCCCAAACAAATCCGTTGCGTTAGCACAGGCTCCAGTCTCCACGGTAGCAGTAAAAAAAAAACCGTAAAACAGCATCGACTCACCAAACTCCAGTACCGAGTCAAATGTGTCGTCGAATTCTTTGCGTATTTCCTGGCGCAGCGTCATTTCCGGCTCATCGTCCCTGCCTTTATTCTGTTCAGAACGGAGTCTGTCACCACCAGAACCAACGAAAAGCGACGCAAAACGACGATATTTGAGCACGAACCTTGGAGACGCGAGGCTTGCGCTCTTTCCACGTCTCAGTAGGGCACTCGAACACCTCCACTTTCTTCTTCTTTCCGCTCGCTACGGGAAACTGGAACGCCATCTTCGACTCTAGCTAGTACTGGCGATGACAATTACACTGAAAATGCACCAGCCATCATTTTGTGTGGCCCACATGTATAAATAATCTGTGACGCGCGCTAAGAAATTCAAGAAGAATTGTAGGTCAAAGAATACATATTGAAACTACTACACGTAAGCGTCTCACACCAGCACTTGAACCCGGAATAAACCGCTGTTCGCTGCGGGGCGAGAGTCTGCACTGTGATTGTCGTGCTTGTCAAGATCATCTTCGTCGTCCTCACCGTCATCGTCGCCGTAAAAGCTGCTACCAAGGTCAGATTCAAGGACACTGCCACTGACGGATCCACTTGCGAAAGATTCAAGCCTGTCCTCGCTCTTGAGCTCCTGCTCAAAGTCATAGAAACCTCGGCTCTTAATGACGCGGCTGTTTCGAAGAGAGTTCGCACGCACAATGTCTAAATGTCTGTCTGCTGAAGTCGGGGAAGAAGTGATGCGTGGTACTGGTCCATTATTGCTTTGCTGTTGCGACTTGGGGCTCAATGGCACAAAGACGCTTTCGCCAATCAGTGATTGATCCAGCGTGCTTTCATCGTGAGCCGGAACGGCTGGGGTCGGGCGATATCGAGATAATCGCTGGAAACTTGGTGAGTCCACAGCGCTGATGGTCATACGTTTCTGAGGAGTAGGCGCCGAGAAATCCGCCATAGACATAGGACTCGGCGGCTTCCTTCGTCTTCCTGGCATTGCTGGTTGGGACTGGTCATCGTGAACGTTTAAATCGCCCAAAGTCTGGCGAATCTGGTTCAGTTGCGAATGGACTAGCGCGTCCTGGTGATCTGGTAGCTCGAAGCCATTGGGTGCGTTATTCACTTCAAACCCCACAGATTGGACGGGCGATAGTCGATGTTGAAGGGATAGAGGCTGGTACTGCTGGTGCTGGGCTTGTTGTTGGGCTTGCTGTGCTTGCTGCTCCTGTAGATCGGCCTGATGCTGTTCGTTAAGGGCTCGCTGGGCATCCACGAGAGTAGCCATCTTTTCGTTCTCCAGCTGCAGCAGCGCTCTTTGTACGCGCAGCTCCTCCTTCTCACGTCGAACCTCGTCTCGCTCTCGCCGAAGTTCTTCGCGTTCACGGCGGATCTCCGCCAGAAGCGAGCGGTATTCATCAATAATACGACTTTGTTGCTCCAGCTGCTGACGTGAGGCCTGTGTATCATTGTCCTGGAAGTATTGCTGCCTAGCTGCAATGCCACTTACCGTGCTTCTATCAAATGTATCCCGACCATCATGCCTCGAACTCCGTCCATTATCTTGCGGCATTGAAATACGCGACGGTGCAGGCGGAGGCAGCAACGCTTCCGCCACTCCGGGGCTGCCATACTGGCGGTCTCTCTGATAATACATGGACGTGTCATCCTCCCTTGCGCCGTCGTTGAGTGGGAAGTCATTTCGGTCGCTTGTCGTGTGATAGTCGTTCTTCTGTCTGTTTGTCGTCAAGTCCGGCGGCGAAGGCAACGTGTGATACGGAGAGCTTGTCTCTGTTCTGTTTTCAGTGCTCAGTGCCGGCGAAAAATGTCCGAGTCGTCGCTGCGCCCGTAGCTGCTGCTCTCGAAGATAACGCATCTCCTCTTTGGCTGCTTCCTCCTCACTATGTCGGCGCTCAGCCTCCTCCTGCTCCTTTAGCCGCGCTTTCTCCTGCACCTGCTCGTCCAAAATCCGTTTCCACTGCATCTGCTGTGCGCGCTCCCGCAGTCTCTGGCTGGTCTCGCTCTCGTCTGTCACTCGGAAGCGTGGATGGGACGACGATACGCTGTTCGCTTCGCCTGTGGCGGCACCGCGGTCTTGTCGCTGTTCGTTATGGAGGTCGACGCTCTGTGTAAATTTCCAGGGCGGCTGGGATGTTGCGGGTGTGTCCAGGTGGCCGCCTTCGACCAGCCACTTGGACGGCGAGAGCTCTCTCGGCGCCAGCTTGCGCTCCAGCTCCTCGCGCTCCATCTGCTCCTGGTGCTGTCGAGCGCGGCGCAACGCGATCTGGTGGTCGAGTTCTCGAGCATAAGCCTCTCGTCGGCGCTGGATCTCGCGTGGGTCGTCGTCGTGGAGCCCGGCCTCGGAAGCCCACATCAAAGCCACTGATAGTCCAATAGCCACAGGACCCCTTTGAATTGAAGTATCAGTGGTTTTTTCGAAAGAAAACGTTTCTATTGGCGGGAAAACACGAAAGGAATTGTGAATCAATTAATACTCTATTTATGGGTTTAGTCAGACCACACGACATGGGATTAGAAATTCAATGAGTTGCCAAATAGACACGAGTCGGCGTACTCGCGTCGCAAGTCAGCTATCAGCTTGTCCACTTGCATGTCGGAGCGTCGACACTCGGATTGCAGCAGTTGGAACCGCAGCGACACGTCGCTCTGGAATCTTCGCAGGCGCTTGCGCTCCTTCTTAGCGCCATCTCGTCGTGGTCGTCGGTGGTGACTGCCACTGCCACTGCTGCTCCGGCGATGGTGACTGTTGTAGTCGCTGTCGCTGTCCGTGTCGCTTGCAATGCTCCTTTCACGCTCGTAGTCTTCACTCTCGTCTTTAGGTCCTCGGAGCATCTTCTGGATACGAATGCTCTCTTTTCTTCGTCGTTTACACTGCTCCAAATTGCGTAGAAGCGCCTCGTGCTCTAGTTGTAAGCTGCTCAAACGATCCTGTCCCCGCCGGAACGTCTCCTTCTCGTTGTTCAGCAACTTCGTCTTGCGCTCCGCCTCAGCATAGAGCTCCGCCAGCGTTTCGTGGATGTCCTTGTCATCGGCTCCGCCCCTACCATCACTCTGGGCTAAGCATAATGTCTGCTTTGAGCTTTTACCCCCTCGACTGCTAGCCAGCTTTTCTTGTGTGCGCACTCGGAACATCACAGACTTCTCGGTGGTGCGCACCACACTGCGCCGAGACCCACACCCGACAGATTGCGTCGAGGACCATGTGAGACTGTCGATATGATCGCGCGAGTGAGCGCTGGACGACGAAGTTGCAGTGTCCTCGCTCATTGCTCTCGAGTCAAATATCGAAAATGAAAGCCGATCTCATACTCTTCAAATGAATTATAGAATAAAGAGCTTTCAGCTAAAATGTAAGGAAATATGTCTCTGAAATATAATACCCGCGTAAGAAGATATAAACGTTTTTTATCAAGTTAGAGTACAGAACTCTAAAACTAAGTTTTGTGCATCAAGTTGCAGTACTCAGAGTACTGCAACTTGATGCACAAAACTTGACTACTGTAGGTATCTGAGGTCGCACTTTGTCTAATGCAGCGGGAGGCAATTGGTAAATCCTTTATACGTGTAGTTCACCATGCGGGACGGAATTGTTGGTGGGGATTGGTGAGATCATAGGCGAGAAAATTGGGCGCGATGTGTGCATCAAAGCCACCGAGTGTGCGCCACCAGCAGAGACCTGACGAACTGGGATGGAGCCTAGGTTAACACGTGTAGGCACTGCCAACGCCTTCATGTCCGTCAAACCTAGTCGTCCGTGGCTGTCGCAACGAGAAAAGTGGTTAGGATTCCTTCACAACAAGCAAACTGTACGACGAGAATTGATACGCACTCAGGTCGTCCTGCAACGTAGGCGACGCCGTCGCTCGTGACAAACAGAGTGTGAGACCCACCACACGCAGCCTGAATCACGGGTTTACCCTTCAGTGCTTTCACCTGCGTAGCACAGAAGATAGGGGCTGTCAGGTGATTATAGCATTGTAGTAGAAAGCACGATTCCTTACCAAGTGCGGTCGCGTACGACTTTTTGTGTCACTGAGGCCCAGTCGGCCATACTCACCCCGTCCAAATGCGTAGCAATCGCCCGACTTGGCAACCACCACCGTGTGCCAACCACCGCAAGATACGCGTCTGTACAATTCATCGCACAATGCACGGGTTAGCAGGTAAAAATTCCAGGCACAAGCAGGAAGTACAAGACAGCAACGCACAGTACTGGGATGTCGTCGAAATAGTCTAAGCGCTTCGGGATCTGCTGGTCGGATGACTGACCAACACCGAGCATGCCGTAGTCCTCTTTTCCCCAAATGTAAACGTGCCCTTGCTCGGTCACAGCAGCCGAGTGGAAAGCGCCACAAGCAACCTGTACGACCTTCTCGCCGTCGAATCCTTTCACCAGATGCGGACGGCTTGCTCCCATTAGACTCTCGTTCTCTGGGTCCTTCAACCACGCCGAGCCGATGCCCAACTGTCCGCTATCACCTCGACCCCAGACGTAGACGTGTCCTAAACTAGTCAACGCAGCCGTGTGGGTGCCACCACAGCTGACCTTCACAATAACTTCGTCGGCTTCACCCTCGGGCATGGGACACTTAACCGGCAACGACTCGTGCGCCGCATCGTATTCCTTGGGTAGACCGAGCTGACCCCAGTGCGACTCGCCCCACATGTAAAGCGTTCCATCATTGGTCACAGCGGCAGAGTGACAGCCTCCACATGAGATGTAGTCCACCATGTGTCCTTCCTTCTCGAAGAAGTCGATCTTCTGAGGCTCATTAATGCTCTTGAGGTCTCCATGGCCCAGTTGGCCCATCTGCATTAGCCGAGTATTAGTAGGTGAGAAAACATCGACAGTAGACAGTGGAGACGCACCGATCCCCAGCCCCAGGAATACACAGCGCCGCTTGCTGTAAGCGCCATCGTATGACGAGAGCCGCACGAGACCGCCACAACGTCCTTGTCCTGCAGGTTGCTGAGCTGCTGGGGGAAATTGGAGGCCGACACGTCGTCGATGGCAAGCGTAGGACGGCGCTTAGCACCCGTGCCCAGCTGTCCGTCGTCATTGCAGCCGAAGGACACTACAACGCACTCCGCGTTGCTCATAATAAAGTTGGGTCTTCTTCTTTGGGTCTTCTTGCTCAATGACGCATTCAACTGTTGAATGTGAATGTACCACATGGTGCTTGGATTTTTAACATTTTACATTTGTATGCCCCATAGTGGAGAGCTGATGATTTGACCTCTCAATTGTGTAACTGGCACGATATATCGTTAAGTTAAAAAAAGAAACTTCAACATCGATAATCGTCAACGGACCTTCGTGGACGAGTTGCTGGGAGTGGCGGGTGCGTACATCTGCGCCTTGAGGATATGAAGCTTTGGTCCGCGCAACTTACCGTTCTTGCTCTCAAGTTTCCGCTTTATCTCTGCGAACCGAACGGCGTTCGTGTTTCGAGGCAACACTCCACCTAAAAACTTGTCATTGTTCGAGATGGCACTACTCTTGAGCGAGTGCTGGATATGTGGATTTGTCTCTGGGCCCTGGTCATTTTCGTCCTCCTCTTCACTGGAATCAGCCCCATGCTTCTTTATCAATGGCATTTTGACTTTCTGCACGATCATCCGCGTGGTTCGGTTGATCTGAAATTGGTGCTTGTACTTGGTCATCAGACGCTGGCGGAAGGCTAACGCCTTTGTCTGCTGTTTGCGAGCTTCCCTTTCCTTGCGATACGCTTCACGTTGAGCTGAATATTTGGTGGTCACTTGCAACGCTTGGCAACGACGACGACTAGCAACACCACGGACTAGACGCTGAATTTTCACAGCTGGAGACTGCCTAATGCCCTTTAACCATCCTTTCTGTCGTTTGAAGTCGCGGAAGACCATACGTGTTGCGAGTCCGCGCCATCGCGCTTGAATGCGGCTGACCAGTGTGTACTCACGACGTAGGACGCGCCTCGTGATCTCCAGTACGTTGTTCTCCACCTTAATCAAAGTAGGTTTCCCGCCTGATCGGCGTACATATTCCCGGTAGTTCCAATAAAACACACTAAGTTCTGCAGTGTTTGAGTACCAGAACACCGGTGGCTCGTTGGGCCGAGTAGCTAGCGCGTAACTAAGAATCTGTGGAGCCATGAACCGAATTATCCGTAGACACCGCTCGATTACAGTTCGCCTGCGAGCTTGCATCCCTCGTACCCGTGATTGAATTCTTGTTGCAGCCCGTTTGATCTTTCGTAGATATCGTTCACGGTCGACTAGGCGTCGACGAAATTCAATCCGACCGAGAAACCCGCGGGCGATTCGTTGCAGCAGAGCAGTAGCTGGACCTCGTCGCCGCTCGAACTCCTTGATGGCATTTCTCTCTTCCTCGATTTGCTCCTGGAAGCTTACAACTCCCGCTCGCAGATATCGAGTGATACCGCAACCTGGACATTTCGGGACTTGCTCGTACAACAAGGTAGTGTCTTCTCCTTCGCCTGCATTGGCAGCAGCTAGTTGATCCGCTTTCCGCCTTACTCGTTTCAAATCGATGAATACCACGCTGTTGCATCGCTGGCAGGTAAGATACGGCGTCATGGAGCTGAGCAAGGCATCATGAAAAGACGATGAACTAATCTCCGGTTTTTGGACTGTAATATTCTCATTATCGCCGGTAGCAGCAACCAAGTCTTCAGTTTTGGCTGGAGCTGTCGGTAGCTGTGTGCTTGGTGAGGCAGCTTTATCTGTTAGAGAAGTATTCGGCATCGACTCGAGTTTTCAGACGCTGAAGCTTGCCATAAACGTTGAGTCACCTTTTTAGTGCACCGTTTCGTGAAAAATAATCGACGTAAAGTGCTTTGTGTTCATAATGCTAAACATAAAATATGTTGCTAGTCAGTGTTCGCAGTTGCCTACTTACTCGTCCTCTGCAATATCTTCTTCCATTTCATCTTCGATCTCGTCGTCGTCTCCGTGACGCATTTTGTCCTCGCGAGAGTTGGGGCGGCTCATTGCAGCCTCGCGGTAGCCTGGGCGGATACTATGCGCCTCTCGCGAACTGGGCCGACTTGTTGGTTGCCTGGATTTGGCTTCACGCGAGCTGGGGCGGCTGGAAGAACTAGACTGCTTGTAGTCGCTCGGTGATGGCCTACGGCGTCTGTCATCTCCCAGAGACATTCCTAGCTTCGCTTGAACGGCCTCCACTACTCGAGGGTCCACGTACGACTTGAGTGTGAGTCCTTTTCGCTTCATCTCCTCCATGATCTCAAAGCTCTTGTTCAGCTCGCCCTCCTCGTAGTAGCCTTCAACTAACATAGCATACCCGTCACCCACACGAATAGCTTCTTCGATACCAGGCTCGTCCAGCAACTTCGTGACCATGTCCATCATCTCCTTCGGGTTGTGCTTGGCCTGCTGGCGGGCGACAATAAACTGCTCGATAAGTAGAATACGCTTCTCGTAGCGCTTCATCAGAGCATCCTTGCCATCTGCGCGAGACTTGGACACCACCTTCACAGCTTCTTGCAAGGCAGAAATTGCCTTTTCGTAGTCACGATACTCCTCAATCTCCACTTGAGCACAACCAGCGTAGAAAGCTGCTAGCTGCTCGAATGCACGAGCTTTGGTGTAGAATCCCACAATATTCTTGAGAATCTCCGTGTCCTTGCGCCAATCCAGATTCTGCAAGTAGTTGGCGGCAAGGACGAAGATTTGGGCGTTACGCGACACATTGGCGAAGAATACGACCTTTTCAGTGTCTCCCGACTTGAGTAGGCACTTCATGGCCTTGAGTTTATTGCCAGCTTGAGTGTATTTCTTCGTGGCCAAGTGGTACGAGCCTTGTTGTTTGCAACACTTGGCGAGTTTGAGCAGTAGCTCCGTGCGTCTCTTCTTGTCTGCAGGCGTAGGGTCTTCACCTTTTGGTGGAGTCATCTTCTCCGCCATTTCTTCCGTAACCTGTACGTCGTGCTGCATACACACATCGAGTGCCTCTGTCACTCGGTTTCCAATCAAGCACAAGTGCACGGCCTTGGCGTAATGGCCGTTTGCAATGAAAAAGTCAGCGCATTTCTTGAGAATCGCAGGAGATGTGTTACCAGAGCCACTAAGCTCGTCCGTGAGGTGGTGCAGCTCTTCAAAGAGTTGCGCTTGAAAGCACAAGTCGAGAGCTTTCGCCACATTGCCTCCTTTGTGGTAGAGCTGGACTGCCTTCTCCATTTCGCGCTGCTCTTCGAAATACGCAGCGCAGTCGAGCATGTCGTTAGGCTTGCTCATAAGGGCGAACCCCATGAGATCTGCATCCATGCGGTGTTCCTTGGCTAAGCGAATAGCGTGGTTGTAGCAACCACCGCTTGCGAAGAAATGGATCGCGTTGGAAATCTCGTTGTGTGCTTCAAATTGTCGAGCCAAATGGTAAGCTGCTGCGCGATTTCCACTGGTCTGTGCCACCTTAGCAGCAGACTGGAAGTCCTTCTTGAAGCACAAAACGCGAACAATGGACAAATAGTCCTTGGCACGCTGATAACTCTCCACTGCCGCATCGAATTGACCCTGACTCTCCTGAAATTGCGCCCACCAGATCAACAGATCGCGGTTGTTAGAAGTGGCCACATACTTTTGCAGAAGATCAACCTTCCCTAGTTTGAATAGCATTCGTGGGATATCTTTTTGATGAGTTCCAGCATCTTCATAGGCCTCCATCGCCTCTTTGAGATCGCCCATTTCTTCATAGTGACGAGCCAACGCATGGTACGTCGTCTTGAGATGGATCCGATCTCGTTTGGATGCTACATCTACAGCTTTCTTCCAGTATCCGCTAGCTTGGTAGAGTTTATTGAGCAGGTCGTAACGTCCACACTCACGGTAGAGCCGTGCTGCGTCATCGCGCAGGCCTAGTTGGATCGCTACCATTGCAATGGCCACTTCCAGTTCCGGTTCCTTCTTGGCTTCTTGCACGGCAGCTGCACCACGAGCGTGACCCATATTTCCGAGACACACTTCAGCCACATCTAAGCGCTTCGTCTTGACGCACATGCGAGCCATATTCTCCCAAACGGACGGATTCTCAATGAGTTTGACTGAGCGGTACGCCTCATCCATGTTGCCCACCGTCATATAGTAACAGAAGTCGATTAAAGCTTGCTTGGCCTCGTTGTTGACCTTGTCCAGGCCTGTGAAGTCACGCATGATCTGGGTTCGAAGGTAGCTAACAGTATCGTATACCGTCGGAATTTTCGTGACGGGGTTGTCGGTCTTAGTTCGACCAACGTGCACCACAGTAGTGGAGTCATCCAAAGAGCCATTGTCCACTTTCGCTACGAAATACACTCGTGGGACTTGAATGCCTAGCAACGCCGCGTACTTTAGTTCAAGGTCGAAGCTGTCCTGCATGAGGAGACCGTGCTCGTTCGATGCGAAAATGATCGTGATTTCCTTGTCCGAGACTTGACTCCCTCGGTTGCCACCTGCACCACCAGCTCCTAGCCCATCGTCGGTATTCAAGTCCCGACGACTAACACCTGTTGCGGTGGACAAATTATCATTTGCAGTCTTGACAGTCTCACAGACAAGCAATCGAGGTTCTTGGGGGTCGAAGAAGACGGAGACTGGGTAGCGTGAAGATCCAAAGTCAAACTGCTGATAGATATTGAGGTCCGTCTGGAATAAAAAGAGCTTGTTCAGTGGCTCTCGCATTCGCAAACCACCTTCAACGCGGTCTGCTAGAATGCAGATACGTGTGCCGTCTGAGTTGATGCAAATTGCTCGCATCACTGCGGATTTCGTCTCTTCACCGAAAGCTTCGGGGAGATTGCCCATACTTCCTAGAGCTTTAGGATCACGACGAGATACGTCGAACACACGCAGTAGCCCGCGATCTGTGCCTACTGCAAGGAATTTATTTTGAAGAGATAACATCGCCGGACAGCCCTCGGCCTCTGTGAATGAGATGGTGTTCTTCACAACTCCTGCAAGATTGCAGACTTCGACGTGATTTCCATTCGCGCGGTAGATTGATTCGCCCCTTAACACCATTGAGCTCGAAAAACACTTGAACTGATTAATCATCTTGACGTCACCGTCCTTCATCTCGTATACTTCGGCTTTCGAACCGTTCCAAGCCACGAGCATTGATCCATCGTGCGAAACACCCTTGACACGCAGTGATGCCTCCAGCATCGACTGCGTGATAGTCACTCCAGAGTGCGCTCCATCTTGGAATTTCTCGATAGAAAGCGTCTTGGGTCGTACTTGAATTACTGCGGTATCTCCACAAAGTGCACGCTGCATGTTGCCTTCATGCAAAATGACCACACCTTCGACAGTGTTAGCATATATAGCAGGGTGTGCATTACTCCAGCCAATGCGTGTGATAGCGCGCCCTACTTCCGCTGTGAAGAGAAGGTCCCAACGAAATGACACATTTACTGAGTCTGCGTTACCCTGCGCGTTGGTGTCAATAAAGGACGTGGCGCGCCAGAAAAACACTGCTCCTTGAGCCGTACCAGCCACGAGGATACGTCTACGTGGCGAAAAAGTCAAGTTGTTGACGTTGTAATTAAGTCCACTGGACTTTGGTAGACTCAATACGCTGTTCTCTTCGGTGCGAATGTTCCAGAATCGCACTAAAGGTTCACCAGATGCGATTGCTAGTAACCCCGGGCTAGCCCACTTGGTTTCAAGCAGTGATCCTTCTCCTGCAAGACTCAGTTTGACCTTAGTAATGGGCTTCACCGTGCCGTCTGTCGCTCCTATTTGGTACACAATAAGCTGCACTGCCCGCGTGATGACTAAAAGGCGGTTCTGTTCTTCGTAAAACATCATCGAGTCGATCGCGTGATTTAGAACCTGAATGTCCGAAATATGTCCTAGATCGTCTGCATAGTGCACAGATCCTGCTTCACCACCATAAAAGAACTGCGGACAGGAATGCTGGGAAAAGTAGTCGCTGAACAAGCAACATCAATTTCATCGAACATGGGTTAAATTCGATACAAATGCAAACTTACTTTTTGATGTTGCTGTCCTTCGATAGAGCGGGTCGTGTGGCAAAAACACAATGAGTGAAGCTACCCTGACGCGCGTATTGTGTGCTGAGTGTGAGTTGGCAGCGACTGTCGACTTTCCAAACGGCGAACACTCCGTTCTCGTCGGCAGACATAAGTCTGTTACCCGCCGGGGCCCATTTCAACAAGCACACGCGGCTCGTGTGCGGAGAATTGACTTCGCGTGCTGTTTGCTCCTTGAATATCCACAGTGAGACCATGCCTATGAGGTCATCGTCGTGTTAGCAGTCGAGAGAGTGAATTGGCTAAGTTATGTGCAAACCATACCATCGCTCCAACCAACTGCTAATGCCCCACCACGAGGCTGCCAGGCCATCGTGACGATATCGGCACTGCGCGAGTAGCTCTCCAGCCCTTGCTGCTTTTCACCCTGCAAAAATCAACATTGGGCTCATCAGTATCACACATGGTAGCACGCCAATAAGAAGCTGCCACTAGACAAACCTCATCCGTAAAGAAATGAATTTCTCGATTCTCCAATGCGACGGCAAGCACAGGATCCAGCTCCCCCCAGACCGAGCAGATCTGCCGCAAGTTGGCAGGCACCGCCACATTGTAGTCGTAGAACAAGGCCATGCTTTACGACCTCGCCCAACGCAGTGTACTACTAGATCTTAGCCAGTTGAACCGACGTGTCGTTTCAAGATCATTTATGGGTTGTACACCATTTGGTAATTGGTCCAAGTATTTGGTCCAAGTATTTGGTCCACCCAGTTGGAGATCACAATCCTGACCCAAATATTTGCTTCAACCAGGTCAGCACAATTTTATTTGGTCCGTCCAAATCGACACAAATTGAACTGCAATTGACTGGTTGCGCCGGTCAGTGCTCAGAGCTCCATAGGTACAGTGACAGACATGGCGGTGGAAGCGAAGACGTCGGCGACCAAGGGCAACAAGGGCTACAACAGCGGCAAGGGCGCCTTCAACGCCAAGAAACGCCCGGCTAATGGCGAGGACGGCAAGAAGTCGTTCATGGACCAGAAGTTAGCCAAGAAGCAGCGCAAGATGCAGCGCCCGCACTACGAAATGGTCACGCGCGCCAAGCAGATCTGGAACGTCATCCGCGAGCGCGACGTGGATAAGAACAAGCGCGCTACGCTCGTGGAGGAGCTCTACACGCTCGTCAAGGGAAAAATCTACGACGTGGCCGCCAAGCACGACGCATCTCGCGTTATCCAGTCGCTCATGCAGCACGGCAAGCCCGAGCACCGCTCGCAGATCGTTCTCGAGATGAAGGAGCACCTCATCGAGGTTGCCAAGATGCAATATGGATGCTTCCTCGTGCAGAAGATGATCCGTTACGGCAGCGTAGCTGATCGCGCTGCCATCGTCAAGTGCCTCACAGGCCACGCCGTGCAGATCGGCACGCACAACATTGCAGCCAACGTGCTCGAGTACGCACAGGAGTACCTTAAGCCGTCACAGCTCACGGCGCTCAAGCTGGAGTTCTACGGCCGTGAGTTCGCCTACTTCCAGTCGGAGAGTAAGCGCAACTTAGCAGACATCATCGCTGCGCACCCGGACAAGAAGGCTGACGTGCTCAAGCACCTGACCACCATCTTGAACCGCATGGTGGACAAGCAGCTCCTTGGTCTGGCCTTTGTGCAGTCTTTGCTGTGGGAGTACATGTGCAACGCAGAGCACGACGACGTGATGCAGATGGTGGCTAACGTGCGTGACGCGTCGCTGGCTCTGCTCGCCACACGCAATGGTGCTCGTGTGGTGAACAAGTGCATCTCGCTCGGTGCTGCCAAGGACCGTAAGCGTATTATTAAGACTCTCAAGGACAAGGTGCTGGAGGCATGCAACCACCCCAGTGGCTACCTCGTGATCATGCGCATTTTCGATGTCGTAGACGATTCCGTGCTTGTGCAAAAGTCGATTTTGGCCGAGATGAACGACGAGCTCTTCTCAATTGCGATGCACCCCAGCGGACGCAAGATTTTGCTGCAACTGCTTAGTCCCCTGAACAAGAAATACCTCTCGGCTGACGACCTTGCGCTGCTGGAGCCGCCCATGTTGCCGTCGCCGGAGGACCCGACTGTCATGGTGGTGAACTACAAGAAGGACCCAGATGCTCGTCGCGAAGAGCTTTTGAAGGGTCTGCTGCCCAAGTTGGAAGAAATGTGTGCTGAGAATGCTGAGGCTTTGATGCGCTCAAAGGAAGGCCGTGACGTGATTATTGAGGTCGCTAAACGGAGTGAGAGCACGGATCTGGCAGACAGCATTGCTGCTGCTGTTGTGGCGGAGCCTAGTGAGGAGGAAGTGGAGCCGCTTCACAGTGACGCAAACGGACACTACGCTCTGCGCCGCCTGATCAAGGAAACCTCGCTGGCAGAACCTCTGCTTACAGCAGTCGAAGAGCAACTACCGCAGTGGGCGACTAGCAACCGTGGCTCCTTTGTGGTGCTTGCGTTCCTGGAGGCTGAGAACGCTCCCAAAAACGCTGCCAAGGTGGTGAAGAAGGCTTTGAAACCTGTGATGGGAGACCTGAAGAAGCTCACCAAGACGCAGAAGGGCACTAAATTACTTCTTGAGAAGCTCCAATAGAGAGGAGATAGGCTCAAACTTTATAGATCCAAAGGCTTTTTGTTATCATTGCATCATGATTTCACTGCTCAATCGTCTTCTTCCTCGCTACTGTCGTCGCTACCATCGTCCTCGGACGAGCCTGTACTATTATTTGCCTCACTGTCATCATCGTCATCATGAAATGCAACGAGGAGGTTTCCTTCTCGCCAGTTCTTGACCAGGTCGAGTATCTTCGGATGTGAGTGAAGAACAGCAAGATATGACAGTGTTTCTCCAAACTGTTTGAACGTATTCTTTTTAGTCGTCAACAATTCATGATCGTTTGTGTTCAAACTCACCTTGTTTGGTTTATCAACCAACTCAGCATCACATTGCTGGAGCATGTTCATCAGGAGATTGCCACTTCCGCAGGCAGCCGCATAGTGTAATGCTGTCATGCCTTGCGCCTGCGACATACACGTTGTTAGCAATTGTTATTGATAAAAATCCATTTTACGTGTACGTACGTCTTGCAACGAGAGATTTGAGCCAGCATTCAAGAACACCATGCCTAGCTGATGGAGAGATGCCCCTCCCTCAGCACACAGCATTAGCGGTGTCTGTCCAAATACCTGCAATTCATGATTAGCACACGGTTTAACCAAAGAATGATTTGACTGAAAACCCACATTTCGTGCATCGACCGAAGCACCCAATTCGATTAGCGTTTCTGCTGCAATCTTGCTTTCGCCGACGACCGTCAACATTAACGGAGTTGTGCCCCATCGATCTTGGACGTTCAAGTTGGTGCCGTACTTAGCCAGAAGACGTACGATGTCCAAGTTGCCAACACGACTAGCCCAATGTAGCGGTGTCCAGCCATCTCTCTGAAGAATGAGGAACGCTATCATGAGCCGGAGCAATCTACTAATTCCAACACGATACGTACATCTTTCTTACTGATCGACGCCCCTTTCTTAAGTAAAACATGGCAAATACTTGTTCGATGCAATGTGCAAGCCCAATGCAATGCATTTCTGCCATCGGAACCATTGGCGTCGATATCAATCTTATTGGCAATGCCCGAAAGGATCTCGTCCACAATATCTGCGTAAGGCAAGAAACAAGCATCAGTATTCTAGCGCCGGAGTAGCATGTGCAAGCATCTCCTTGCCTGTTTTCGCAGCTAGTGTAAAGCCATCGGCAATTCTACCAGCTTGTTTAGCTTCCTATCACACAATATAGCATTAAAGAAAAGTCATGAGCGTTCGATGATGCCTATGCTTCCGAGGACGTAGAGACTCACATGATAAGAATGCGAAAGCCGCCACAGCAAGTAGGTAGCAGCAGCAAATGGAATAGCAGCTATGGCATACGTATGCGTGGGGCCCATTTCGATGCACGTGAAAGTGTTGATGTGCATAGTTTCACGACATTGATTGTCGTAAACCATCACCATGCGCTTCCACAGCGCTACGGCAGGGATCAGCGTCACAGTTTCGATCAGTGAGCACACTACCGGGGTGACCAGCGTGGCCTCTTTGCCCTCCCCGTTCCACGTGGGGATCTTGATGTCGAACGCCACCATGACGCTAAGTGTAAAGCTGACAATAGCGCCGATCAGTGCCAAGACGATAAAAAATCTCGTGGCGGTGGCATCGCCCAAACACCAGGGGTCGCTGGATGCAACAGCCGAGAGCGAGCTGGTCACTCGAGCGTCAGTACGCACGGGGAAAGCTTTAACCGGGTACAGACGGAATCTTTAATTACCAAAAGGCTCTGTAATACGTCGCAACTTGGTCCGCCGAAGAGCCCTCCGCGTTGCCGGCCTCGGCACCAGCATTGATGAGCTTGTAGCGCACACCAGCACCCTGTATCAAGATACTTAGTACGTGAGGATCAAGATTCAAGTCGTGGTTCGCACCGTAAGATACCAGAGCCCGATGTCAACGGAGTTGGCGGCGTCTCGGGCCCATTTGTGGCCACTACATGCCGCGAGTAGTAGCACCAGTGACAAGAAACTGCACACGTTGCCTGGGGGTGGCGAAGACGTTAGATGCAGCTAGAATCTCCATCGCCCCGGAGCGACGCACCGACCAGGAAGCGCACACGAATCTTCATGATTCGAACTTGCGTCGTTTGAAGATCGCTTGTCTTATTGTGGTCCACATTTTGGCCATAATATGGTCAATTATTACTTCACGGCTCTGGAACGTACCAGTAAAAAAAAGTTACTAAGTTGTACCTTTAATAAGGGGCATACAGTGTTGCTCCACCGATGTTGGTTGGTTACCAACCAATCACGGCTATATCTTTACCGGTTGAGGTTCAGCCTGAACCACTCCATAGTGGAGTCCACGCGCTGTTAAAAAAAAAAAGAGACGAATTGAAGCGGACCGTGTCGGTGGTTTCTCGTTGCAACGACTGGAATTCTGCAGAGGAAACCAAGATTCATCGGACTATACAAACTCAGGTTTACCCCTACGAATCTATCAACTGGAGAATCTCCCATCGGAAAAGGCAAATCTGGTCTGAACATCTCCCCACGCCAAAAAGAACCCAAAGATAGCCGGCCTAAGAACTATGACCAGCGCATTCCGGCTCCGTCAAATGCAGCAGAAGACACAGAGATTGCATCGTACGTGATTGACATCATTTGTCGACATCTATTTAATAAATTCCGCCTAAAGTTACACCGCTGCCTACCCATTCGATGCCATATTTAGTTGCTCCACATTTGCAGAGAGCGGACTGGATTCTACCCTACCCCGCTCAAGATTCGCTTGAGGTGACAATAATACAATTTAACCACGTTTCCTGTGAATCGAATCTAGATTCAAAAAAAGAAAAACTATAGGGATTCAGTATGCCTCGTGAGGCTCTCAAGAAACGCACTCCCGCGCCAGTCTCATTTCCAATTCTGCACTGCTGAGCAAAGGCGATTCCATTAGCAAAATGAACGTGCAAGACCTTCTCTCCAACGAGGCGGCCCCCGAGTGCCCGTCGTCGCCCGCGACATCGGTGGACAGCAGCAGCAGCAGCTCCAACTCGGACACCCCGAAGCGCGGCTGGGTAGCACCGTTCCTCCTGCATCTGCATCAGATGCTGCGGCGCGAGGACTGCCGGATCATTCGCTGGGCCGAAGACGGCATGGCCTTCCAGATCCTGGACAAGGAGGCCATGACCACGCAGATCCTGCCCAAGTACTTCAAGAACAAGAACTTCTCGAGCTTCCAGCGCCAGCTCAACTACTTCGGCTTCCGCAAATGGAGCAAGGCTCGCGCGCAGTTCCCCACCTATAGTCGTGAGCACTTCACTCGTGACAACTTCAGCGAAATGTCGCTAGTCAAGCGCCAGAGCAAGAAGTCGCGCAAACGCAAAGCTGTCGATGAAGAGCAGCAGCCAGCTAAGCGCGCGGCCGTGGCTACGCTCAACTATGGTGCCGAGAAGTGCAAGCCTATTCTCCCGCGTCCCGCTACCCCCACCGTCGTGGCTCCAAGCCTGTCGTACCAACCTCAAGTCGTGTCCCCGCCAATGCACCCAGCACCGGTGTTCAACCTGCCTATTCTATCCCCCACCCGCAAGATGAACAGCGGCTACAAGCTGCCGTCCATCCGCGAGCTGTCGCTCTCCAGTGCCTTGCCGTACTCGACCATTGGCCCGATCCGACCCCGCCTCATGGCGTAAATGTCTTCGTCCAGTATTTTATGACAATTTTCTTAAACTCTACCAACAATATTTATACAGAACATCAAAAACAAAATTCTTGTTACATTTCCGCAAATCGTTCTTTTTCTCGAAGTCCGACCGTTGAATGCAAAAAGGATCGTTGGCCCGACGGCACCACTTCAAGTTTCTCTTTCCGCACAGCACAAGGCCACAGCACAGGTCTCTGAGATCACATCCATGGTGCTGCTGTTGTTACTGCTGATGGTGCTGCCACTGGCGAGATCCTGCACGATGATCGCTGTTGGGCGGAACGCTACGGTTGACGGCTCCACTTTGGTGGCACACACGGATGACGCTGGCTTCGGCGCCGCCGACCTGCGGATGGTGCGTGTACCTGCCCAGGACCACGAGGAAGGAGCAACGCGGCATGTGTACAACGTGCAGCCAGGATATCCACGCCTTGTTTCAAGTCAACGAGGACACGAGTACGAGCCGAAGAACGATCAAGAGCAGCTCATGACGCCGCTCGGTGAGATCCCGCAGGTTCGTCACACTTACGGCTACTTCGATCAGGACTACGGTTTTATGAATGAGGCGCAGCTTAGCATCGGAGAGAGTACAAGCGGAGCCAGGACAGTAGGCTGGCCCATGGACGCTGGCCCGCACGGATACAACATGTTCGGCATCGGAGAGCTCACCAAAGTGGCTCTGGAGCGCTGCGACTCGGCTCGTTGCGCGATCCAGACGATGGGCGATCTGGCCGTCAAGTATGGGTTTTATAGTGAAGACAGTGGTGACCCAGCCAAGCCAGAGTATGTGAGCGCAGCTGAGACGCTGGGCATTGCAGACCGATACGGAGAAATCTGGGTTTTCCACGTCCTGACGGGTCCTCAGAATGCTAGCGCTGTATGGGCGGCTCAACGCGTACTAGATACCCACATGGTCGTAGTGGCCAATGGTTTTGTCATCCGAGAAATGGATCTGGATGACCCAGACCGCTTCATGGCGTCGGGGAATGTGCTTTCATTCGCTGAAGAAATGGGTTGGTGGGACCCGAAACAAGGCAAATTCGACTTCACCGCTGCATACGCTTCCCCCACGCCAGATCCCGTGCGCGCGTTGTACATGGGTCGTCGCATCTGGCGTGTGTTTGACCTTGTGGCACCGTCCTTGCAGCTAGACTCCCGTCTTGGACACTACCCGGAGTTTCCAACCTACCCGTTTTCAGTTGAACCAGACCGGAAGCTCGACGTAGCGGACGTGACGCGTTTGCTTCGTGACTATTTTCAAGGAACACAATACGACTTGTCCAAGGGTTTGGCGGCAGGACCGTTCGGGAACCCTATGCGGTGGGGAGGTGATGAAAAAGGAGTCGTGGGTGGCTGGGAACGACCCATTTCCATGTATCGCACAGTCTTCAGTTTTGTGCTTCAAGCGCGTGCTCACCTTCCTGATGAAGTTGGTGGCGTGGCCTGGTACGGACAGAGCTCACCGCATGCCTCAGTGTATGTGCCATTCTCCTGTGCGCAGCAAGAGATTCCAGCTGCATACGTTCTCGGCAAAGAAAGCGAGTTTGCACACGGATCCGCTTGGTGGGCCTTTGCCTTCGTTAACAACTGGAGCATGCTACGCTTTGACGCTATTAGTAGGGACATTCGAGCTCGCATAGCTGAGTTGCAAAAGACTTGCTATACTGAGCGGAAAGCGATGGAGCACCACGTAACCCACACAAAGTCGTTGACAGCATCGGACGTACGCACGTATCTGCAGGAGCAATCGAATCGATTGGCTTCGCGAGTTATCGACGAATGGTGGACTTTTGCCTGGAAACTTGTGGGCAAGTACGCGGATGGCTACATCACGACGGGTGAAGCTCCCGAGGATATGAAGATGCCCGGTTATCCGGAATGGTGGCTCAAACTCAGCGAGTTCTCCAAGTGGCCAGGGGATACACTGGTGCCGCCACACATCCCAAAACTGGAAAAGCAGCTTGAGCTGTTTGAAAGCCGGCAAAATGCGAGTGCCAATCTTGGAGTGCAGCCATCTGCCGGTGACGACAGCGCTTCGCCTTCAAGTACTATTTCGATTGCCCAACTTGGCATCGGTGCTGTCGTTGGGGCCGTTGTGGGTGCTTCCGCTACGTGGTTTGCTGTTCAGCGTCAACAGCGATCCAGGTACCTGCCCATTCCTTAGGACACAACGTGTTTGTGAAGAGCTTTGCGTGTTTTATCAATGATCCTGGCAGAGCACTAATGCTTTGGTTAGTGCAGACAAGACTATGAACTACACCGATTTCGTAGCCATCAGATAACGTGCTTACCACCGCAAAGCAAAATCAGACGTGCTTATCTATCTTGATGTGGCCTCCTAGTATCTTTTGTGCGGCTCCTTGTAAGTCCGCTTGGTCGCCGGGCTTGCAGAACGTTTGTGCCTGCGAGAGTGTCCTTCACGTTTCGTACTCGGTGAAGCACTTCTACTGCTCCTGTCGCTCTTGAAAGACTGTTCGCTACGAGAAGACTTGGCTTCGTTGTCGTTGAAGGTTCTCCACAAACTACCTCCTTGTTTCTCATTGCTGCGATCACCCTTCTTCTGTCGAGCGTGAATCGATTGATAGCTATTCCGATTCTCGCTTGTGAATCTTTCCAGCTCTCCCAGATTTTTCGACTTGGATCGTCCAGCTCTGACTGGTTTGGAAGCAGCAATAAGGCCTGGAGTGCCCATTAACCCCATCGCCCGCAACGTTTTCTTCTGCAACAACGGCACTTTTTCCAGTCCAATAAGCTGACTATAGAGAGCTCCCGTCTCGACAAGCTTGGTTTTCGACATTCCCAGCTTCTTAAGGTTCGAGTTGTAGAAGCCCAAGAAGGCAGCATAAGCCTTCTCTGCTGATTGGTCCAATTCACTGCGTAGACGTGCGTTTGTGAGGGCACGAGTGGTTCGGTAGCTCTGCTGATCGAGCTGAGGATGCTGCTTTAGCTCAGTGAGCGGGAGGTCCGCTAGATAACGAAGCATTGACTTTTCAAAGTCGGCCAGCACTAGAATGCCACGTCCCTCCATACCCGCACGGGCCGTTCGTCCTAGACGATGAATGTACTGATCGCGATCCGTCAGACCCACTTGTAGGACAAGCGACACGTCTGGGTAGTCGACGCCACGCGCCGACACATCTGACGAGAACATGATCATCTTCTTACCCTTGCGGAAAGCGTCGGCCGCCTTGGTTCGAGCAGATTGGCTCTTGCGTGAATGCATCTCCAACACGTTCTGGAAACCCGCACCCTGGAAGAGTTGCGCCATGAACTGTGCCGACCGTGCGGTCGGTAGGAAAACAATGACCTTGTACGCCGGCAGCTTCATGTGCTCTTCCAGTACGCCTTCCACTACGGGGATGACGTCTTGCAGGTCGCACACAACATACTCCTGCACAGCCTGCGTGTTGGTTTGTTGATCACCACCTTCGATGGTATCTACAAAGGCACAGTCATCCCGTAGTGCCATGTCCTTGAGCTCCTCAGTTGCGGCCGGTAGCGTCGCACTGAAGAGCAGTGTCTGACGCTCTTTCGGCAAGTGACTGATGATCCGCATGATGTCGGGGCGAAATCCCATGTCCAACAGGCGGTCGGCCTCGTCCAGCACCAATACCTGAAGGCTGTCTAGCTTCTGTCTGATGCGTCCGCTGTTGTCCTCCAAATGTGCCTGCAGTCTTCCTGGAGTGGACACCAGCACGTCAATGCCTCTGGATTGCGTCAGCTCCTTCACATCCTTGTTGACTGAACTACCGCCTACAAAGCAGGACGTGCGCAATCCATGGGCGTCCGTGAGCTTCACCGCTTCGACTGCGATCTGCTGCGCCAACTCTCGCGTTGGAGAGATCACAAGAGCCGAGATTTTGCCCTGCTTGGGCTGCGGGTGCGTGAGCATGCGCTCCAGTGTGGGTAGCAAGAAAGCAATGGTTTTGCCATTGCCCGTCTTGCCCTTGGCCAGTACGTCACGTCCGGCCAGCACCAACGGCAATGTATCATTCTGCACATGCGTTAAGAACTCGTAGCCCATCTCTCGCGTGAGTACATCTTTGGACCGCTGGCTGATTGGCAACGATACGAACGAAACATCCGACAAATGACTACCTGTAGAGGTCCATGGAATGCAACTCGAGCGGAACCCGCGCGCAGTAGTCGACAAATGCGACGAGAGGCGGCGAGTGCACGTCCACATTGCTCAATTGGTTGGCAGTTGCAAAACCCAAAATAATCTTGTTTAGGTACTTTGAGCATGGTATATTGGGAAAGGTGGTACTGCTATCGCGACAGAGATTGGCTAATAAAAAACCGAGTGGGCGTAGACGTGACGACAACGGATCTTATTTCGGGGAGCCCATTGTGTGATTGTTCGAAGACTAGAACGATGACGCTCGTACGACTGCTGCGGGTGGTAATAGCATCTCTCGCTATGCTGGTGGCGGTGCCAGCGCCCTCGAACGCTATGATCGTTCAGCTGGATGGACGCGTGGAGGAATGTTTCCACGAGTATGTGCGTACCAAGCGCACTGCCTTCATGAAGATTGGCGTGCTGGAGTCGAAGGGCACGTACGACGTACGACTGAAGGCGTACGGCCCGTTCCCCTCGTACCCGGAGGAGGAACAGGTGGACAAGAACTTCTTCGATCACCTCGTGGTCACACCATACGATGAGACCAACCAGAACGTTGAGCACAGTGGCTTCAACTTTGAGTCGGAGCACCGTGGCGGATGGTATCGCTTCTGTTTGGGCAACATGCACGACGGTAGCACGAAGACGGTCGAGTGGTACACATCCTTTGACCTGTCGAACGAGGATGAACTGGGCGAGGAGGACAAGCTGGACGATCAGACTCGTAAAGGTAAGTGATGCTGTGGG